TATCGGTTTTACCGCGCCAATTGTGTGGGTTACTCGGCACGCGATTGGTGCGGGCGCTAAAGACCAGCCAATTGGTCTCGGGGCCGGGCCGCTGTGGGGTCTGATGCGGACCACGAGAAGCGAACACCCCGAGCTGCATCTTAGACTAGTCGACGTGGATGACGAGACAAGCCTGGCTGCCCTTGGAACGGCGCTGGCAGCTGATAGTCAGACAGAAATCTCTATTCGCAAGGGACAGTTACTTGTTCCGCATCTTGAACGTGCTAACTTGGCCTCAGCACCCGCTGGCAAGCCACTACTCCGAACAGATGGCGCCGTGCTAGTTACTGGAGGCCTTGGTGATCTTGGAGGACGCGTATCCCGCAGGCTGGTCAGTTGCCATGGAGTCCGCGATTTAGTCCTGTTGTCTCGGAATGGTAAGGTATCTACTAGAGCCGACGCATTTGTTGTCGAACTTGGCAAATTGGGTGCCAACGTTACTATAGCTCGCTGTGATGTTTCGGATCTTGACAGCCTTAAAATTGTTATGCAGGAATTTACCGCCGCTAGACCTCTACGAGGCGTGATTCATGCAGCTGGAGTGGTCGATTCTGGCGTTTTATCATCCTTAACTCCCGAAAAATGTGTCACAACATTTGCACCCAAGGTAGACGGCCTTTGGAACCTACATCAACTAACAAAGGACATGGATCTCGATATTTTCATGATGTTCTCATCTATCTCTGGTATCATGGGCTTACCCGGACTTGGAAACTACGCTGCTGCTAATTCTTTTATTGATACCCTCTCTTACTTGCGACATTCTCAGGGCTTACCTGCTACCTCAGTAGCATATGGTGTCTGGGGTGGAGATGGCATGGCAACTACTCTCGTATCAACAACTCGTTACCATCTCTCGCAGCTTGGGCTAGGCTTTCTAGAACCAGAGGACGGACTGAAACTTTTTGAGCAAGGGGTTCAATGTGGAAAGCCACTCACCATAGCCGCTGTTCTGGACTTAAAACGGCTCAAATCTTATTATGGAGAACAAGGTGGCATACCCCCGCTCCTGCGCTCGATTCTGGGGGAGCAGAATGTTAAATTGCCGGTTAATATCGACATGAACTTACGCGACTTATTAACAAATGCTGCTCCTGCGCAACACGGAAGCATTGTACTCCATATTGTTCGAAAAGCCATAGCTAAAGCACTGGGATATGCTCAGATGGATGAAATGGACCCCAGTCAGCCCCTAAAGGAACTAGGAATTGACTCCTTAACCGCTATCTTGGTCCGCAATCATCTAGCAACTCTGACTGGCATGACATTACCACCAAATATTGCACTTCTTCGCCCAAATATGAAGTCACTCGGCGAGTTCATCCTATCCCTATTGCGAGACAATATTGACATTGGCTCGACATCCTCGCCAAAGGCCAACGGCCTCTCCAGGCCGAATGGGGTCTCAAGCTCTAATGGCTCCCCAAAGACTAATAATACCACTAATGGCATCCACGGCACCAATGGCACAAGAGGTTCCAACGGTGTGTCACATACTAATGGCTCCAAATCCAATGCCGAGGCCAAATCAAATGGTGGGGTGAAGGCCAACGGCTCAGCACCACAAACTGTTCCTCGTGTCGATATGGCAGCTATTAAAAGGGGTGTGCTAGATTCAAGCTTCCAATTTGAAAACATAACACAACACCCCCTCTCCCGTTTAAATACCCCGAAAGCTGTGTTTGTGACAGGACCAACAGGGTTTGTTGGTGCATTCATGGTTCATGAATTTCTCAAAAGAGGCATAGCTGTATACTGTCTTATACGCTCTAATAACCTAGATCAGGCTCAAGAACGCATGACACAAACACTACGGGAATATGATCTTTGGAACCCGGAGTATGCACCGTTGATTCACCCTATCATTGGCGATCTCTCTCAACCACTGCTTGGCCTCCGCGAGGATATGTTTGATGAGCTAGCTGATGTAGTCGATGCAATAATCCATTCAGGAGCTCTTGTGGATTGGATGCGCCCTTTGGAAGACTATATTGGTCCCAATATTTTGGGTACCCATGAAATTTTACGTCTTGCTTCTCATGGACGTGGAAAAGCGGTCCATTTTATCTCAACCATTTCCACACTGCCCATCCACTTAGGTTATGGCCTTACTGAACTCGATGGAGAATATGGCTATGGTACTTCAAAATACCTTGCTGAGAGAATGATTGTGGCCGCTCGTTTCCGCGGAGCGGTAGCTTCTTCTTATCGCCTGCCATTTGTCGCCGCTTCAGGTACTAATGGCCGCTTCCGCCTTGATCGTGGTGACTTTTTGAATAATCTTGTTATGGGGAGCCTTGACTTGGGGGCTTTTCCATCCTTAAATGCCACGTTGTCCAGCGTTCTTCCGGTTGATTATTTATGTAGCACTATTGCCATGATTATTACTGAGGACCAGGGACGCATTGGCGAAGATTACGACTTTGTGAATCCGCACGCCCCTACCTTTGACACCTTCTTTGGATTTATGGGTGCTGCTAGTGGTAATCTGGAGTTGCTCCCTTTCAGTCAATGGCATTGTCGTGCCCTTGAGTATGCAACACTTAATCCGAAGAGCCCCTTGGCCCGTATTACCACCGTTCTCGATGGCTATACTGACGAGACCGCCGGAGCTTTGCTGAAGGGCAGCCCTGTTGGTAAGCACGTATTCGGGTTGGATGTATATCCAGCCCCGTTGATTGGTGAGGAATATATACATAAATATCTGGACTCAATCAACTGTACAAGACAAAATGGTGGGCTATGAGTAATCAGAGTAAAATAGATTGATAGAGTAGAATATTATGCACATCTCGGTTACCCAATCAATATTTTAACTTCCATCGCGCTGTACAGATATCAGAGGATGAAGGGGTACAGCCTGGTCACCATGACCGTCTTCATGATGTATGATCATGTTTAACCAATGCAGACGTGCCCAGCTCACTATCTTTTTTTGCATCCAGATTTAACCTACAGACATATATGTACCTACCATGACTAGTTTATGTTAGGGTCGTAAACAGTAACTGCATCTTTTCTGACCCTGATCCTTTGGCTCTTTCCATAATCTCCACCACTCTCCACAGGATCATTTTCATTCTCCCATTCCCACCACTTCAAAGTCCTCCATTTAGGGCGTAAGACGCACATAACCTGCCCCTTTATCAATCCCATAGATATAGGGCCATATGTATTGCTGTCAAAAGACAAGTCGGGATCAGTTGCATCGCCTTCGACCCAGACATGATTCCAGGGAACAATCTGGGTTTTTTGGCCTCCCTCGCCAGACTTCGGCGGCCGTGTAGTGACAATATCGCCTGGTAGGGCTATGATACGTTTCACAGACAATTTGCTCGGTTCAGTTCTAGAACTGGATCCGCGCAACGATCTAAATGTAATATCGATTAGTATCAAATATTTGGGATACAAGTAATTCGAGGGATACTAACGGAAATACAACCACCATTCCTCTTTCTAAATGCAGCTTTGTGGCATATGTGACATCCACCAGCACCATCTCGCTATCAATATTGTCGATATTGTAGCCCTTATTTAGATATGGTGACATAGATGCACCACTGATCCATTTGATATCCAAAACATGTTCGCGAATAACTATGAAGAGAGCTAACCCCTGGATTGTGAACAAAAATGTGTCGAGTGCAGCATTTCTGCCAAAAGAATATCGTGAGCGACCCCGTGGTCCATCCGTGTTATTCGCGTTATTATTGCCATCGTACTGATTTCTGGGATCATTACTGCTAGATGCAGCGGTTAAACATCGTTTATGTACCGAATTAAGCTTGGATATATGCGATTTTGACCTAGAAGGAGCTGCGTTTGGCTGCGACAATCGGTGGATAATCCCAAGGTTTGGTTTCTTCAGGATCAATCGGGGAAGGCGAGAGGCCAACGGTATAAAGAATCCATTCAATAGTGATAACATGAGTAGAGGAAATTCCCCTGTCCTGAAGGGCTGTAGCTATATCTCATGCTCTTTGATCGTGGTTCGTACCTATGTTGGGCTGGGAATATCTGCAGGTGAGGTTGCGCTGATCTGATAAGATAATGAAGTCTTGGCATCTGGATGCAACCGTGAAATTCAATATTGACTGCAAGTTGTCAACCTCATACCTGCAAGTTCTTGTGAGATATAATCTATACCCAGACTACCCCAAGAATACATTTAATCAAGGCATTTGATGGAAATATGGATACAGATCAGGAGATACCATGGCCTATTTATTGTATACCGTTTACCAAAATTGCCAATCGAGTTCTTTGGTCAACAACGATCTTTTATCAAGGTTCATTATAAAGTATAGAGGAGCCTTATCGTATCATGTTATGGACTATCTCTATATATTACTTTACAGAAGGAGTGTGGTATATAAATGATTCAAGAATGGAAGTAGGCCATGCTAGTTTACAATAGGTGCTATTCAAATTGTTATCACGTAAGCTACAAGCCTTACTGAGAGGACAAAACGTCAAGCTCTTCACTTTTGTTGCGTTGTTCCCTCTATCTGCTCTAAGACTCAGATATTATATTCACTCCCACATGTAGTACTGCAGAGCAGTACTTAAACTGTTATTAGCCATACCCACTGCTCTAGATCCCGCGCTCTAGTGTAGTAGGTTTTTCTACTCTATTTACCCTAAAGTGGTGAATCTAAGGCAGCAGGTCGCGTTAAATTATCATCATGTAAGTGTTTTCTGTTTATTTTTTTATCACCTCTTCCTAAAAACATGTGAACGTTTTACATTTAACTGACCATATTTATAGGACTATCGGTGGCTCTTATCTGCAATAAAGATCCCACAGCTGAGGGAGCTACTCTAATGAGTCTCTCTACTGATCTTCTGTGCATGGTTGCGGCAGAACTTGGCATGTCTGACATGGGTCGATTTGCCCGCTGCAATAAACGCCTTGACACCGCAATCACTCCGTTTTTATATCGATTCAAGGTCAAGCCTTAATGGCTGGGATAAAACCTGGCCAGTACGCGTATAAATCCCCAGTAGCAACATGGGAAACCGCCCATGTGAGTAGCATGCTTGTCACTCATACCCTCCTCGAATAGGCTGCCCTGATGAACCTGGATAGTTCTATCACCAGAATGATAGGACCCAAGCCGGACCGAAACTTTGTTGTGGACATGCATTTTGGACGCGCTTTGGAGTTGGCATCTATGGTTGGCAGTGCAGCTGCTTTGAAAGCACTTGTGGCCACTCACGCCGGGAGATGGCCTAGGGGGAAATGGGGCTATTATCCCATGCATCAGGTGGCTTTCAACGATCATATTGACGCTATTCAGGTTCTACTTGATACTGGTTGTCCCATAAATAAGTTTGATGACCGTCATATGACCCCTCTTGCCGTGGCTACGGCTCGCAAGAAGATCGCTACTGCGAGATTTTTCCTGGAAAAGGGGGCTCGAAAGACTAAACTCTGCCGTGATGCCCAACTTGCGCTCGCTATACTAATTGAAGAACCCCTACCTGATCAAGAGAGCGAAGTGAAAGACGCATTCACGTATGTATACCCCGAAATAGGCGTCAATCAATGGTGTCTCCAGGTATCTCATGACTAAACGCTAATTCTCAACGTAGTACGTGGTACCTCTACAATACTGATTCCCATATGAGAGAAATTGAATACCGCAACCTGCCCTCTTTTTAACCTCCAGATACCCAGCCTTTTCCTTTTCATGTACTCGTTCATTTATCTACAAAACGAGGTTATCCGATCACCAAGCGCATATGTACTGCCACCCTGTTACCTGTGAAATATGAAAGGTAAATCCCACCCAGCCCAATTGCGTCTAGTCATGGAGGTTCAAATCCTTCTGCCAGCATTCATCTGTGCGAGACAGAACCATGGTCGAAAAATTGGCAGGACTTCATATATCCTATTATTCCTATTTGCCACCTTTCTTTCTTGCTACAGAGCTTCAGCTGCACCGCACTTCAACGCTTTATGAAGGCATATCATTCGATCATGTACCAGATAACCTCAATATGTACGGAGTATGTAAAAAGAAAGTAATATCCTGATCAGCTCCCTGTGTCAAGTGTTCTCTCTTCCATTGACTTCCGCATATCGAAGATCAACCAGCCGATCCAACCTCGGGATGTACCCCCGCCTTTTCTTCTTTCCTTTTTTTTTTTCTTGACCCGGAGAAAGGAAACATAAATAATCTCCAGCCTGAAGGATGATGTACCACTACAAACCAGCCTGGATCGAAATATATACGCTACATAGCACATAGCACAGCACTGAAGTTTACTTCGCGGCACGAAAGTCACCAGAACCCCGTAGCCTTCAGGAAAGCATACTAATAAGTATCCAGAATCGTGTCGAACTGCATCAAGGTTTCTGCTCTCACACAAGCAATTATGTTTTATCGCTGGATATTCATTTTGATCGCAATCTAAAATTGATCAATCGAGGAACTAGACGCCTCGTCACTCACTAAGAGAAAGCTCCGAGCAAGTATTGCGCTAGTGGTCTGTCCTCCTGTAGCCTTCATGAGAACAAGGGTGATCATAAAAGAATGTCCATTGATCCCCATTGTCTGTTGCTACTTATAGCGATCCAAACTACCACCATATGCTTGGGTGTACCTACGATGGGATGGCATCGAGCCACAATCGATAATCTCATGTTCAAACAAAAAAAGAAAATATAATGGTCCCAAGAGATAGCAGAATGATGCATGTAACAACTACCGTATCATGCGCTGTGTAACTTCGCAATTGTAGTGGGACTGGGGGAGTGAATAAAATATCTGTATGTATGTGATCTCGCTGCCTTACAGACAGCCATTACCTTTTAAAACGGGAGCCGCATCTGTGTACCATCTGTAATAAACGAGACGTATTTTCTGCGCTTGGGTAGTCCAAATTGATAGTGTCAATAAGTGTAAAAAACTTTCTTCACCGCCCATGAGTCTGTGCAAACGGCTCCTAGGATATTTCGAGGATGCGATGCATGGTGTATCACCAGAACAATTCCAACTTGGTTAAGGGATACAGCATGGTATTGGTCGGAGGATTTGGCCTCCTTGACGCATCTGACTATTGAATCCATCATATTCCCCAGGGATTGGTTCAGCTTGCTTGTCTGCGGCTGTGGAAGCGTGCCATCTCAGCTGAATTTGCATGGAGGAGCACAGCTGATGCAAGGCAAACCGATCAGAAATGCCTGGAAGGGAGACAGAAATCCAATGAGTCTGGACTTGAGTGAAAGGGCTATGGACAGACTTTGGGCTCCGACGCTGCTGCTAAACGCCAAACTGAACATTGATTCGGGGATTCTGTACTCCGTATTTCGTATGGGTGAAAAAAAAATGTCTGCATTCTCGTCTGAATAAACTGCAACATCACCAACGGCAGAAACTGTCGGGATGGCCGAGTCTGGAATATGCAGGAAGGCAGGGAGAACTACATGGCTTGAGAAGAGTTTTCCCCATCGACATACTCCGTAATGGACGATATTTTGTAGACCTCGGTTGATCGCAAATGAGAAAAATGCCAGTCTTGATAGCCACGGAAATAGCCGTGAGCAGATTCCTTGCCCATGGATATAGACATTCTATGGGAAGACTAGCTGCAAATCCTGAACTGTGGCCGGCGACCTAACCGATAGGCATTCCGCAAATATGTGAACCCGCCACTCCACCGTTGACTGCTGAATTGCTTCCGTGGAAAAGCTTCTTCTCCCGATACGCCAATTATGAAACGAGAACACCTACCAGAAAGATCATAGAAGCCATATCGTACGGATATCACCAACGAAGCAATAGGTGATGAGCTTTAAGGTCTCCACCAGCTGAGCTAGAATAATGCCCAAATTCCTCGGGAGTGCTGGAAGCATGTGTTAAAGGATTAAGAAAGGGGGGAGGGGGCCTGGTTCAAGCAAGTTGAATCGAGTAACTGGCGGAGTTTAAGACAAACAAAAACCAATACAAAATATAGAAAATGGGGATGGGGAGGGGGGGGGAGACAAAATTCAACTGGGGAAGAGATGAATATCACCAGTGATATGCAGAAAAAAAGCGTATGCAATGAGACTTGCCTTTTTAGGGAAAGTCTTTCCTAGCCAGAACTCGTCGCCACGAGCGCAGGGTAAACTGATCCAATATCAGCGCACCCAGGCGAGATTGGTTGAATCGTGTCCCCAAAGAAGATAAGGAGGGAAACAGAATCGCCTGCCTCGGTCGCGGGCTGATAGCCTGGAAAAGCTTTGCCAGTAGGTCTAGCCGAACATGCTCTGAGGCCTGAGAAACCATAACTGCTTCGAGATATGACTATAGTGCTAGTCGGCCCGTTTTATTATCAGGGAAGGCTAATTCCCCACTCAATATGGAGCTAGTGGCATCTTAGTGCGCACTTAAGTAGTATGCCACTTCTTCACGCCCTGCCACCTCATCCTTGAAAAAAGTGGCCTTTTCCCGGAGATGAAGGGAAAGGAAGCGCCAGTGTCAACGGCCAGTTTCTAACTTTCGGGAAAAGATGTGTTCAACAACTTCAGCCACGCATCACGATCCACAAGCCAGTCAGTGGGTCGTTTATTGTGGGGGAAAGCTCCTCCCGATTTTTGTAGATACTTGTTGAAGTTCCGTATTTTCAAAAGCTTTATATGTTTATTATTGTTATTATTATTATTATTTTTCGTCGGCTTCTTCCTCCGCTGTAGAACTCTGTGAGTTACTATACGATTTATCCGATAGAAAAAGGGGGTTCGTACTATGTGCGGAGTATAGTTGTCCATTTAATCAACAACCAAGCAGGGTTTCAGACGAGAATAAAAGCTTCTTCACAGTGAGAAAACGTTCTCTGTTCCTGCCTTTTGAGATCCATCAGATCTGCCCTGCCAGGTGGAATGCCATATCCGAAGTAGCTATGTACTTACGTACGTGTAATTGTTAGTACATGTTCCAGGGAGAATGAAAGCTTGTGATAGAAAGAGGCGAGCAAGCTGTGTTACGGGTCTGATATGCACCTTAGCCATGGATAAGCAATTGAAGGCAGCCGAGGTTCTGCACAGAGTACATCTGTCACAGCTTGCTACAGCCTTCCCTAAGACCTGTCTTCTGTCATTTGCATCTCTTCTGCTGCTCCTTTGCCTCCTGTATCCTTCAACCGGTTCTTGCATCTCCGACTTCATTGATGTCCGGAAGGTACGGAGTTCTTGTCAAAAGAGAAAAAAATTAAGGTTAAGCCTCCAACTTAATGACTAAAACATTACATAGCACGGATAAATGAAATACCGGTTCCCAGCGGTCCAGTCACGTGGAAATCTACCTTCCCCACAGGAGCTTCGACAGCTTCGACGGAGCGATGCAAGAGACGCAGACGGAGACGGGGACAAGCAAAGGAAGAAGACGGCCTGAAAGGACACAGTGAGAGGACCAAGAGGAAGAGAGACAGCCATACATACAGATATTGGATGGTGAGGGCCACAAGATCTATAGAGACAGCCCTGGGCTGCAGACATTCAGAGTGATCGGTGATCTTCCAAGGAGAAACGTCATATCAAATTGTTCTGCCTACACCAACAAGTACCTACCACTACCCTTTACGTCAACCTATCCACAACACAGACCGGCAAGAGAAAAGACCTAGAAAATGGCGTCTACTATCCTACCCCTGGCTGAAATCCCTACATTGTCTCTACTTTATCGTCTTAGACATCTTGCGGCAGCGGCTACCCCGCAGGTCTCCACGCCATCGCAGCGACTCAACGATATCATCAGCCATGTAACCCATGATATCACCCGTCTCGAAGTTGACTGCATCGTGAATGCCGCGAACGAATCCCTTCTCGGTGGTGGAGGCGTCGACGGGGCCATTCATCGAGTAGCGGGCCCAAACTTGCTGCGAGAGTGTCGTACGCTTGATGGATGCCAGACGGGCGATGCCAAGATCACAGATGCCTATGAACTGCCATGCAAAAGGGTCGTCCATGCTGTGGGACCTGTATATGTGATGGAAAGGTTTCGTGGAGGTCCTGGTCGGGGTGACGTGCGAAGACCAGAGACGCTGCTGAGAGGCTGCTACCAGCGCAGCCTGGAACTCGCAGTCGCCAATGGAGCAAAGAGTATCGCCTTTTCGTCGATTAGTACCGGGGTTTATGGGTATCCAAGTGTCGAGGCGGCCACTGTGGCGATCAAGGTGGTGAGAGAGTTCCTTGAGTCCCATCCCCAGTCATTGGAGAGGGTCATCTTCTGTACCTTTGAGAGAAAAGATTGCAGGGCATATGATATGCTCCTACCGTACGTATTTTTGTTTCTGCCGTTCTCCAATCGTTCTTCACTATGGGTATTTGAACCGGAAGGGATAGCAGAAAAAGAAGAAATCGAAAAAGAAAACAATCCAGCTAACGAGTTGCTGATTTATGATGCCATAGTCAATATTTCCCTCCCACTGAACAGGATCTTCCGCCTTCCACAACCACTAAGGCGGAAGAAACAGAAATGGGTTCTGGCGTTCCACATACCCCCGAGATCCTCGCCGCCAGTCTTCCTGATGCGCCAACATCTGAACCAGTGACTCAGGACGGTGGCTCCACGGCTAAAAAGGCAAAGCTGGCCCCAGATAATAGCACCATCACTGCTCGAGATCTCGAAGATGACGATGATTGGGAAAAGGTTGACCAACCGGTGAACACCAAGGAGAACCTCGACGACGATCCGGTGGAAGTTGACAACGGTCCAACCGCGGCAGACGTCCAGAGTGTTTCCAGTGCCGCTGATCTTGAATCCTCCCATGAAGGAAAATTCAGATAAGTTCAGTCCTGACATTGACAGGCTGGAGGAATTTCTTTTTTTCCCTCTCCTTTTTTTCTATTTATTTAATTCAAAGTCACCAACCACCCTTGTATACAACGTACTTCAAGCCATTACACCTCCTCGTTGGTTCTTTTTTCCTTTTCTTTCTTTTCTTCTTCCCCTCTCCTCACGAATGTGATATGATACAATGTGGTCAATGTACTCTGGAATTACGGATATGGCTTAAGGGATTATGGGGTTGATTGGAGCATGGCTGTCTATCAAATAACAAGTATGCGTGTTCCCCAATGCAGACATCGGGCTTTCCAAACCGACCATGTTTTCTTTTGCCCTCCTGCCCTTTTTATCGCGTCAACCCAACCCTTGCAGTTCCACCTAGTCAGGGGCAACCGTAGCCTAAATCTCCCCATCTCCTCCACTGGATGCCTCAAGAGGATCGTCAAGCCATGAAACGGCCGGGCCACCTTGCATCCTCACATATATATGTATGCATTATCAAAAGATTATCGAGGTCCGAAAGTCCGGCCGGAAGGTTGAAGCGGAGCGAGGAGGCACGCCTGGGCGTTTGCGCCGGCCAACTAGTTTTAGACTATTAGGGTTAACTAAGTCTGTGTACATGTACAATAAGTATTACCGCTCCATAGCCTTGTGACACTCATCGATCGTTCGATGCCATGGAACGGGGACTCTACTATAGTGATATGATATGGACTTGCATCCTTTGCCCCTGTGCTCGATGCCGATTTGTCGATATCCATCTATAAGACGGATGGTATATACGGATATCTCCCAGCACAACGGACCAGGGAGCCGAACTGAAAGGGGAAACTCGAGCAGAGCAAAGGGCCTCTCGACGTTCGTAAAAACGGTGAAATCAGGGAAGAAAAAAAAAAAAAGAAAGAAAGATGAAGCAAGGGAACGCTTCGGAGATTTTTCTCCTTTTAGCCCTTAACGGGGTAAGGTTCTATATCAAACCTGTTAACCATAATTCTTAGCTAACAATAATCCATACTAATCTGCGTAAAAGACCGGACAGGCAGACAGGGAGACAGACAGAAAGTGAGTATAAGTTCTCCTTTTTACGGTTTTGTGAACGGAAAGGTTTCGTTTTCGTTATGAAGATTTAGATGAGATACGATTCGCAGGGATTGGAATGCAAATCCCGATCATCGGATGGTTTTACCGAGGAGAGCCAGGAGTCAAGCAGGATGGTATGATATTATAGCACAGGAATATGCCAATATATTCCCTATACACCAGGGGGAGGGGTGTTAAATGATGATGCACTGCCCCCAAAAACCGGACTTTTGCCCCTTTTCCTCCCGTTACGAAATTGGGAGAACGAGAACGAGGGAGCGATGGGAGGCAGCTCAGAAAGAATAGAAGGACGATAAAGATGGGGAGTAGTAGCTCGTTCCTACAAATCCCGACAGTAATGTCTTTTTATATCAGCGGCCTCCAAGCATCTGCTGAGGTGATTGGGCTGGGAACGGTTCTGCAACGTCCTTTCCCCGTCCCCTGCTTGCGCAGTTGGCGCCCCATATTTAGGGAGTTTTTCTTTTCTTCGTGCTTGTTTGCTTGCCATTTTTCTTTTTTCTCCCCCGTCCACTGTGCATGTGGTTTCCCCCATGCTTAGTTTCGGACTCTTTGAAAAATATTCAAGGAACACAAGATGAGAATGGGGATGTTGCATTAACCTAATCTAGGTTACATCATGGTATTGGGCGATAAAAAAGGAACGGGCGTGTTGCATGAGAGGGGAAGGGGGAAGCAGCGAAGGCGCAATGGCCATATGCAGTGCGCTAGTTGAGTAGAGAATCAGAGGCCTTTCCTGGGGCTATATGTGCGGGATGTATGCTTCATATGAGAGCAGAGGCAGACGAGAGTATATAGCAAAAAGAACAGCTCTAGACTTTCGGTGCAGTCAGATAAGCAAGGAGGCATTGCGGCTGCGAACGAATGAAGATTATACCTCCATCGACTGGCTGAGCTCTAGAAAGCCGAAGAGTTAACATCTTGCATGAAATCTTTTGTTCCATCACACCAAGCAGGGGTGAAGAGACCATGTTGGAAACATGTGGGAGAAAAGGAGGCAAGGGATTTTGTTCCTCTTCATCGTATAGAGCCTTTTTTTGTAAATCGTTGGAAGAGACTATTTTGTTTGTAAAATCAAGATTTCAGCGCTTGTGGCTGGGTTGAACGCATAACGTAAGTGTATCTGGCAGACCTGTTTTCAGGATAGAAGCCGAGTAGACGATGCTTGAGGATCATTCGGCTATTGACAGGGTTCCTTCAGGGTTTATTTTGCTGAATTGAAAGCTCCTCTCCTCGTATGTAATAATCGAGCTGGTGATATTATATATATGTATATATATGTGCTGACATATTATATAGCCGGGTCATCCCTCGGAAACAGTGTATTCCGCCAATAGAATATCGGAAATCGCTGTCTTTTTCGAGGAAGCAGAAATAGGGAGGGCAGATTATGCGAAAATCCTGGCCATTAAAACGAGAGAAGTCAAGCTCTGCGTCCTGTTTTCTTTTTCGGCTCTTACTCCTCCTCGCCTCGCCCGTTAGGCAAACGGCGGCAGCGCAAGATGGCCGTTGAGATGGACATGTCATTTTTTCGCCCTCTTGCTCCTTCGCTTGCCTTTCTTCTCCACTTGGGGTCTTTGTTTCTTAGTGCATATGACGACATAAAAGTCCCATGCATAGTTATCCCTTTCTTTTCGTGGCTTCCTTTTCCCCTTCTTTGGCCCTTCCCATGCGGAAACGGGCATGGGATCATGGATTGGGGAGGCGGGAAAGATCCCTAGAAGACCTTGGCGACTCCAGCCGTTGGCAATCTGCAGCCTATTGCATCCTGGGACCAGCAGTAAAAGTGCGAAAAGTATCGTAGAGCATTTTTAGGGGAACGGGACAACCAGAGCGAAAAAGGAAAGTGGCCTGAAAAGCAGGCTAGAGGTGTAAGATGGTTACATTACTTCTGGAACCCGGAGCCCTCTGGTTCTCGTTCTCGTGTCCTATTGATGGTCTCATTCTTCCGATCCGAGGTGGATAGAAGTATAGCAACGGATTTTAAATATTCTTGAAGAAGGCAGAGAAAGCCGCTAGGCGAGCCCATCAGATGTTGAGATTTTCCCCTGCTCACCTGCCAAATTGGTGAGGCGGCCCGCTGATCAGGCTTAGCGGTATGGAGAAGAAATAATGCTCGGGGGATGGTGGACTCCTTCTGTAAGCCCGATCGATCGTATGTTCCGATCTAAGACAGTAAAGTTAGCCCTCAGCCTTAGTGTATATAATTTTATGTAAGTAACTGATCCCGAGCATCTCCATAAAATTAACAGTCAAAAACCCTGTTATATATATAGAGTAGTTCTTTTCATTAAACAACAAACCTGACAGTCCGAACACATGGAGGGGAAGTAAAAGAGCTGTGTATATGCGACAACAGCAATATTGGATCTCGCTTGTGTCTTGTCCCTTCCAATCTGCCTTCTATGGCTGGAGTAAGGACAACGTATCGATCTTCGGTGTAACGTTCTCGGGACCGATAGGGATGAGGACAGTGCCATGGAGTCATAGAATCATGCGCTCTCGCGTATAATTTGTGAATGCTGGCTCTTGTACGATGTAAAAGGCAGTGATAGCCCATGATTTGCTGGCTGACCGGGAGTTGTGCCATGGTTCAAGCAATCCCAAGTGCCTGGATATAATTTTCAGTCCGCCTCGCCAATAAGATGGTGTGGACGGAGGAAGTGTTTTTGCTGACTTTTTACAACGCAGCAATCTAGTAAAAATAGTTTAATCTGTCTCACCTTGAAGAAAGAGGGGCGCTTGTCTGCCTCCTGTGTTGCGTGTTGTCTGTTGTTTGTTGGATCCATATGCTATTGGCATTGCAGCTGGCAACTTGGACCCAGATATTCGGCTTCACCTCCTATTGTTACACTTCCATTCCACACTAGTTTAGTTAGTTCAGCTCAGTTGTGTGGGATGGGGATGGATATATGGAGATGACGATGGGGGAAGCAGGGGAGAACATTCCGGGTTTGGAAGATTTCAGACCAGTCGTACTCCGTATATGCGAGTGCTTGTCCTTCAGGCTTGCTTGCTGGTCGTTTTGGACATGCACCAGCATCAAAGTCAAGTTACGGAGGAGAGACAGAAGACATCATCACCATAAGTCTGTCTGTCGTGACAGATTCCTGGATCAGCGGCCCAAAATCCACATCCGTGTCCCATATTCTCCTCATATTAATCGCTATTCCGCCCCTTTTCATATTGATGCCATGTCCATAGTTACGGAGTCCAATCGTACCCGTGTCTCGGAGCAACTGCTTGCACGAATGTATCAGATCAAGCGGCTCAACCGGCGTTCAACCGTTGTTGTTTTAGTACTTATGGAGAAAGACAGCAAAATCTGATTTCTCCTCGTGCGTGAAAATGTATCTGTGTGTGTATATATGCATCTCTCCTGAGACTATGTCCGCACATCCACGCCACATCCGCCTTCCATCTGGCCGGATTGCTATCGTGCATGGACAATAAATCAACTAGTGCGTATTTGACGGCGTATATTATGCTGTATAAACACCGTTTTATGTACGGAGAAGGCAAAGCGAGGCCCTGTTGCTTTTTTGATCGTGCTTCCTGCTGAAGAGAGCAAGGTCACCCTGTTTGATGCTGCATTTCGAGGTCTCTGCCTCTGCGTCCTCGTATCCAACCCCTGCTAGGGGGAAAGAGCCCTAATCTCGATGGTTCGCGGGCCGGATTCCCGATCTGTCTTCCTTTTTATTTTGCGTTTTTGTTTTATATTTTCAATTCCTCTCGGCGGCTTTTTGCAGGTCCCCATGTTCCCATCTCCAATCCGCATCCCCATCTGCATCATCATCACCGGAAGGAGAAAATACAGGATCAATCACCGTTGCCTCTCTTGCAGTTTATCCCCCCCGCCTCCGTCTCCCGTCTGTCTGTCTGAATGCATGTGTCTGTCTCCCCTTGCTTGTCCCAGAACATGGCCAGGAACTCTCGCTCCCCCCCCCGCCCCCCATCCGTTGCAAGAGAAGGCTGGTGGTCAGGTCAGGGGGCAACCACCACGCCATCTGTTTTCTTGCTTTTTCCTATACTCTCTTTGCTTCTTCTGTATCCTCTCCTCTCTTCTTGAGACTCGCTGGTTGTGCAGCTTTCCTTGTCCCACAGTATAAGCGTGAGCGCGAGATCTGATCTATCTGCTCATCCACGCCACTGGCCATCGTCATGTGTGATCTTCGTATATCTGCAATCTCTGTATCTCACACCTCTGCCTGGTGATATCTGCAGGCCCGTCTCTCATTCAGCTTCGCCATCCTCTTCGTCTCTGGCCCAGGATCGTAAATCCCCGACGCTAGGCCCTGTGAGCTCTGGATCTGCTTCCACAAAAAGTGAAGAGGTAATAGTGATAATAATTATGATATTAAAAAAAAAAAAAAAAAAAAAAAAAAGAGGACGAAGACGAAAAAGAAAAATCAAGTGAGAAAAACGTGTCTCTGACTGATCTCAAAACGCCTGGCACCACTCCACAGAGAGTCAAGTCGGCTCTTTTTTTTTTTTTTTTTAAAAAAAAAAAAAAAAAAAAAAAAAAAAAAAAAAAAAAAAAAACATCCCAGACGTATATCAAGACCCGCATTATAAGTACACATGTGCCAAAGACAAAGGGCCAGGGATGTCAACAGTCCAGAGAGAAATAAGAAAAGGAGCAGCAGAAGAAGAACTGCAAAAATAAGGGACCCCGTACTGCAAGGAGTAAGCAAGCACGGAACGGTGTGTAATATCCGGCCCATCGATAAGCTGGCTGCTGGCTGTTGTTGTTGCTGGCGGTGCTGCTGCTGCTGCTGCTGCTGGCTGGTGTTATTATTACCGTTTTTGACTAAGCGGCCGTCGACGTCGACGTCAACTTCATAAACCTCGACCTCCTTCGACTTCATCTCCGGTATTATCTTTCTGCCTCTGCTCCCTCGTATTTCTACTTCAATCCGCGTCAGCGCTGCTCCAAGTCATCACCACAGCTCCCTCCTAGAAGAATTCCCTGATTGTCTACCTCGAGTCTGCCTTTCCTGCAGGTCCCCTTCACGTGTATCCATCCGCCATAGACATAGGAACTGCTGTGGAAGAAGAAGCAGAGGACAGCAGGAGAAGACAACGACAAGAGAGAAAAAGAAAAGAAACGACCTCTGCCAGCAAACCCCGAAGCCCGACCAACAGCAGGTTCAAAAAGAAACAAAGCAGCAGCGGTTTGTCTTGTGTTGGCTGAAAGACGGACGCAAGGCAGCAGACGACAGAGGGAGCCATCCCAATTTAGAAGACTCAACTCTGGCGAGGAAGCCCCCAGATAGAGCAGAGCCAGCAAGCAAGCCAGCGTCGACGAAAAGAAACAAAAGGGGACGAAAAAGAAACCAAGGCCACAGTCAGAAAAGGGAAGAAGGATAAGAAAAAGCATGGTTCTTTTGCGTGCGCTGTGAATCTGATATCCGATCTGATCTGAACCCAGCCCGCATCCAACCATTACACGCGAAAGAGAGATCCGTCCGTACGTTAAAAAGGGAGAACGATCTTTGTACGCCCTCGACTCGACTCTCCTACTCATTCATGCACCTGGCTGCTGGATTGGCCCTCTTCGTTGGCGTCACCCCTTTCGATCTGGCCAAGATCCAGCCCGCGAGCCCAATTTTTGGCTACCGTGCTACGCTTTGGCCGTGAACCTGCAACAGCCCGTCAAAGCTTATACGGGGAAGTCTCTCTGATAAATTGGCACATATACACATCTATATACGTATATCGATCGATCTAAGCACACCTGGACCGTGTCTCCGTGTGTATATAAACATATACACATCTGTACGTCTAGATACGGTCTCGATCCTTACGCCCGCCATCCAACAGATCTCATCTGGGGAAGAAGGAACCTTCCTTTCGCCGTCTCGACAAGCTGGCCTTTTTGTTTTCTTTTTCTCCATTTCTCCTCCCTCTTGCTCCTCAAACTGGCGAGTGACAGTCCCCGGGTACTCGCAGCAACGGAACAGTGAGCAAGCAGAGCCACCTCGTATCGCCGGGTAGTTCTGATACTGTTTCAAGTTCACCCTCGCCCCAAGCAAACCACTTTCGAAAAATATGAGCTCTGTCTTCCCTTGAGCCAAATAAGGTTGACCGATTACGTTATTTCCCGTACCTTCAAGAGCATATTTTAAAGTCGACTTTTAGCGCCGCGAAGCAATCCAAAAAGGAAGCAAAAGGGTGGAAGAAGAAATTAATTAAAAAAAAAAAAAAAAAAAAAAAAAAAAACCAAAAGGAAATAACAACAGAAGAAAAACAAAACTTGCCGCTATCCAGAATCCATTCAGAGGCCAAATACTATACACTCGATCCCGCCCCCTCTGCCTCGCTCAGTCTCTCTAGGAGAGACCAGCTGGGCTCGCACGCACCGCACGCGTGCCACTGAAAGAGCACAGCGGACTCTGACGACATAAACAGACTCTGGTCTGGAGCTGCTCCTGTACATGTACCTGTTCCAGTTACCGCCATTCGGATTTGCTCGTCTTCTGGTCCACGGGACGCCCGCTGCAACCGCATTTCTCAAAACCGATATCCTGCTACCCCTGGATTAAAACAGCTCTTGTTTTCTCTCACTACAACCCTGGTTTCTCCGTCTTCAGCGGCAAGCAAACACCCTGCTACATAGTCTCCCATGGCGACTGGACTCACTGCCTCTTCGTCTTCTACTCATCTCTTCCATCGACAGTCCTCCACCATGTATCACAGCAATCACCCGCAATATAACTACTCTCCTCCCACTCACCACCAACCGCCTCCGCCATCGTCCAGGTCGTCGGCAGAGATATCTCCTTCGACTCGTCCGCATAGGCTGGCCGATGTTCCAGTTTCTTCCCACCCTCCCAGCGTAAAGTCGCTGCCGTCTATCCACGAGGCACTCGGAAAGAGCAATCCTCTACCATACCCTCACCCTCAGCCGTCAGTATGCGGCCCCTCGCAGGCACCGGGTCACATTGCGCCTTCATCAAATCTCATGACTGGCCCAAGTGCGGAAGGGCCGAGTGGGCCATCAAACCCGTTCTCATCAACAAACTCCTCAGCCCCATCCCTGCGGGAATCCATCCTTAACTCGCAGCATCACCCCTCTGCTCCATCTCAGTCCGAAGGCTCAATAAGGTCTCAAGACTCACAAACCCGCTCTATACACTCCATAGGATCGGAGAAATCGTCTACAAGGAGCTCGGTTGCCGACAGAACATCAATATGTACCTCACACGCACCTAGCTTTGACATGCTATCTACGACTTCCACTGCCGTCTCTTCGCCAACTAGCTATGTGTCGCCAGTGAGCTACAACCCGCCCTCCTATTCATCCCACCGCAGTGTCCCTACTTCGCAAACTTTCCCTCAACCATCCTTCGAAAACAGACCTGCTCATTCGACATGGACCTTTGGCGCTTCCGACCATACCTCAATGGAGGGGGTAAAGTCGTTGCAGAAAAATAATGGAGGACAATACTGTGATGCAGTCAAAAGACACCTTGATGATTACGACGTCCGCGCATCTCTAAACGAGGTATTTTATTTCCCGTTCCGTCATGTTGCTAGTTGACTCGTTTGAAAGAGAGAACAAAAAAAACGGCTAACTCTAATGTACAGGTCCGAGACACGAGTTCCCGGACGCTAGATATACTTCGACCATATTCTCAACGTCCCCAGTCAACTAGGGCAGAGTCAATCGATGCAGCTAGCTTGTTACCCTCGCTGGCTGAAATCGATGAGTTACTCCACCTCCATCGCCACACGGCAGAGATTCTCGAAAGAATCCGTTCGGCCGCAATCTCCCATGAACACTCTTTAAACGAGCAGCGGAGTCACCAACAAATATTTAAAGCAGATCACACCCGCGAGAAAGAGCGGATGTCGATGTACGGCGAGGAGTACAAAAATGGTACCGTCTTGGCAGGTGGCAATAACACTCACATAATGAATGGTTCTAGCCTCGAAAAGAAGCGCAGGGTACGATGAACTTTCCCCTCCACTGAGCATGATCTATCATCTTCACTCAACACTCAGTTCCGCTCTTGCTAACCTCCAAACTGTAGAAAGCTGCCCCACCTGGCCGCTGTCATAGCTGCAATCGTGCTGAGACCCCCGAATGGCGCAGAGGACCTGACGGTGCTCGAACTCTCTGCAACGCTTGCGGTCTGCACTACGCCAAACTCACTCGCAAACAGGGCATGAACAAGACAGCCTCATCTACATCTTCCTCTTCGCAGATGGCAATGGCTGCAAGTAATATCAGGCCAAGAGCTGGTGTTGGCCGATCACCACCTCTCCAGCCCTGATATCCTCCCTCGGTCCACTATATACCATACTATATATATTTGTGCGATGTATTTCTATACATATCTTGTCGGTCTTTTCTCCTACCATCCCCTCCCTCCTTTCTACTTTCTTACTGTCTTTTCCAAAACTGGGTGGTTCGGAAAGGTAAAAAATAAACCTAAAGATTTATTTCAACATCCGGGGGCGTTTCTTGCTCGTCCTTATTGCACCATTCGATTGATTTCCTGTCCCTTTTATTATTATTATTATTATTATTATTATTATTATTTTATCGTTGCATGTCTAATTCTCCGGAACATCTGGATTACAGGGCCGTATGTATGCTGGGAATTGTCTCTTGTCACTTTTGGAAACTGGAGTTACCAAATTTCTTTTACACACTTTGCATATGCGTGTTTGCTCTTTTGTTTTGGCCTGTGTCTGCCCGATTATGCTCCTTGTTTTTTCTATCCTGTGGTTCCTGGATCTCTTTAATTTGTTGTCATATATACCCATTTACTATTAGCAGTTCTATCGAGAATTGGAGATTTTATCACCATGATAGATAAATCTACGCCCCAAAGCATCTCTGTGCCATGTGTCATATCGAGAAGACACAGCGAACGAACTCAGTGGCCAGAACGGTCATAAAGTAGGTTTTCTGACAATAAGGTAATGACGGGGACCTACCCGCCAACCTTATCTGAACCGTTATCCAACTTTCGCCCTCAGCTAGCCACTCGACGTTTGCTTGACCTTGATTGACATCATAACTGTTAGGTATAAGCGCCGGCTTGATTCGAAATGGTCTACGGTAGCTCCTCTTGACCTAACATAGCGTGACTTATCCAGCTTCCGGTTCCACGGGAATTCAGATTGCAGAAGCAACATTATCGGACAAGGCTGTGGTGAAAATGCCTTGTGGTAACTAAAGTACTAACTTAGGTAAAAAAAAAAGACAAAGAAAAAGAAAAAGAAAAAAGAAGGAAGGAAGGAAGGAAAGGGAGGAAAAGAAAAGGAAATAAAGAAGGGAGACCAAAAAAATCAACACGTTCCTTTCAAAGATGTTACTCCGTTCACATGGATATAGGATGCCGAGAAACTCCACTGGAGCCCACCCCTCGAATCGCCCGCGATGTGTTGTCTTTTGACAGATGGAGCCTTTAGTGGCAATTTTGAAATATACCCTTGAACATGACTCACTTATATGCCTATGTTCTCGAAAATTCTTTCAGTGGGGTTTTTCGGATTCTGTGCATGATCTCCGGTCATGTCTTTAGATGAAATAACGAAACCTGCTCCGTGGGGTATGGATATGTTTTAAACTCGTGGAGAGTTAATCGTCATTTATTATCCTTGGGACTGCCCTATATATGGAGAATTTTGCTTACTAAAATTCCCTGGGGATGATCGTGCATTATCTTGCAATTATGCTTAACGGAACAACATTCATTACCACCTAATGCATACCCAGATGCTGACTCGGGACGGAAAAGCGTCTCATTTCAAGATTCAACGGGACATTGGCTAAGACACCACCTCCTGCCAAATTTTCATGTGTATAAATCCATGACCCGGCTCTTCCCAAGATTGTCTCATACATATTGAAGGGACCATTCAAATTATTTCTGCAACGGCCTTGACCCGGGGAATATTCCGGTCTGCCTTCTTCACCCGTGGAATTCTCCAGAGATACAGATTTGGCCCTTAGATACGTTAAACCTGTAATTTTGCACGGCTCAATCCTTCTAATCAAGTCTCTATACGCCGTTCCGGTCAAGGGTGAAGCTGATACCCGACCCAACAACGCTATATACCCTGACAAAGTTGAAGATATCTTTCTTCCGTTAGTGGAAAACCAGGGGCCTGTCAAACTCCCCGATGCAGATTTGCAAATCTGGAACCACACAATTCACTTTTATATGATGTGGTAATGGATGCGCACATGTTCCAGCATGGATTGGCTAGAATAGAAATATGTGCGATCTCCGAAAGCCTCCTCACCCCTATGACGTCTCAAAGAGAACAAAAATCCGAAAAAGGAGAGAGTGAATGAATTACGTGATGATAACCCTTCATATCACCTACGATTGCAAAGATGACGTTTGAATTGTATTTCCGAATAAGGGGGAAGTATCAGGAGAAAGAGGATATTGGAAACTCAGGAGTCGGATCCCGAAGATAACCTGACACTTCTAAGCAATGAGGCACTCTTCGGACTTGTGAAAGCATTACCAAATAATTTTGTTTCTTATATTCCCAAATTCCAACAGCATGGAACTGGCACTGCAAGAACCGCAGTTGCATGTTTCATATAAGGTGGTTCTGTCACCCCAAATCTCAATAAGGAGAAAGTATTGAAGTCAAGCTACACGTGATCATATAAAATCGCATTGATGGTTTAGTGGTAAAATCCGTCGTTGCCATCGACGGGCCCCGGGTTCGATTCCCGGTCGATGCATATTTTTTTTTGCTTCTGTATTTTTTTGACCGACGATATCTCTGCCATTACAGCTGCCTTATAATTATTGACTAGTCGAAGCCCGCAACGAGTTGTGAGTTTGTTTAATGTATAATACATATATGTATATCAATACGCTGGTGTAACCAACATTCACGCAGGACACAGTGCCTGCTAATGCGAGATAGAAAGTGAATATACATTGAAGACTAGACAGCCTATATGCATGCTTATCCCTGTGTCTAATAAAGATGCAATTGAAAAGCTATGAATTACAAGAAGTCCGCTGGCGCTTTCTGCAGACAATGCAACAAACAAACGAGAATTGAAATGAAAGAATAACAGGCGATAAAATACGCTCATATACCCTGGGAGCAAAAACACACGCAGGCAGGCGGGCAGGAATGGAATGAAGAAAATAGAAAGACGACGAAGAATACGCGCTGGAGAAAAAAAATGTATGTAGAAGAAACGAAAGGTCGGACAGCGTGGGGGGAACGGGATGGGAAAGAAGGAAAGAATGATTCACTTGAAATCCAACATGCTGTTGTTGGATGCTTACAGTTTCCGGATGCCGTGTGCTGTTCGTGTCTATTTTAATTGTAATTCGTCAAGGCGGAGATCTGAGGCTGACTCTGGGATTAGCCTTGGGTCAGGCCCTCCGATTCTACGGGTTGCATTTTCCATTTCCTGGGTGGCCACGTATTTGTTCGGTTTGCAAATGTCAGGCGTATGTTGGGGGACAGCTGGACTATGGCCAATGGACATGCCCACGCGGATCTGGAGGTAAAGCTTGTTAGAATGCGATAAGGGGGAGAGAGAGAGAGTAATAAGTAGAGGAAAGCTCGCCAACATACCAATGTTTCCAAGGCACCCTTGGAGTTATCGACCAAATCGGTGTCGAAGTTCATTCGGCCTGGCTCAAAAAGGACTAAAAGGGTACTTCCTCCGAACTTAAAGTATCCAAGTTCGTCGGTTCTGGAGACCTTTGCACCAGCCTCCTGAGTGATCACAGTGCTGCCGACCATCATTGCACCGACACAGATGACCATCACACGGCCATGAGCAACAGAGTCGATGGGGACGATGATTCGAACATTCTCGCCGTAAACGTCCAATGCCGAACGAATAGCCATTGGGTTTACGGTGTAATATTCTCCCTCAATGGTCTTGGGAGTGCCGAGAGTTCCATCAACGGGAATATGGAAGCGGTGGTAGTCTTGTGGAGCAAGACGGAAGATGCCGAGAGCCCCGTTCTTATAGCGCTCCACGTCCTCGGGATAAGCTTTCCCGAGAAGTCGTTCGATGGAGAATTCACGCCCCTTGACCCAGATCTGAGTGGCTTCAGTAATGCGGTCGAAGACCACGGAGCGACAGTCAGCAGGAGACACGATGATGTTGGGATCATCGGGAGCTGAGCAGGGACGCGCGCCTGGTTTTAGAGCACGGTAGAAGAATTCGTTGAATGACTTGAACTGGTCTAGGGGGAGAAGCACTTCGCTCATGTCAAGTTGATGGAATTCAATGAATGCCTCAATTTGACTAGACGAAGCAGGGTCGTCATATTTTCGACCTTGCTTGATACTCAAGGATTTGAGCATTTTACGAACTGCAAAAGAAGTAAATTGAGTTAGTGGCTGATTATACTTGTGTGTGAGAATATGAGGGGGTAAGTAAAAACTGGCTGACGAACTTCTCTTCTTCTCCATTTCCCTGCTCTTCAATCCCTTGTACAGCAGTCGAATACCCAACCTAACATATACGCTCATCTTCTCTTCGTTGATCTGCCCCGTCAAGCGATCCTGTACCAAGATGTTGGCCGAATTGGCACCAATCTTATAGCCTCCATAGGACAGCTTAGTGATGACTTTGCTGTACCATTTCCTCTGTGCCTGACTGGAGGTTACGAAGCCACCCATGACTAAGTTATCTACCTGTCTCCAGTCCTGACTGGCACAGGTAGCAAGATGGGTGATGATATCTGCATCGGACCGCTTACCCAGCCGAGGTTGATGGCATAGAGGACACTCGCGGATCTCAATGACATGTTCTTCGCCTCGCTCGTCAGTGAGGTCACCCTGAGGCGAGTTGGCGCCTTCTTCGCTTCCAGAAATCGATTCGTCGCGACTAGTGGTAGTAGATACTGTTGGTTGCCCAAGGTTAGTATGCGCAGGGTTCAAAGTCAGGCGAGTACCGCCGCCCCCAGCGGGTGTGAGGAGACCATTATCATCCTCATCATCTTCATCTTCATCATCGGGTAGGATCTCACTTTCTAACGGCCCTGAAGAGGACGATGGGAATTGCACTAATTTAGACATGGTGGCACCCACTGTCTTCTTTTGCAACTCCTGAAGCTTTTCCTCAAGACAGATCACCGCCTGATCAAAAGTGAGATCCATGGTGTCTCCGGTCGATTCATTTTCTGCAGCAAACCTATGGAAGAATCCGTCGATGGTTGAGTCTTTCAAGGTCGAGCCTAAGGTGTCGAGCATAGTGGTCAATTCGATTTTACTGATACGTCCGCTCTCGTCGGCATCGTACTGTCGGAGCATGACGCGCCAGAACTGCTGTCTCAGGGCTGGATAAGGCATATACTTGGCTTTAATATGAAGTTCTGGGTTATGCTTGTCTTCCCATCTGTCTTTGTTCTTCAATAAGAGAGGTATAACGTAATGTTTAAATGCTTCTGTATCGGGGTTAGTAGAAGGAAATCCAGTCTTGTCTGGAGAAGGGGGTGAAATGCTCCCCGGAACGTTCAGGGTAGCGGCGGAATCAGGTTGAGATGCAGTAGGGTTGGATGTTGGAGCCGGCTGCTGGTTTTCCTGCTGGTACTGACTTGCTAACGAGGCAGCTGAGGATTTTGACTTCAGGGATGGTTTTGCCATCTTAGCGAGGTTTGAAGCTGAAGTAGAGCGAGATAGGGTGAGTCTAAATCTAGATTTGGAGGAGCTTTGAGGAGTGGTGGACTCAACGGGGTCCTGGGGGAGGTCGAGGAGTTCGTATAGGCCGGTCTCTGGGTCCGCTTCAGGGCCAGCCTGAATAAGAGTCTGCAGGGGGAAGTTTGTGGAGGCAACGAAGTCGTTTCCGGACAGCTTGTCTCTATCAATGACGGTAAAGTTGATGGAGTAAGCTTGTTCATGCTTCATCACCTGAAATACCATCTTCTCGTCAAAGACTGGGTTTAGGTTATGACGAATGACACGAGTTCTCATGGTCTTTCTACCAAGAGAGGTGACCACAAACGGGTCCATGTCAAAGGATGTGCGGGTCACTATCGGGTGTTAGTAGCTGTTTGATTTCTCCTGGTTCATAGGAAGAAAAGAAAAAAGGCATGTTTAACATACTGTTTTTTTCCGGGGGTAGGTCAAGGACCTTGTTTATTTCAATGAAGACAATGCCAACCACGCCGTCTTTAGCTCCGCAGAATTCATACGCCCGTACGGCAATGGACCTCCGCTTGAGCCGAGCAACCTTTGAATTTTGTCGTTGCTGAGCAATATCATCCGGTCTGGTCAAGTCCTCCCTTGAGCTCTCACCAACTTCCTCATTATCTCCGGACGTAGTTGGGGTAGCATCTTCTTCCTCGTCGTCACTGTTGCGGATGAGGTTCTTGAACTTTGAAAGGATCTGGTCCGGGGGAGCAGAAGGGTTGGAGGGGTCGACAAGAGAGAATTGCAGTTGAATCTGGCCGGAGACGTCGTTGTTCTTCTTGCTACTCGTCTTCCATTTCGATTGGAGGTCGTACCATCGGGGCTGAAATGGCATTGTTAGTCAAGCACGCTATACTTGTTTTCTGCTTTCTTTCTTTCCCCCTATCTCCCTCTTTTCTCGTATGGAATAGCAATGAAATATAGGAATGACTAGAAGATCGGCATGCGTACCTCCTGCTGAATCTGGCCGTTTGAGAATATATCTTCCAGTGCGATATCAAACTCGCCCATGTAATCCTTGCCAAACCTATCCTTATCCCAACAGACGCATTCGAGCAGCGGGACTCCAACAATAGGCAGATCAAAGCAGACGTTCCACTCTGGGTTCAAAGTCTTGCTGATTGTCGGGGTGGACTCTCTTGCATGACCTAGCGTGACCACCAGGTACTGGAGAAGCGGGAGATCAGGTTAGCTGGGGTATTCCAACCAGGGGAGGGGAGGGGGAAGATTGGGGGGGATTGGTAAAAGTCGCCTGTTCGACAGGGATTCACGTACGGGATCACTCATGCCATTCCTATCCTTTGCAGCTAGATTGCGGCCCTAGACGGTTAAAAAGATCAGCACCGGTGTCAGATTAGCTATCACAGCCTTACAGCCTGCCCCGGAAGGAGGCAATAAATCAGTAGGTAGTATCTGGGCCCGGACGTACGCTGATAACCTGAGTCTTCAAGATCAACGGGAATTTGGTCTCGGAGGTCCCGGTCGAGAAGGCAGAGAGGTCATCTTGAGAAGAAGCAGGGCCCATCTTAGGGGAACGGTTCCCACTGCGCCGGTGAGGGAGCGGTAGGCGGACCATCGTTAGGGCTGGGAGGAGGAGGAGGAGGAGGAGGAGAGAGAGAGAGAGGCCGGAGTCGAGCTTGAGGTTTTCTGCTCTCTGGGGCGGATGGCAGGGCGGCTGCGGAGGCTACGGGATGGCAGCAGTCGGACGGAGGCCTCTGTCAGCTATGATTGCAAGGTCATAGAGGCCGGTACGAGTCCATTCAGGTATCCAGGCGGACTGTGACCTGTCGAACGGTGTTTTTTGTGTGTTGTGTGGCAGAGGATGTTGGGTGTTGGTCGTATAAAGACGAGGCTCGCCCAGGGGTGCTCGGTCGACGGCAGTGGACGAACTTCACCGACTTCCGCGATCAATTAACGTCGGAAAAGACGGGTGGAGAAAGGAGAGGGACATGCATACGACGGGGAAGAGTGCAGCAGAGAAGAGGCAAGCCCGGCGAGCAGGCGCAGGGCGGGAGGTCGGAATTCTGGATCTTATATTGCTGTCGATGTTGTTGTTTTCGCAGGAGGGATCAAACAAAGTAAGAGAAAGATAAATAAAAAAAAAAAATAATAAAAAATAAAATAGAATATAAAACCGCTTCTCCTGCAAACCCCAAAAGCAAAGAGAGGAGCCGTAAGCAGGGTCACTTTTCCGGGAATCTCTTTTCTATATATAGGCCTAGTGCTCGTCTGCGAGTTATTTCGTCGAGGAGCGCCTGCAGGGAGCGACAAGGCTGGGGTCCATTTGCAAGGAGCGCGAGGAGCGAGAAGAGCGCAAGGAGTCAAAAAAAAGGAGACGCAGGAGAGAAGAAAGACGAGGATGAAGACGAAGAGATACGAAGGAGAGGTTATTATTATACTTATATTATAATTAGCAGCGCAGCAAGCAGTGACTCGTTTGTCAATAGTTAACGAGACACGGGGTGCGGCTGAGCGACACGAAGTGCCTCTTGTCTTAGCTGAGGGCTTCCCGTCGGGATCTCATACTTAGGGGGGGTTCGTCGGTTCGTAGGGGTTCTTTAGGGGAGGTTAGGGGAGGTTAGGGGGGGCGATGGGGGCTGTTGGGGGCAGTTAGGGCCTAAGTTCAGTTAAGGCCGGCCAGCTCCAGTTAAAGCCCAGTTAAAGCCCAGTTAAAGCCCAGTTAAAGCCAGTTAAGGTAAGGCCAGTCAAGGCCGGGATGCGCCACACCCTCCATGACGGCCAGCAAGCCAGCAAGCCAGCAGAAGCCTGTCAGATTCCCAGCAGCAGGCAGCAGGCCAGCAGCCGGGACAGGAACGAACCCGGTGTCAATCATCTGCGCTGCACGATAACTCTGCGCCTCGGACTGATGCCGCCCTCCCGTCCTCTATACATCTCTTGACCTCCCTCCCGCCATGGACAGATATCAAACGCGAAAACCGCTGCGGCAGACAACGAAAACAATGGAAAGTGCAGCCTGGTCCACTCTGCTCGCTTCCCTGCGTTGAACGATGACTTCACTCATGTCACAGAGCCAACATCATCGGTTGACGCGGTCCCCCCAGTTTTCAGCCCATCCGCAAGGCCACCATCCGCCGTCCTACGAGCTAAGGGAGGGGAAAAAGCCTTTTGCTTCTCCGCAAGGTTAACTTAGGGTCGAAAGGATTGGAGAGAAAGAAAAGCAACGGGAGGAGACAGAGAAGGCCGCAGAGAGAGAGATAGGGAAGGGAGAGATCCCGTTCGTGGGCAAAAGAAACGAAAGAGAGGCCAGTCCAGTGAGGTGCAGCCGCAGCGTCTCTCCACTTTCATGCAGGCCGTGGATAGAGGGACATCGATGGAGGGGTTCTACTATGTTTATGGGACGGTCTTTCGAGGCGTGCATAGGAGAGAGAGAGGCATAAAACTATGCAAGATGTTGTTATATGGATAAAGGGACACTCCAGTCAGGTCGACATGGCTGGTCTCTATTGGCAGGGAAATCCCAGACAAGCCACACCGGAGAAAGACAACCCTCTGATACGGGCGGGCGAAGGGCCAGGCAGGGGGTGACGAGGCTGGTGAATGGTCCATATCTGAAATCTCTTGACCCCCGGCTCTTTGAGATTGATATCACTTTCTTGCTCCTTGGACCGGTTCAAAAAGGTCATCGGGCCACCGCTTAGTCGTTAGTATAATGCTTAAAGATCACTACGGCTTGAGGCTGGAGATATCTCGGATAAAGGTCGATGCTAGATCTACATCAAAAACAGAAAGGAAAGAGGGGAGAAGATCATTAGGGGATCTCAAGGATCTCAAGGATACCGTGGGATATAGTTTATCTCTCAATGGGTAAATTATGTTATATTTAAGCAGTGCAAGTGGCTAACCAGATGCCAGATTTATATAACTATGTATACCATTCATACATAGAAAGGCTCACATGGACTATCAAAAAACACCCCCAAATCAGCCAACATGTCTCTCTTACAACAGAAAAGATCATGCAGAGCAGCAGCTTACCTGACTTCCAGTGCTTCCTGGGATCATCGATCACAATCCTACTTCTTCTCCTCGGTTGGCTTCTCCTCGGTTGGCTTGCCCTCGGTCTTCTGCTCGGACTTGGTGGCGCCCAGAAAGACAGTCTGAGCAGTATCGATGCCTGTTATGATAAGAATCAGTCATTGAACGGTCTCCTCAGGGCCGGCTAGCTGTGTTCTAGTTTATCTCACCCTTGTTGATTTGGTCGTTGGCGCCCTCGCCAGCCTTGAAGAACTGCTTCTGACCAGCGTCGATGCCTGCAACACATCCATTAGCATACGCCTATTCATGACCATGCGGCATAGCACTGGCAGCAGAAGAATAACAGCGTACCCTTGTTGAGCATATCGTTCTGGCTGCTGCCGCCCTCCTTGTTGCTGCCACCGGTCACCTTGTTGACGAAATCCATTGTGATTGGAAGTGTGTAGTTTTAACGACGTGTAAGGTCTTTAAAATGCTAAGATGCGATATCTGACAGCACCGAATGGCAGGTTAGCTCTGCAATTCCGACAACTGGATCAGGGCAAGGTTGAACACAACCACTCACCGAAAAAGATGAATTGTCTTGACTTTGAAAGATTTCCAGCTCAGGGGGAGGAAAGGGGCTCAGCACCAGCTTAAATACTTCAGCAAAACCCACCAAGATGGATGGAACCGAGCAGATTATGCCAATCTCCCACTTCTCTTAGTTTACGGAGTAAGTACCGTCACATACTTCCCTTCTCACGATCAGGGCATCGGGCCATCCGGTAGGAAGGGGAGGGGCAGCTCGCAATGCCTCCCCCCGTATACCCAGCAATATACTTCCATAGTGTACCATATAACTGGTTGATAGAGGGTGAGATGCCGTCAAGCCATCGCCACCGACCGCACGCAGAGCCTCGATTCGATCGATTGAACACATGCATATCCCTTCCTTCTGATTCCTCCCGTCTTCCTGCAGCAGCCACAGGCGTACATGGACATGGGCATGGGTAGTTATGTCCTTTTTCCTCGCTTCCCGCTGCTGGCCGGTAGACAGAATGTACGTCCCTTCGCTGCCCCTCCCTGCCCCTCCCTGCCCCTCCCTGCCCCTCGTCAGGTCGCAAGTCGCATGATGGATTAGCGTGGGGACCAAGTGGCTAAGCAGCGCTGTGATGGGCCTTCGTCACTGGCTGGTTGGGGAGGGCTTGTTGGGCTTGTTGCTTCCCTGGCGGGCCCTTGAGTGGGAGATGAAACCATTCAGCGATGCAGACGAGGCTGCGATCGACGGGCCAGCGCTGGACTCTGCGCCATCACCGCCGTGGCTTGACGTCATCTGTGGCCCGCCTGGTGGATGGGGTTCAGATCATGAAGAGCAACCACCAAGGTATGGCGAGATGCAAGCGAGCGCATATACGTATAGGAAAAGAGGCAAGTGTATACATATTTGACATTCAAGGATGGATGGATGTTGGGTATATTATTCATTATCGTATTAATCCTATCTTTCCCATATGTATGTGTAAGCTCCAAAAAACCCACGCTGTGTATGTAAACTATAGAAAAACCCCTAACTATTGAAGACAAAAAGTGCAAAGAAAAAGAACAGAACAGTCGTCGGAACACGAAACATATATCAAAAGCTGAAGAGCTCGCTTCTCCTTTTTCCCTCGGGGTAAATAATCAACGCTGCAAGAAATAGCCCAACCGTCGTGGAAATGCTCACTTGAATCATCGCATATGCTAAATCAAAAACAACATCACCGTACACTTTGTTCGATCCAATCCGGGCTGCTAGATCCTGGAAAGCTGGATCGCTATGGTAGCCAGACCCACCAGGATGGCCGGCCAGAGCAGATGCTATCGCTGTCGTGGCTGCGGAGGTTGCACTTGCTATCGTTGAACTTGCAGTGCTCATCGTCTGGTTAGCAGCCGTCTGCTGGCCTGCTGAGTTGGCCTGATTGGCAAACGCAAGACCAGAGACCAGAGATCCGCTTGCTGCCAATCCGGAGGGTACCTGGACCAGTATTCCTGGTAGCATGGCCGCGGCAGCCAGGCCGTGGCCAAGTCGACTGTAGAGGTTGCCCATGATCCCGATGGCAAAGGCGCCCATGCAATTCGCTATCTGTAGGTTATGCGGGAACGCCTTGCTGGTAAAGAAGTTCACCAGATAGCCGATAAAGGAGAAGATAGCCATGACAGGCACTTGCTTCCATTTCGCCTGGTTGATCAGCGTGAGACAGATGGTGAATGCTATCACGGACGGGAAATTATAGGCATATTCGTTTCGGTTGGGACTGGTAGGGCAGATATACGCTGAACTAGCGTCATGGTCGATTTTGCCGTAGAAGGTCGTGCCCAACATCATTCCAAAACCAAGTACAAGAGAGTAGATAATCGCATAAACCAGTCGGACCGAGCCGGCAAGGATATTTTGCGACTGTAGCTCGAGACTGCTGCACAGGACCATGAAACCCGGTAGTATGAGGGCGATAGAGGACTGTGCGAGCGCGGGAAAACAGAAGAGACGATCATCATCACCCGGGCCATGTCGGATGCTTCCAATTGCGCGAGAGAGGAACGAGAGGAGCATGGCGGCGGTGAGCTCGAAGATATTGGCATATAGACGAGAGCGTGGAACGGCAATGTACTTGAGCGCTCCCAGTATACAGCCGAGAGCAAAGGAGACTGGGAGATCAATCACACGGCCAGTGAACGCAAAGGGTCCAACAGCAGCACTGGCAAGCCCGAACAGAAATATCAATGTCAATACGTTGTATCTTGGTTTCTCAGTCTTGACTTCTTCCAGAAGCTGCATCGCTTCCTCAACCCCAATCATATCGTGCACCACGTCTTTGTATATCTGATGGACATCTTGTAGCTTGCCCAAGTCCACACCTTGGGCGCAACGCTGCAGTTTCAAACTGGTGGTGTGTGTGGATGAATCATTGAACGAAACGAACATGCAACCAGGGAGATATAGGAACTGGGCATCAAGCTCAAGCACACGAGACGTCATTCTTAAACACTCCTCGAGCCGATGTGTTGGTGCTCCATAGGCCATCAAGGCCTCGCATAGCTTCTCAAGGTACCGTTGCCGAGAAATGGTCTCCGCGATATGCACTGTAAGACGAATCTCATCTTCTAGACGTGGTTTGTTGCATATCTTCTTGACTGCATTGATCATCAAGCCGCTGCTTCGAGATCGCTTAAGCTCTGGCCGCCCTGCGGATCCAGCGCCTGAACCACCCCCGGTCAAAGTGGCCTCCGAGCCGAGAGTGTTAAGTGACAGAGCGGAAGGATTCTTGTTTTTCTCATACCATTTGGGCCGGGGAGTGGATTTCCCTGAGGTTGTTTTTCCCGAGATGGGAGCACTCTGGGGTGCAAGGAGAGGAGAGGCATTGGCTTGCGGCGTTGGAACCTGCTGCTGAAACATACGGTTTGCTTCTGCCTCGTGAAGTTGGCCCAATCGAAGAATATCTGTCAGGATACTTCGCCCGTGCTGTACAGGTGGTGACTGGGAACCGCTAGATTGTGTATCGATAGAATAATGCCGCCTGTCCTTGGGTTCCGCTTTGTCACGAATATTCTTCACAATTTCATTGGCTTCCTCGGCACGAAGTGTGAACTGCCGTTCTCGGTCGTGCTCATGCTCATAGGTTGCTTTAGATCCGGACCTCGACCGTTTCAAATAATGGCGTCCTTCATGGCGGGGCTCAATTAGATCCTGCGATAACGATTCCTCATCGGACCTCCGGCGACGATGGAAATATGATGCTCTTCGAACCTGTGAAGCGAGGCTTTGGGCCTTCTCGTAAGCTGTCTGGATTGCCCTGTTTTTGGTTTTTGATTCTGTTGACTGGACTTCTGATACTGAGTCCGGACGCCTCCCAGGGCTGCCAAGGGGGGTCACGATAGGGCTTGCTCCCGGGGAGGATTGTGCAGAGAGTGAATCTCGAGTATTGTACATGGGGAGGAAGTCAGAGGACTTGAATGTAGGAAGGGAAGGCCGGTGGACAAACGCAGGCACCTGGGGTTCAGAGGGAGGAGAATTATCCATATAATCTCGCAGAGGGATGTCTTCCGGGCTCGTGTCCGATCCATCCGACCCAAGAGTAAATTGAACTCGGTGGGAAGGTCGTCCTCTGGTCTCACTGCTGTCACTTGTGTTGCTCATATCTCTGACATGGATTGCAGGGCCCAGTCGGGGTGAAGTTTTTGGTGAAGGCTCCTGCTGTGGCCGCCCTTCTGAATTAGGGGCAGCATAGTTGCTCGATGTAAATGGATTGTAGTTGGGGAAGTGCTTTTGCTGGCGAGGCCAGTCTGCCATAATCGGCAAGAGTAGTTAAGAATAGAACTGCGGCACAGTGAGGAAGAGTTGTGAAGTCTCAACCACACAGGAGCAAGAAAAAAACGAGAAAATTAGCTGCGGTAGTGTTAAACATTTAGTACGGGTGTCTTATCAGGTTGATTCGGGTATATGTTGACGAGAAGTGTGTGCGAGAATCAAAATAAATAATGAGCAAAAAGGCCAGAAGCTGAAAACTCGATCAGCAGGATAGCAGCTGTCCTGTCTATCAGTCACTGCCATCGGTCTAGATGGCGTTCCATGTACCCGTTCGCCACAACCGTCGCAAGGAGCAGTTATAGATGGACAAACGGGCTTGTAGCGCAAAGAGTTTGAAAAGGAAAAGAAAAGAGAAAAAAAGAAATACCGCTTAGCATCCAGTGGGGCCGAGCAGAGAAGTGAATCCCATTCCTAGGATTCCAAGCGCACCAAAGCACTACGTATTAGCCCCTATGCTGTGTGATAAGGCCGTTATAGTAGGTCCAAGCTGATAAGGGCCAAACGCGGTATCTCCGGTCGATCCGGGCGGGTCATACAATTCTAGTTACTAGAGCTGAATGGTTGCACATTGATTGTATCGGGCCCTGGAAGCTTGCGTGGAAGACCCTGCGCATTGGCCAACAATGATAGATCAGCAAATCCGACGACTCGCCCCAGCGGTGTCAGGGATCTGATATCATAATATATGATAATAGAGCTTCGTAACTTGAGGATTCCAAGGAAGCTGACATACACCGGGCATTGACTAGATTTAAACTGTCCCGCAGCTAGATGGCGAATTCCCTGCCACACATTTCCACACGGGGTCATCAATGGAGCTTTTCTCCGTAGCTCTAGATATCAGTTCCACCAAAGCAGAGACTTTCGCTCCACTGATTAGTCTTAATGCCCAAGCTCTTTGAGACTTTAGGTCCCTTATCTCGCATCCTGCGCGTTTAAAAATTTTTTTCCTAGGATAACCCAACATAAATACAAATATAGCTCCTGAGCAGCTGTGTGCGGTGGCAACGGGGGGTGAGGGTCTGACTTTCGGCACTTCAGACGAAGGTTAGTTTTGCACGACGGATCCACGGGTTCCATTCATACTGTAGATCTGGACCTATCTCCTAGAACACAGTTAGTCACCACATCCTTATCGCGAGTCACCCTGAACATCACACAATAAAAGAGGCTTATCGCTGCCAGCCAGCGAATTTTTCAGCCAGCTGGCCGGACTGAAGCTGACCAAGAGCCAGACGCAGACGAGAATCCGATGATAGATGAAGTTGAAATTGAAGTTTGGCGAAGCGCAAAACAAGCGACGCATGGAAGAAGTAAGCGCCGGGTTCTAGAATCTTGGCATGTGTATTATATAAGCAGGTACAAACAACCCGCCTTAAGCGAGACCCTTTTTCTTTCCCTTTTTGATATCTAGACATATCTGGAACCTTACGGATACGATCTTCGGGAGGGTGCATAACAGCCCCTCGGCCGCTCCGGCTTGTGGGAAGCTGGCGTAACCAGTCTCCAGAACAAGTGTGGCGGATGACTCACAGGAACAAGCTATGGCCAGCCTGGAAGAAAAGAAGCTCGTAGGCATGATTCAACCTGTCCTACTTAGATGTGCCCATATACCGTGTCCAAGAAAAAATAAAATATCAACAGCTTATGATGTACGTGCAGCAAAATATGGAGTATTTGTCCAATATCTTGGGTAACAGAGATGTAACGGGGGTGGGACCTGACCATCAAACAGTTGTGCAAACGCCCAATCCCATGCTCCGGTTCCCACACCAGCTCTGATACATCAAACGAGTCTAGGAAGCTCCTTTGTGAAGATCATGGGGATATATTATGCATGGCCATCCAAGGCTGGTATTAAACTGTCAAGGTCAGGTCTCTTATTTTCAGCTGTAGCTGTCTCTTGGGATCAAAGTGTGTGAGTTAGAAGGTACGTTAACATGTAACTTAGTCCTGTTAGGAATACTTGCTTCTACATCCAGTCACATGCTCGTCCACCTCATTTAACGTACCCGATGCACGCATAGAACAATCCATATCCACCTCAATGTCGCTGTTACTTGCAAAACTTCCATATCGTTTGCCAAAATTCAAGCCTCCTGGTGACGACAAGCAGGCAATTACTGCAGCGACGGCAGCAAGGATACCATTTGAATCTTTGATGCAAACGGTCTTCAAGCCAAGCTGCCTATCTGGGTAATCATTCTCCGTGGAAATATGGTCATATGATCGAAAGGTATGTTGCCTGCTTCGCTGAGCATTTTCAGCCGGATGCCTTTTCGACCCCTTTCAGGGTAACGTCAATAGAAGCTGTACCCTTCCTCCTCCCACGTTGATTGAAACGTCACGGAGGCGTTTCCGTAAATCCGCCTAAATTACTTTTCGCTTGCCAAAATCAGGATCCCGGACTTCTTTAGGACGGATGGTGCTTCTTGTCCTTCCAGCTACCACGGTACTCGATGTGTTTCCCCAAGCCTGGTCTGGTTTCAATCCAGTTGCTTCTAATGCTTTATCGAAAGCAGTTTAGAACCAGCTTCTGAGTTCCGTCATCAAAGAGCCCGGCATATATCGGTTTCCGTTCTTTGCCTTGGTGTTAATACGATTTCGTGCCGGTCGTGGGTATCAGCCAGAGTTTTGATAGGTGGCTCGTGGCGGAAGACGGCTAGCGACCTCTTTCTGAAACCGAAGTCAGTGACCCCCGGAAATAACTGCAACATGTTACACCGCGAGTAGGTTGCAAGTGTCTCTCCCAAGGGGTCCAGCAGTGTCTGTTGTTTACTGAGGGCAATGTCGAAGCCAACGAAGGAAATCATGCTAGCGGTATATAGTAGGTATTGAGTTCGTCGTTTATATACTCTGTGGACAGATCTCGCAAAATACAAGAGTTTCTTCCTCCTAAAGTAGGTCAACGGTGATGGAATCCATGGAAACAGGTCTGTTATGTCGATAGGACGGGTTGAGGTCGAAGGTTGCGGGGAGAACTCTATTTGACTAAGCTTCGAAGGATCGGGATGAGGCTCAAGTAAGTTTACTCTACGGATTAATGTCCTTGTCCTACCTCGAGTTCGAAACTCGGAGGGTTCGAAGCCTCGGGTTAAACAGATATACAGGCTGCCAGGTCTGCCAATCTGAGTGTACTCCATAGAGAGCGGCTATCCGCCTGCCACATGGTACACTGTACTCCTGTGCAACGACCACGGCTAGCTACGTGCCTTCCCCAAATCCTCGGTCAGGATTGCTCCGTAGTACTGCAGGGCTAAATACGAACGTACGGCAAGTCAACTCAAATGCTATCTTGATTTCTTTAATTCATTAAAAACAATTTCATCTCATCCAAACCACTTCCTGCCATACCATACCATCATTCCATCCTGCCGGCTTAGCTTTTGCTCAACGCTCTGCTGACAAAAGAAAAGCAAAACCAGATCAAAAGGACAACTTTGACTGATGAAAGAATGGACAAGCAAGAGATCAACTCGCTCAAATCCATGCGCAGAGGCACAGATGGGAAAGGCCAGGGGAGGTAGGTAGGCATAAGAACATAATAGTATCAGAAACGAATGCAAAGAAGCGAACAAGAAAACATGGAATTATCCCCAGTTAAAAAGCAAAGGGGCTAAATCAAGATACCAGTTTAGTGGTAGATAAAGTTGCTCGCACGCATGCTTATAACCATAATGGCTGATAAATCACGCACCCTAAACAGAGAAGAAATAGAAAGGAGGAATGAATAAACAGGTAATAATCACGTCCCATGTCATATGCGCCGAATATATTTTGAAGAGCTTCTCCACGCCATATACCAGGGCCGAGGAGGGTTTACATAACAGTGCTCTTTCTTTTCTCCGCGTTGGACAGAACCATGATTGGCATCTTCCTGCGACCGGCATCGAGCTCCCCGGTTCCATTATTGGTAGCGCCAGAAACCTGCTTCCTTTCTGATCCAATGGCTCCATTGGCAGCGGCACGCAGGCTCCCTAGACTTCGTCGGCCAGAAAGGGAGGAGCTGCTATCAGCATCACCATCGGATGGTGAGAAGGAAAATTCACCCTCACCATCATGCTCGTTTCCATGCTCACTGGAAGGAGTCACGCTGCCTGTGCTGTGCGAGTTTCCGTTGGATGTAGATGTGGAAGTGTTCCGCTCTAGTCTAGCGCGCACAAGACTGTGTACTGCCCTACGGCGTTGGCGAGTGGCAAAGTTCTTGCTTCCCTCATGCTTCGTCGTGGGCTTGGCAACAAGTTCCTCAAGTGGTGGTGGTCCACGGGGCTGACGGATTGCATGCTCTCCAGCACGGTTTTGGCCAGGTCCGAAGGTCCCGGGTCCTGCCGAAGCGGGGGTCTGTGGAAACATTGCTGACTTAGGAGTAGAAGCGCCATTGTTACCAGATCGAGTGGATTCGTTGATAAGCTTGACGGCCAAAGACAGCGATTTCTTGTGGTCACGCTTGATACCAGGCGCTGGAGACTGAAGAGGAGGGGATTGACGGGCCTGCTGCTGAGGCAGCACTTGAGACTGAGCCTCACGAGGAGGTGTCGGGTTGCGAGTAGATGGGGTTGACGAGTGATTGCGGACGGGAGACTGATGTAATTCCGCTGGAGGTGGAGAGACACGAGCGGAAGTGCGGAACATTGAGTGCGTGTTTCCGTTCGTGTGACCATTCGAGTTGCCGTTGGTGTGTGCATGGAAGCCACCGTTGCTTGTGTGAGACTCAACCGGAGAGCGAATCTGGTCTTCGTAAGTCGATGTAGTTGGTGCAGCAGACAGTGGCACCTCATCGTAGACGCTGTTGTCTACCACATAGCTCTGCTGCCCAGTCATCGGATTGTACACTGAGAATACGCCGGGCTTTCCAGGTACAGGATGCACAACGGGCTGCATTCCATGCTGGGCCTGCTGTTGATAGAATCCCATGGTAGGAAGTGGGGAGAAGAGCTGCTGCTGCTGCTGCTGCTGAAGAGCCTGCGCATGGGTAGAATGCATAGGAGTTCCGATGTGAAGAGCCTGGAACTGTTGAGCAGCAGCAGTAACGCTGGCAAGCTGCTGTTGAAGACGCTGCTGCTGAGCGGCGAGGTACAAATTGGTAGAGACTAGCTCTGCATATAGGGCCTCATCCATGGGCTCACCATTTTCTTCAAGAATATGATCGAGAGCCGGGGGAGCTAGGACGTGTTCGGGAAGGGAGTACATCTGCCCGTATGTCTGAGCAGCGTTTCCGCTACTGTAAGACTTTGAGTGATTGAACGACACTCCCGTAGCAGTCTGGGGAACTCCACCGAGGTACGCGTTGGAGTGGCCACCGTAATTTTGCATCCCACCAAAGCCATTCTGATGAGGATGTTCCTGCATCAGTGGAGCAGTAGATGGGGTGGTAGGCTGCTTGGGGGCAGTCCTCAACCCAGCTAGCAGGTGAGAGCGGCTTGTGCGTGGAGTCGAGACGGATCCATGAGCATCATCTCGCTGATCGAGTTTAGACGGGTGTGGAACGCTGAGTCGTTTGATATGAGATCCTTTACCCCGAGAAGCAAATCCAGATCCGGGAACGGCGAGAGAGGAGGTGTTGAGGGGCATGTTGTTGTAAGTCATTTGAGCAAGACCACCAGTGTCCATGCTCGTAGTCGTCAAAGATTTGAGAGGTGATAAGCCAATCAGATATCAAATATTTTTTTTTTTAGTTCGTATATGCACCAGTGCCTTGCAAGAGATGGATCGGGTAACGAGGTTGGTGGTGTGAAGAGAAAAAGATTAGACCGAGAATTAAGTAACGAGAAGTGCCGGGTAGGTCCGACAAATCGCAAGGTTGAAGATGTCACAATTAGGCGATTAAGGTGTATGTAATGAAGGGTCCGTTACGAGTTCCGGCTGTGTGAGCTGTTAGCGATTGGTCAAAATGCATCGACAGAGAAGTAAGAACTCACCAGAGCCAAAAAGAGGTAAGATATAAAGGGGTCAGAATGAGAAAATGAAGGGTAATGGAACCAAATTAGGAGGGGAAAAATGTACAGGTGAATCAACGCGGCCGTAGGTTCAATTTGTCGCTGAAAGGAGGACGAAAAACCGAAGTTCGTGACGAGGATGCTCTGCAAGCCTCGCGTGAGGTTTAGACGAAGAGTGTGAGAACACAAGGTCGAAAAACGAGTACAGCGTGTACCAGCAGGGAATACAGGCAGTAAGGACCAATGAACGCAGGACACAAGCAAGTAAACAGATGCAGATGCAAGTAAACACAAGAGGACGAGCAAAGAAAGACGGAGTATCCGGACGCGTTTCAGCCGACAGAGCCTAGGAAAACTATCGACTTTCAAAGGACGAGGATCGACGAATGTTGAATATAACGATGCTGGACGCTATGGGTGTTGGACGTTGGCGATGTTTTTCCGAGTGCAGGATCTCGAAAGAGCGGGCGAAATAACCGAGAAAAAAGCAAAGAAAGCGACCAAAAACTGGGCTACAGCGTAGCAAGCAGGTTCTATTTGGGGCACGAAAGTCGGTTTTGAAGGAAAACGGGCCTGTCTTTTGTTCAACGGTACGATTACGTGAAAACGTCTGCTGTGGTCCAAGAAGAAAAAAAGAGAGAGAGAGAAGTTATGAAAGCAGTCGGAGGAGGGCGAAAGTTTTATCTGAAAGGTGGTTTTGCGGTGGTGAAGGTGATGGAGCGAGATGACTCGCACACGACAGCAGTTGACGTGGGCGTGGCGGTCGTCGCTGGACCGTTGGTCGTCCGGCTAGCAGAGCAGGCGAAAAGGAACGAAGAGAAGTTGTCTTTATTTTTTGAACGCAGAGATGCACGAGAGAGCGAGAGCGAGAGAGGAACAGAGAGAGAAGAGAGAAGAGAGAGAGAGAGAGAGAGAGAGAGCAAGAAGCGAGGATGAGGATGAGGATGAGGATGGAAGATGGAGGATGAAGAAGAAGAGAAGAAGAAGAAGAAGCGAAGTTGAAGAAGCGAAGTTGAAGTCGAGGCGGACGAAGAAGAAAGTTGCAGTTTTGGCTCAAAAGGGGAAAAAGGCAAAAAGAGACGCGCGCTAAGCTGTTTTTAGCCTAGCGCGCGCGAGAAACCGCAGTTTAGCGCCGGCCTTGGAGCCAATCAGAGGGAGGAAAAGCCTCGCGATATAAAGTTGATATCACGAGGGAACAAAGGAAGCGGCGGCGATGACAGGGAGGGCAGGAGAGGGATGGAGCGTGCAGTGAGACGATTGAGATGGTGGTTGGTTGGAGATGGGGTAGGGGTGGCTCTGGGGTTAATGGTAAAACTGGGGTTACTACGGGGGATGGCATAGAAGGTACTCATCAACGGTAGTTCATTCAGTAGTAAGTTGCATCGTAGTATAAGAAATACATGTCAGGATATAGGGACGGGCTGCCAGACCGACGGGCAGACGGATACCTCCAACCTATGAGAAACAAGAAAGTAAAAGGTACATTGTTACCCCTGGTTTCAAGACCGGAGTAGAGAAAAACAAAACCAATCGAGGGGATATGCAGCCGCCATGACTAGGACCATGACCCCAACCGTAAGCGCCAACCGGGTGAGACAAATGAAACAAACGAGCATTAAACGAGGAAAAAGTAGCAAAAAAGATGTAACACCTAGCCGTATATGCAAGAAAGATGGTGGAGAAAAAAAAGGGGGTAAATCAGGAAGCTACCGAGCTAGCGTCGACAGTATGGTCGTTGTCTAGCCCGTTCGTTGTCGCGTTGGCATTATTGTTGCCGCCACCGCCGATACTGTCATAGCCATTCCGGCTGACGCTTCGACTTCTTGTACCAGGAGATTCTGGGTCCGGTTCACCAGTAGCCATTAGTTGTCTGGCCGTACTTGGGGCAGGACCAGATCTCTTCTCATTGGCGCGGTCAAATTCAAGGGCATCTGCCAGCTCGCTGCTCATTGGGTCGAGTTCTTCCTCCGCCAGACCGGTGGCGAGCGAGACCAGCTTCCGATGCACGTCCAGCTTGGTGCTCACGCCCGCATCTGCTCTCTGGCGGATAAGTTGAGCCACTGCCTCGTTCCGGTCGGCTTGTGCTTGAGCCAGTTCGTTAGCGAGCGTGTAAAGCTCTAGCATTTCCTCTGGTGCTAATTCATGGTTTGCGTCTGAGTCGCCTGAATCTTCGGTAATACCGTTTGACTCATATAACGAAGTGAGTTCTAGGTCGTGTGTCTGGTTTAGTAACGACTCGTACTTGGCTTTTATCTCGTTGAAACGAGCTAGCTGGGCATCAACGTCTTCACTTTCTTCTTCCTTGGCTTTCAGGGCTTCTATTTGACATCGGATGTTCTCTCGGTCGGATTCTAGTTGCTCGTATAGGCCCTTGGGATTGGTCATGTCCTCTCCGCCACCGGTACCGCTACCACTGCTATGTGGAGGTGTCTTGGCCTCTCCGTACGCACGAGCAAGGCGCCTATTAGCTTCGGCCATTATAGATCCAATTCGAACGAGTAATGCGTTGGTTGCCTCTGTCGCGACGGCTGACCCGGTGTAGTTGCCCGCCGTGGGTGTAGTAACGGCATAGTCGGCATCACCATCCATATCTTGGGCGTACGTGACGGAAGAAGGGGGTGGTGGGTTCTCCTTTCGCCGCTTGTATAGAGCCATCAGCACCTCGTTGGCTGTCTCGTGGTGTCTGTTCTGCAAGTCGCCTGCTTCGGGGCATTGTGCCAGCAGGGTGGTCGCAAGCCTGTAGCATCCGTTCTTCGCAGCAGTCAGGGCAGCCGTATCCCCGTTCGCGTCCTGCGACGAAAGGAGTAACGAGATCTCGTGCCTGGGAAACACTTGAGAGAGCTTATCGATCAGAGTCTGGCAGTAGTACCGAGAGCTCTTCCATTTGCCTTTACTCCGTGTCGTTGCGGCGAGATGGTTGAAGACCGTTGCGCCAAACCAGTCGCGGAATGTTATAGTACTGTGTAGCAGGTCTGCCAGCTCTCCCATCGTGCGCTTTTCATAGTTGTTTGTGAACAAGACTGCCCGGACAAGGGGTGTTTCGTCGTGCTTGGATCGAACACGCACATCGGCGCCTCGGCTGATGAGATCCTTGACGATATCAATATCACCCATAGCACAGGCCCAATGGAGTGCAGTGTTACCCTGGTCATCGATCGGCCGGTCCACTTGAAAGTGCGTAGGTGGCACCGGAGGAAGCACACGAGAGGCACTTGGGTCGTCGCCAACAGTCATGAAATAGTCCAGCAACTGGTCTCCATATAGTATGTGGTTCTGTTCTATGATGCTCATGGCGACATCATTGTCACCTCTCTTTCGCTTGCGAGACTGGGTTGATTCAGGAGACATCTGAGCAAGGTCCTCATCCGCGATGAGAGAGGAGGCCTCGGGGCTTCCCTGCATTATCGACGAGGTATCATTGAAGGACTGGCTGACGCCATACTGCTGGTGTTGGTGCTGCTGCTGCTGCGGTTCCTGGTTAAAGCTGGCCGGTGCCGAGTTGGCAGGTGGTGCAGCAGGTGGTCCAGGGGGTATATGGTGGCCAACAGCTGAAAAGGAGCCACGAGTTGAGCCGGCCGCACCACGACGGCTACCAGCACCTCCTCCCCGTGTTCTTGGTTTGGATGCTGCGGTGGAGTGTTTGGGTGCCGGAGGAGGGCTGGTGTCGCCGGTCATGAAGTCAAACAGTGGCCGTAGCCTGTCCAGGACGTTGTTCTTGTCCGCCAGAGCTCGAGCTTCGGCCAGAGGTATCCATGTTCCTGCGGTATGTCAGTACAGGGGGTACAACAGGATCTTCCAACAGCAGGCAAGGGGGCGAGAGTGACCTTGATATTTCCCGTAGCCACCCTGGATCTTCTCGTGGACTCCGCGCTGGACATCACGCTCGAGGATGCGAGTTCTCGACGGCTTGTCCAGGCCGGCAGCTTTCAGAATATGAGTCGCATTAACCCAGTCGTCCACCCGCCGTCTCATCACATTCTCAGTCCCCAACTTGTATTCGTAGACCGGGACCTATAACACGCAGGCGGCCAGTCAGTCTTGAAGTGTCCAGACCAAAAAGGACAGGGGGGGAGGGGGGGAAGAGAAGAGAAGAAACCGACATTGCTGTACGTAGCAGAGTAGATGTGCCCTTCATTGCCCGCTGAAGAGGCCATCGCAGCCTATCGTCCTTCCGCAGCCGCTGCAGTCGCAAGTCCAAAAGAGCCTAAGACGGCGGGTATTTGACCGTTGCAGAGGCGCAGAAGGTGTAGGCAGTCTATGTAGGCAAGACTAGGTAGTGTGTGGTTGCAGGTCTCAGACAATACCGCTTGTCGCTGGCATGCTGCAGGCTTCCTGGAGTAACTAGAGGCTGCTGCACCTGTCCACCTCAGGCCGTCCGTCCGATCCCAGCGCTCTGAGTGTCGTTAGCAAATTCCAATTAAGATAATTAACGTCTCGTCGCGTTTGGAAGAAGAAAAAAAGGCGCCGGCAACGAAAAAGACGAGAAAGACGCGACGGCGTTCCGGGAGTGGATCGGGAGGTTGAGGCCGGAAGAACCTTTGGCCGCGAAGTTGCAGGTCGGAGCCGAAGATGAAGAAAGACGACGGGACGACGAGGAAGAGGACGAAGAGAATAAGGGAAGAGACACCGCAGGACGATCCATTGAGCCTGTTGCATCGCGGAATTTATTTACAGTACAGCAGAGAACCATGACGGCCGGAGAGTCATTGAAGGTGGCGGATGCCAGACGTGAGTTCCAGCGACGGTGAAGTTGCAGGATGAAGGAGAAGAAGACGAGACGCTGACAGAGAGGACAGTGGCTACGCGGGAGGAGATGTCCAATGCTCGTCTTCCAATCGCCCTACAGAGACAGCTGCGCACACCTGTTGATACCGCTGAACCCGATGCCGGGTACGAGGGAGTAACTATCTCCCGTGGGAGTGCGAGGGTAAGAGGGAGACACACACCCACCCAGCCAATTGTCCAACGCGAAGGCGAGGAGAGATTACTGACGACTACGACAGAACGAACGACACAGCTACGAGAAGTGCCAGTACGAGGAGTTCAAGAAGCGAGTAGCGAAGATGGACGAGCTGCGGGCGGCCAAGGGAGGTGCACGAAGCAACTAGACAGTCCAGCCCAGTCGATGAGATGAGCTGCGGTGGCTCTGTACGATCATAGGGAAAACGAGATGCAGAAAGAAACAGAGATGGAGAATGTGGAAGCAGTGTGTACTCGATGTCATCTTTTTTTTTTTTTGTCCTTTTTCCTGGGAATGCCGGCATGATAGACGCAGTTTCTCTCTATCCAATCTATCAGAAAATATCAGAGATATCAAAAAAGACGTCCTCGAGAAGTCCATATCAAACCCGCCCAAGCAACCATCCACACCGGCCCTGGAGACGCACCACGCTCAGAAGCAAAAGAAGCAGAACAAGACCATGCAAGATAAGCTAAATAAAGCACGGCTGAGGAGATGCTGATAAATCAAAGCCAGACGAAGGCCGTCCGTCGGGCTGACGGCTCGCGGAAGCATCTTTTTTCACCCGCCTGTAGTCCGCTTCCCATCCTTGCTGCGGATATTTTGACAGTAATCTCGCAGTACGGAGTAGATGTTCGTTTATAAGGGTAGGTAAAACGCCTGGGTGAAGGTACAAGATGGCCAGGCGGGAGCAGTGTCGAGACATAAGTGCTGGTTACCTCCAGGGACTCTCTCTGCTCACTGCCTGCCATATCACATACATACGCACAGAAAGGCCCCCCCCTGTGCCAGGCCTTCCCTTGCTTCCAGGGTTATTATTTATCTCCAAGCAACCTCGAGGGCCGCAAAGGTTCGTCCGCCGAACCAGGATGGAAAGAAGGGCCTTCTGCTGCTGATGGAATAGCCATATAAAACCTCCCTGCCCTTCACCACTCTACCAACCCCTACGCCCTCCCCGTCCCTCTGCTCCTTCGCCATCGCCATCTCCTTTTCTTCTTCGCCTTGTCCTTCGTCTTCCTCGTCTTCCTCGTCTTCTCCTTCGCCTTTTTACGTCCGAGAAAATAACCGCGCTTATTAATCCATCCGGCCAAACGAGAGCGAAGTATAAGTTCGGCCGCCGGCGCAACTGGAACGATATTTCCCCCCCAAGTGTTATACGCTCTATATTTAACCAGATAAATCACACATATTCACTGTTGTGTCTACGATGTCTTCTCCCTGAGCACTGCTGCATGACCGGTTGACATCCCCGCCGCTATGGGTTTACTGTACGGAACGCTTCCTCTTCCTCCCTTCTTCCGTAAAATTGATCTGCTAACAATTGACAATCGGACTGGCAGCGCGCTTGGCACACCACTGGCATGGCCGGAAGCAAAGAAGAGAGCCGGCCAGGTGAGGGAATGGGGTATCGAGGTATTGCCCTCCGTCTTGTTCGCGTCTGCCTCTCTGCGTCGTGCAGGAAGAAAGACTCTCTCGCTCGATGGTGCGGCTTTAGTCTGATGTTTTGTGCCGTAGCAACTACTCGCCATATGGAAGAAGGCCCGGGGAAAGGAGCGTGATGCGCTCCTGTGGGGTGACGAGGTATGTGGGATGAGTGCTGCTGGAAGATAAGGTCGATCATTACAGCTGCTAACGGGGTTCTTTTGCTAGGTTGAATATCTCGTCGTTGCGGTTGACGATAAGGAGGAAAAAGTACGGCTATCTCTGTGTCAGGCAGAGATTCTCAAGGCGCTTGCGCAGGATGCAGAGCTGTCCAAGAGAGCTGCTGTCAACGGAGATGCTATAGAGTACGATTTACTCGATTATGTCAAGTCCATACTTATGTTTTGAGGTGATTTCTGACTTGCCGGTATAGAAAGGAGCCTCTGCCGACATTCCATCCTGAATTCGGCCGTTTCATGCTCGAAGCCACACCGGGCAAACCATGGGGAATCGGCTTCAAGGAGCTACTCAAGGTAGAGTCCAACATGAAATGGAGGTACGGCAGCCTATATCGCCTTTGTTTCTATCGTGATACTGGGTCTAACATTACCAGGCGAGTTACGGCCAAAAATCACATGGCTGCAAACGAATACCCCATCACGCTCACTACATTCCCCCGCCTAGGGTGCAGTGACGATTTTACCTTGCCATCATACCCTCTGTCAGGACCAGCCCTGCGCTCGCAGTTTGTTCCTGACGAGATAGCAAACCCTCACATCAGGTTTCCGACTCTGGCAGCCAACATCCGTTCGCGCAGAGGGAGGAAGGTTGAGTTGAACGTGCCAGTGTTCAGAGACACTAATACTCCATGGCCATTCAAGGATCCTACCGTCAATTACGACTTGCATAACTGGCCAGAAGATGATGATGTACGGAACGGAGCTGCAAAGGAAGGCAATGTGTACATGGACGCCATGGCCTTTGGCATGGGCAGCTGTTGTTTACAGATCACTTTTCAATGCAAAAATATTACCGAGGGGAGGAAGTTGTACGATCAACTCAGTCCCCTGGGACCTATAATGTTGGCCCTGACCGGGGCAACGCCTATATATAAGGGATTCCTCGTCGACACCGACGTCAGATGGAACCAGATCGGCAATGCGGTTGACTGCAGAACGCGAGAGGAGCTAGGAGAAGTTGTCAGTCTTTCCTCTTACTTACGATTAACATCCCATACAAGGCAGCAAGACTAACAATCCAGTACAGCCCCTTAAGAACGATAGATGGCGCATCCCGAAATCGAGATATGCATCAAACTCAACATATATATCACAAGACCCCCATCTACGGCCAGAGTACATGGACCCCGATCTCGTAATCGACGAAGACATCAAAAAGAAGCTGATGGACGGTGGCATGGATGAGCTCCTCGCAACTCATTTCGCCCACCTATTCATCCGCGACCCCATCGTCATTTTCAACGAAGATCTCCAGGAACTCGACCTTACCAAGACAGACCACTTCGAGAACCTCCAATCAACCAACTGGCAGCATATTCGCTTCAAACCCCCACCCGCCGACAACGACATAGGCTGGCGAGTCGAGTTCCGGCCCATGGAAATCCAAATCACCGATTTCGAAAACGCCGCCTTTAGCATCTTCATGGTCCTAATCACCCGCGCCATACTTAGCTTCGACCTAAACTTCTACATCCCAATACCCCGAACAACAGAGAACATGGAGACTGCCCACGCCCGTAACGCCGTGCTTGATGAGAAATTTTATTTCCGCAAGGATCCCTTCCCGCATCGGTACCCGAGATCGCAGCGTCATCAACAATCTCGTCCCTCGTCACCGCCAGATGGCTCGACACCATCACCACCTCCTTCAACGACACCGTCTTCTCCGCTCTTACAGCCCATTGAGTCAGAATACACCCTCATGAGTGTCAATGATATCATCAACGGCTCACCAGATGGGTTCCCAGGTCTCATTCCGCTTGTAGAATCGTACTTGGACAGCCTCAACGTCGATGTCGAGACGAGATGCGCGCTAGCCAAGTATCTAGACCTTATTCGCCGTCGTGCAGATGGTTCTCTTTGGACAAATGCTAGATGGATACGAGAATTCGTTGCAAAGCATCCTGATTATAAACAAGATAGCGTTGTTTCGGCGAAGATCAGCTATGATCTCGTCAAGGCCGTGGAGGAGATTACGGAAAAAGAAGGCAAGGATGGAAGTATAGGGTGGGAAATGTTTACTGCAAAGAAGCATTAAATATATAAATAATAAAGACCTTAGCTCGTAAAAAAGAATAGATATATCAGCTTTGGCTCGCGAATAGGATTATTTTTTGGCATGATGCTCTCGATAAAAGTAGCAAGATTGTCGTTATAAACTGGGTTGTGTCGTTGGTATGCATTTAAACTAGTTACTTGGTGGAAGTGAGAAAAGAAACCTTTAACTAACATGTTGAAAAGTGCGAGATAACTGGGGGAAAATCAATCATAATGTCATCCAAAATATCCAAGAATAGACGACTTTAGTCATATCTCATCAGATCCAAAAAAAATTTTGTGTTGTTTCGATGCTTTTGACCACAATGAACAGGTTGAGATCCACTGCTCAACCAGACCACTCAATGTCGCAGTGGGGATCATCGCGCAAATAATACCTCAAGTAGAGATGAGTGAGTTGCGAAGTAAGAAGAATAAGTGCAGCCAAGCAAAAGATATCAAATAGAAAACCCCAAACACCAAAATGAGAGAGCTATGGACGATTCCACAGCTCCCTTGCCAGTTCTCCGCTTTTCCTGAAATTGAGACTGGAGCTGCTGCTGCGTCGCCTCCGAGTGCGGTTAGCATTAGGATCTGTAGGATATAGTCCGCTGGCTCTTGCATAAAGGTTAAGAATATCAGTAAGACTGACAACCCCAACAAGACGACCGGATAAGCTAGCTCCTGGGAGTGCCGAGGCAGGGATCGAAGTAGATATGGATGCTGTAAAGGATGGAGGAGAGGTGCCGAAGGAAGGGTAATGTGCTGAAGACGCCGTTTGAGGGTATTGGAACGGTGAAATGGGGTTATGGGTAGGACGTGCATGTCCGTTCCCGTTCTGTGGATGGTTATTGCCATTGTTGCCTGGGGCAAAATTGGTCGATGAAGGGGATGGCAGAGAAGCGCCAGTACTGCCCACAGCAGGTCCGGCGATGCTGCTGGTATGGTTTGGGGCTGATCCTAAGGGAATGTTGGTAGAGGAGTGTGACGGTGTGGATGGTGTAGATGAGGCCGGTGAGTGAGGATCAGTAACCCACATTCTAGTTAAATTAAGGTAAGTTAATCTTCTGAAGCATGCCCCCGAGGTTTATAACTAGGTTAAAGCTTACCTGTGAGAACGGGTGGCAACGAGTTTGGCAACTGTATGGGCAAGAGTAGACTGTGGGTTAATGTGGAAGACTGGGAAGGAATCCTGTCCTTCTGTTATACCTCGAGTGGATAAGATAACTGAGATGAAATGGATACAGGTATTGTGAAGCAGAGGAAGCGACGTAGATTTTGTCAAAAGCTGGATGTTACCGTTGATTAGTACTGGGTAGTCTGAAAGTTGGAATGATGGCACTAACCTTGACGTCGACAACAGATATATTGCCAACAACATTCCATTGATTGTCAACCACCGCAAGGGATGAAACTCCTTCGTTGTTCATCAATTCCAATGCATGGCAAAGTGGCCGATCTCCGCTGTAACATACCAGTTAGCCCACGAAGATTAGGGAAAGTGTGCTATCTTGGACTAGAAATAGTACTAACTTGATTGATATCACACAGTGCGAGCCTAGCCTCAGCTCTCTCAGATGTTGCGGGTATAATTGCTCAATAACCGGGAAACTACGCCCGTTCTCCCAAAGGAACTTGACCAGTTTCCATTGAGTAAACACTCCAATTACCTCTGTAGTGCCTTCCTTCACCACAATGATGCGATGCACACCTCCTCCAAATGTTTCAACAGCAGTCATTAGGTTGGTAGACTGCGGCATAGTTGTGAGGGGTTCTTGCATTCCAAGTCCCTTGACGTCCTTGAGCGGGATTTTCTCCCCTTCCCTTGCTCTCCTGGCGAGCTCGCGCAGAGACGCCACCTGTTCTTCATGACTTGGCTGTATCAATCCCACAACGAGAAGGAGGTATGCATTAAGGTCAGCATAGCCGAATGTACCGACTGCAGTAGAGGAGCCAGGAGATTCTCGGATAAGCAGTGAGTGCGCACTAGACTCGATGAGAAGCTATATATATGAATAGCCCACATGTTAGTCAATGTCATATATAGCAATGGGAAAAGGGCAACGCATACATTCGTAGCATCTTCAATCGAGGTGTCTGCGTCCACAAACTTTAGATCAACAGGCTGCACCAATTCACCAATTGAAATCTTCGTCCAATCTCGACCAGAGAAAGCTGGATCGGCAGCTGCATGCGAGGGCGGGTTATCTATCAGGCTCTGGACTGCAGCTTGAGTGAATGAAGGTTGCCGACGGGCTCGAGGCGAAGACGGGACGCCTCTGAGGGAGTCACCAAGACTCTGGCGGTGGGACAGTTTTGCGGGCTCTCGCCGCAACGAGGAGCTCCGAGAAGACGACGACCGTGAATCAGAGCTTAACCGAGGCGAAATGACAGCTTCTTGACCTGCTTCTCCCGCCGCTGGCTGTGTGTTCTTGCCACTCATCTTAAGCTCATTCGGGTTATCGGCTGTTTAGAAGGAGTGAAATCGGCGTCAGGGAAGGCGGAGGTCCTGACAGGCAATAGACAGCCCAAACCCCTCTGCGGTCGCTGTGTCTTGCAGATGATAGTGCTTTTGCCTAGCCAGTGCAAGGGCGTCCAACAAACAAACCTGTTATTCGGTGCGCAAGCAGAGAAAAACCAGCAAGGTAGTCTGGAGTCTCTGGAGTTGATGAAGCAGTTTGATACCAAAAATAAACGGGTTTAACTATCTGTTTTTAGGTGGGGCGAGGATGTTGACTAGTTCATCGTTTTATTTATTTAGATAAGGCCCGAAGATAGTAGATAGACAGGATAAACTAGAACATGATCACGCAAAGTCCCCCGGTACGAAGCATAACCACCCCGAGGGCTGGGGCTAATAGACGGTGACAGAGATCCAGGTGATTCCTGCAAGCCAGAATGAAGAAAATACGAGAGAATAGAAAGATTTTTGGTTACGAAAGAGGCGAAAAAGAGTTGGGGGACAGTCGTGTCACGTGATGCTTGATGGAGGCAAAACGCTGCTTAGAGTTATTAACGAGATAGTAGAAAATCAAGTAAACGGTCGACGATAAAGATGCATAAGGGAGAATGAAGGAGGATAGAGATGGTCAGCCGGGAGAGGGGCATGATACAGGTCTTTGTCTTACCTAACCCAGCTGTTAGTCTTGTGAAGTTGGCATATGCAACAACCGAGGAAGGAGATAGGAGGATAGAAGGAGGAGGTTAGGGAGAGTCATACTTAAATTGGTCAAGGAGGCCTTTCATGTCTTTTTTACAGCTCTCCTTTACTACTCGCTTGTTCTGTTTCGAGTCAGGCTGAGACGGGGCTATATCTGAGCCGTTATGAGTTTTCTGGGCTTTTTTCTCCTGGAGACTCAGATGGTCTGTGGCCCGGTACTTTCTCCTGAAAAGTATCTGTTCCTCTGAATGGAGGGACCTCAGGTTGCGGCAATAAAGAGAAAAGTCCACGACTGGCAAGCTGTCGATACACATCAGACGGCAGTCCTGTGTTTGGGATTCTAGCTCGCTATCCATATTCTCTATAATCTTATAAAGACTATGATCTGAATAATGGACGACGAAGGGTACCCAACCATGCTTTTCTGCCATTTCTCTTGCCTCTTTACTGTACAATCTCGGGCAGCCTTGCATAAGGAACGCGTTCAGTGTTGGGAATGCATTAAGATAGGCAAACATGTGTTCAGTCAAGCCAGTTTGGAGGCGGAGGACCAAAATCTGGAGGTGTTCAAAGGCTTGACCAGTGAGCGCCTGTTCACTCCATCCTTTAATGACTCGATCAGATACGGAGACGGTGGCTTCATATCCGAACTCCGTCCGTTTGGGCTGGGTGCGGATTTCCAGGCCAATTAGATTGCGGACATTGGCAACCTCAAGGAACTCATGAGGCTCGAAAAGTTCGACTGATAGGCTTACAACGGCTGTCCAGTCCACTGATGCTGAAGATAGAAGCTTCAGGTAATTGGTGACTGCCATCTTCTTGGAGCTTGGCTTGAGTAAATAGCGATGGGATATCTGGTTAAATTCTGCAGGGTAAGCTGTTGCAAAGATCTTCCATAAGTACAGGCTTGTTCGTTTGCTAGAGCGAGTATTAACAGAAGAACCAGGAGATATTCGTTTCTCCAGGGTGCCATGGCATACCTTCGACATACACACTCCCAGAGGTACCTTGCAATCGACCATGGGACACCTTTAAAGTGCGCGGTGCTCAGGGTGCGTTGGTCAGACAAAACGGCTCTCATGGCCATATGCTTTAGGGAATGCGCGCCAACGGGGCTATACGCCTCCCATCCCGCAGGCAGTAATGGAGAGTCGTGAACCCATGCGAACCCCTTCCACCTGCGAGACGACGGCGCAACTCGAATCACCTCTTGGGTGTACACCTGGCCACTCTCCCTGTCATATTGCATTGTGACTATACGATATTAATAACCACAGATAGCTATCCTTGTCACATTCTAAAGTCCCTTAGACGTAACTTAGTTATGGGGGAGCGAGGTATTGGGCAATGGTTTCAGGTCGAAGCTACTCCAATAGTTCCCTATGGCACGCAGCGTCAGTTCGTAGGCTAGAGGAGATCTCAACAGGGCCAAGGTCGGGCGATCACAGTCATATAATGAGCCGGCAATGGTTATAATGAGCCTGACGAGGTGATAATAGCACACCAACCTGCTAGTTGTGTGTGTTTAATCTGTCGACGGTCAAGTAAGGCTGAGGTCCCTCGCGGGGGGTCACAGTGTCGGATTAACTGAACGCCCGCTTCCCATGTCTCACCTGCAGGCTGTCAGCAATGATGGACATTGACAACATAACTACCGCTAATCAACTGGACTGGACAATAATATGCGAGGAAAATGTGTCTTCGTGGTTGGACTATTTCAACCGTTTGACGTTGTATGATGCGAGACCTTTTTTTTTTTTTTTTTTTTTTTTTTTTTTTTTTTTTTTTTTTTTTTTTTTTTTTAAGCACGGACTCTCATTGTATTAGACTAATGATTACCCAAAGCGGAAGGCTTACTAGTGTTATTGACAGCCACATATAAACCAACAAGATATCTACTTATCCAGTGGGCATTTTATCTTATCCCTAATTCTCAGATTTCGAGTCTTCCTTTTTCTTTCCAACTCCATTACTATGTTAAAAAAAAAGATACCAATAGCGAAGCAAGTTCAACCAGGATACCTAGACTATCTCTGTTCGATAACTACAACCCACACATGGATGATACAGCGATCGGCCTTGGTTGCTCATTATTCGATGCACTAAGAGCATTCTCATTTCCCCATGCCTTGACCTCACTCTCAAGAGCCTGTAAATCATCACAGTTAAGAAGTCTTGCGCCGGTAACAGGTCTTTGTAGGAGGGCAAGAATCCATAGCAGCCATATTCGACAAGTGCAAACGACACCTGGAACATTAAGCCTGTCGTCATATGTCCTCATAATGCCATCTATGCTCTCCCGAAGTGCTGGAGGGACATCGCTAATCTTGAACAAACCGATGAGCAAGAAGGCCTTCATCACACCGGCAGTTGACCCGTGGTCTGCCATCCATCCACTATTCCCCTGTTGTCTGACGTGATATTTGATTCCATTATTCGAGCCGCGGTGAAAATAAAAGGCCCAGTGGAAGTCGTTGGGGATAGGCGGATGGCTTCGGAGAAACAGCATAATATAGAGGCTTCCAGCTTCTAATTCAGTGGCAGGCATGGCTTGAGTCCTCGGGCGTATATCTGAAGCCATATCTCAATCGGTACAGCAAGCTATTTCTCAGGTTTTCTTGCCTTCTCGTTGATGACGGTAACTAGTTATCAAGCTCGACAATTGTGTCCAGATCTATCGAGTATCACGTAGAAGCGACAAAGTACTTCCTCCTGAATGTCCAGCCACTGCGGTCTTGGATAATGTAGTATCGGAAAACGCATGAGCACACTCAGACACCAATGAAAGTAAGCGTCTAGTGACAAGATGGGTTTGTATGAAACTCGTGCGTTTTAACAACAGCATGGACGGCGCTTAACTACATCATATTCGGCCCAGACTAGATTCTCCTGTTTGGTAGAACGAGGAGAACCAATGGATGAGAGCCACGCTTCGGCATCCGCATCAGCGGGTCAGACAGATGAATAAGAATGCATCTCTTCCCCTCCAACACTCGCTGCTGGGATTGAGACGAAGAAGATTTCGTTGGTTGTGGATGTTCGAGAAGTCAATCATCCCTGATGGCCATGAGGCCGGCGCGAAAAAAAGGGGGCTAAAACGCATGACGGGTTCATCCCTAGAAGAACTCCCATTTCACCCCAGGATGCAATACTGCTTGGTTCTCATGCGGAATGGCTTTGAAAATAGCAATACTCCCATGACCTTTTGACGATATGGCTGTAGTTAGGGGAAAAGCCTCGCTCGGCCTTCGTCACTTTGGGGAGAGAGAGGAATGGCCAGCTCCCATACATAGCCCCCTTGTTTGTTTCGCCTATGAAGGACAGGCTTTTGCTTCATAAACCGGTGTCTCCTGACGAATCGTTCTCGGCTCAGGCATTTTTGGATGGACTTTTCTACTCTTCAATGTCCTGAGAGTTTGCGGCTGTGTAGACCTAGGGCTGATTATCTGCCATCTTCTCTCTTGACATCTCGTCGTTCCTTTGTGATATACATGCTTTCGTCAATTGTATATCAACGAGAGCTGGTCTCTGGTAGATCATTTCTTTCCAACTGATTACTATCGTTTAACTCGTTAATCTCATATTATCTTACTGTTTACCTTGCTCACCAACACAGAGCTTCATTTCCTTGCGTCTTAATGTCTTCATTCTTCTCATCCAGGTCTAAATCGCAGGTCCGAGTTAGTTCACAATTCAACAAAAGCTCCAACGAAAGGTTTGGTGACTTTGAGAATAGAAGCCGGCTATCATTCTCCAAGATGCGGAAGAAAAGGCCGCCTCCAATCAATATTGCGGTGGCTGGAAATGTTATCATCACAAATGCCACCCCGACATCCCAAGTGATATATGCAGATATGCCATGGTCAGCCTCAAACCCCCCGACTCCCCGCGCAAACGTTTGCTCCAACCCGGGATGTATGGCTCGAGAGACGATGCCCATGAGCTCACCTGTGGATGCTCAATTCAGGTTGAACAGCCCAAATGCATCCTGTAACTGCCGGCAGTACATTCAGTCAACACCATCAAACCCGTCTTACATCTCTCCTCATCATGCGTGCTTCTCAGCAGCAGAGCTTCCAGGTTCATTTGCATCTCCCAAGAGCAGCGTTGAGCTTGATGCACCCACAACGCCAACGAGGCTCACATTCGATCATCTGGACGAGCATATATTGGACTCCCCCCCGAACTTGACGTTGAGTCCAAAGACTGAGCCGACGCAATCAACCAGGCAAGGCCGTTACCCGTTCGGTCAGTTAATAGAAACAGAGCCAACTCGCAACGGGAAATCCCTGAGACAGATGGATTACGATGAGCTCATGGCTATTCTCCCGGATCTTACCCAGGGTCAAGTCAAGACGTACTGGAATCCAGCCATTCGCAAAGAGCTTGAGGGAGAAAATCGTCAACAAACCAGGTCTGCCCCTGCTGCTAGATCAAGTAGATGGAGTGAACGTGTAAGAACTAGCCAGTCCGACTTCCATATTTTATCCAGACGACTAACACTTCGGTACATAGAACGAGGTATCGGAAGGCGGAGAAGACCCTGAACAGGTCAGAGCTGAGTGCGAGATCCGGTTGAACACCAAAGAGAACGAAATCACAGGCCTTCTGCGGCTTCATGACTCGCGAATCAACGCACTCTGCAGGTTCATATCTGAACATCTCGAGGACCAGCTTGAGGGTCCCGAAGATGATAATCACCAGGGAGTACGAGAAATCATATCAGCTCAACAGCGCCGAGGAAGAGACCCCTTTGACACAGACCTCCAGCACATGTACCAGTCTCAACAGATTCAGAGGCTGCAGGACCATATATCTAAACTCGAACCAGTCGCTATACGCAACGAGAAGCGAGCCAGAGCATACAAGGCTAGGGCCAAGTCTCTGCAGGCGGATCTTATGGCTTCGAAAGAGACCGAGCAGCTTCTCAAGCAAGAGCTCATCGAGAAGGACGCCTATATCGACACGCTTAACAACAAGGTGACCCAGCTGCTGATCATGCGCCCTGATCCGTTTTCCCCGTCTGATGCCCGAGGGTCCCGGAAGCATCTACCTTCGCCGGCTCCATGTGACTGGAAACGGGCAGAAGAGCTCAAGCACCAGGTCGCTACCTGAACGTCGTAGGCGAGCCAGTGATGATATGAATTATGTGATAGATAAGTGTTGTCTGGGTCATCTATCAGTTATTCGGTCCCAGTTTGTTCACTGGTTAGTGATGGTTCTGGATGTGTGTATCTGTTGTGGGTTTACCGGGTATTGCTGTCGGAATATCACATAATTAGTTGTCAAAAGTTTTCTGATTAGCATTCAAAATAAGCAAATCAATAACTAAATAAATAAAAGGATAAAAGTCCATGAAATAGCCAGAGGTAGCATATATCCCTGTTCTCTTTCATGATGGTATTGGTGTTGATGCCTGGTGTCTCGTCCTATCGGCAGCACTAAAAAGGGGCTCAGCCAACGAAACCCGCAGGGATATGGGGCGTTTCAGAATCGCTACATCACATTCCGGACGCTTTCTACACGGAAGATAATACCGCAGGACGGTGCCTGGCACTACCTAATGCATGTCAAGTCCATCCACGAGTTATACACCTGCAGAGAGGGGAGTCGCAGCCAGAAGGATTCATCGATATCTTCTCGCACCAACTAATTAGTTAAGTAACTAGCGACCCAAGCCGCCGAGATGATCATCGTCAGAAGCAAATGATATTGCTCGTTGCCATGGGGCCATCGGGGCAAACAGATATAACTAGTCATCGTCCGTATAACCGTATAACCAGAGAAGCTGAGTTTATCGAGGTTGACTGTGACTTGCCGGGTGTTGGTTCATGATCAGGTCATGGTGACGCCTGCTGACCGACTCCCTAAGCCACCTGGTCTGCCGCTTGCTGCTCTCATATATCAACCTAAAGATCCGGCTCTTTGCTGTCGTTTTTTTGATCGGATAGCTTCACGACTTGATAACTGACCTCGATGAGACTCTAGATATCTACTCGAGCAAAACGTTGAACTGTTTCATCTTCGAAGAGTCTCGATATCAACTACTGCCATAAGTAGTACCTCTATCCCCCGAGAGTCACCACTCCACGAAAGTCGCTATGATCAAGACAACCCTGCCCGAATCAGCAGAGACGCCAGTGGAGCGACAAGACCGTGAAAATGGAGGCTTCCCTGAGGTCGAGAATAAGCTGGCTTTGGATCCTACTTCAGTACTCCGAGTAGCTTCATGGGTCGCATACTTCACGTCTTCAGTGAGCTCGAAGCTCACCACAGGCAACCAGCTCGTCGATCCAAAGAAACACATTGTCTGGCTGTTCGACAACACCGCATATCAGCCTGATCATGGTCCAGTATATGGACCTCCTGGATGGAAGACTCATGTGGTCGGATGCGTGTTTGAGAAACACGGAAGACGGGATATTGGACGATGGGTGGCCATCATCGCTGATTTGGTCGGTCTAGACGGCAATGCAGGGCTCAACGACAAAAAGGCTGTCCGCAACCGGATAGCCACGCGTGTTCAGCCCTTCCTGAACGCCGTTGTACCAAATCGATTCATCGACCTAGAGGTCCCGGTTTCAAAAGAGGAGGTGCACGAGTTCAAGCTAAACAGCTCCAAAAAGGATGGTATAGCAGAAGATGATATCCTAATAATCCCAGCATTGGGCATCCATGACGGCTCAGTGGTGGAATCCCATGCGAAGCACTGGGGTCCTAAACCCCCGACGATGAAGACTGTCTTCGCAGCTCAAGATGGCTGGGCTGTCATCTCAGATGTCGATGACACGATCAAGTACACTCAGACGCCGGAGGCAATAGGCATCCTCAAGACTACCTTTGTCGATGATCCAAAGCCAATTGATGGTATGCCAGAGTCGTATAAGCATATCCAAGAACGCCTCAACCCAACTTGGTTCTACCTTTCGGCTTCTCCATATAATTTATATTCATTCTTACACGGCTTCCTTCGCTCACTCTACCCTCAAGGCACACTTCTTCTACGCGAAAACTCATGGATGGACCTAGCTGGCCTGCTCAAATCCTTCACCCAGGGAACGCAGGAATACAAGGTAAACCAGCTGGCCAAGGTATTTGGATGGTTCCCGAGACGCAAGATCTTGTGCATTGGTGACTCAACCCAGAGTGATCCAGAAGCTTATGCAGAAGCGTATAAGAAGCACAACAACTGGATTAAGGCCATCTATATCAGGAAGGTGACTGATGTGGCGAATATGGAGGGCAAAAACGATCCCGAGAGATTCGAAAAGGCATTTGAAGGTGTACCGCGCTCCGTCTGGAAGGTGTTTGAAACCGCAGATGAGCTTGACCAGCTTGTGGAAGACCTCCAGCATTAGCAATGCTAGGGGCCAGAGCCACGACGTGATGATGATGGCCTACCAATGTCCACCCTCCTGTCCATTCTTCTGTTCCTTCTCATATGTTTTAATAGGGGGTATTTCTGCTGTTTTTAACCATTTTGCTTTTCTTATTTCGAATTCGGTTTCTGGGCTGTCAAAATGCATCCCATGTTGAATTTAATGGTGCTCGCTCAGGAGGGGGTTTTCGTTTTCAATGCGGTTCGTTCATTTTCATACGGGTCGGCTGAACTCTGGGTTAACCTTTCCACAGCATGCGTTCTTCCTTTGCTAATAATGAGCGTTACTTATCCTGATAGCCTTCTGCCCTTGCAAAGTGGTGCGGCTACAATGTCTCAATAGGCTAATATAGCTATTTAATGTACAATGTTTCTGACGTCATATCAACGTTCCGGTCTCTACGGATTCCAGAGCACGGCATTTCTAGGCTGAGAATCAACTCAGTGGACGCCTTCTGCAACCAAGCCCGATCTATCCGTACGGATATCACAGCTTCCGTCCTCAGACCATAGGTATTCACACACCAGGAAGCTGTACGCCCTGTATAAATGCACATGTCTTGTCGCCTGTGCAGATTGATAATACGGCCCCTTATGCTATAATTAAATCACCATTCAAGTATAATATATGGTAAACCATGGCAGACCAGGAACACATTCCCCCATTTATGCCGGCCGTCCACCTACCCCCCGGACCCTATGATCCATCCTCTCCTCCGCTCGCTTCCTCCCTGATCTATGACCCCAAATTCCCAACGCCTCGACCAAACCCATCTCAATACCTGATAAAAGTGCTCAGCACCGCCCTGTGCCGTGATGAACTCACCTGGCCTGAAGTCATATCTAATCATCGCGCCTATCAGCCGCCTATCCCAGGCTACGACGTTTGTGGTACCATTCTCTCAACACCGTCAGATGACGAACACACTTACGACGGCCCTAAGTTCAAAGTTGGCGATGAGGTTTTCGGATGGTTGAGCGTGCATCGAGGAGGAGGGCCGCTGATTGTGCTTTGGCAGAGGAGAACGAGCTAGCATTCAAGCCGAAGAACGTCACGAGCGTCGAGGCAGCGAGTATTCCTCTTTCGGCTATAACTGCATGGCAGGCTTTTTTCGCCCACGGAAATCTAAAGCATATTGCAGACAAGTGCGGACACCTGGACAGTGAAGTAGTGCGAGATGACTGCATGGATGAAAATGGCAAAGAAGGGGTCAAGCAATTGCATCCTCGCAGCGAGCCTGTCCGAGTGCTGATAACCAATGCATCTGGCGGAGTGGGAGTACAGGCCCTTCAGCTCTTACGGTCAAATACGCTATTCGGAGACCAAAAGTTCTGGATATGTGGCACATGTTCGAGTCGAAATGCAGCCTTTTTGAAAGACACCTTGCACATCGATGAAGTTATCGACTACACTGTTAACCCGGATTTGAGTGAAGCCTTTAAATCAAAGGGCTGGGATCCTGTTGACTTTGTGTTTGACTGTATAGGAGGTCAGTCGCTGAAGCAAGCCCATTCCCCAGCTGTCATTTGTGATAATGGCTCGATAGTCAGTGTTGCACATCCACTCAAGAAGGAATGGGGAGATTTGGGAATTGAGAAGAGAGGGCTGAGTAGCCGGTATTTTATCATCGAGTTAAATGGGAAGCAGCTGGAGAAGATAGGTACACTGGTAGAAAAAGGCGAAGTCAGAGGCTTTGTTGACCGGGTCTTTGAACTGCACAGAGCCAGAGAGGCTATGGAACTGGTTGAATCGAAGAGGGTTCGAGGAAAGGTCATCTTGAAAGTTAACTAGCTGTGATACAATCATTCTGATGGTAACCAGAAAATTTGTATATACAAGCATCACATTACATCATTTTCAATTCCTTTATCCTAACTGGATATACGTAGTATTAGGAAGAGAAAGGAGAAGGGATTAGCGACTTAAAAAGCTGTATGTTAGTTATTTGACTTGGACAGGAAGCTCCACCGTTACTAAAATAAGTTCAACGAGTTAACTAGCTAGTTAGTTCAACCAATCAGAAGCGGCTGTTAGCAACCTTTGCTTGGCAAGTTTGGCCGCGGTGGAAAAGCATGGCTTACTAAGCACTTGACCATTTCAACCTCTTACCTACTTCACTAGTCGGCCAGAGCTGGAGTACTTACCTCCATTAGTTACTCGAACAACATACAATCGACCGCCATTCATTTGAATTTCCAGCTGCTATCGTGGCAGACAAATGTTCGACGTATTTACTTCGCAAAGTATGGTATATCTGCGCTGTTTGAGCAGATATTTCAGGTACCCCAGACCAGCTCTTCCGAAAGACCTTTCAAGTTTACCGTATCAAACGATCGATACTGGTGAACAGGTTGAAGAAGGGAGGCTACATTTTTATGACCATGAACAGTTTTATCCTGTTCATATAGGTGATGCATTTAAGTCAAGATACCAAGTTGTTGGGAAACTATGCTACGGAACATACTGTATGGCCCTTCCATGACCTGGTGTAAGACTCGTCTGAAGCTGAATATTCAATAACGGGCATCAATACTCATCAATCAAAATATCAACTCAACTACAAATGCTTTCGGAGGAAAAATGTGAAGAACTCTTAGCTTACAAGCATCCGCAGAAGCTTAAATCCCCACGCCAAAGAGCACTGTATATCTGGAAACTCTATGATTCATTTGAGATTTCTGGTCCCCATGGATTCCATCAATGTTGGTGTAACAAGCAATGCATCTCAAAACTCTTGAAATGATGGGTTTAAACCCCGAACCTCTGAATGTTCCTCTCCTACGAATGATATAAAAAACGTCTTTTGACTGTCCTAGATTTCTTCATACTGAAGCTGAAATGGTTTATACTAGTAATATATCCTACACGCTTATCTCTGACAGCGCTAACTTTTTTATATATATACTTATAGATTTCAAAGTAGACAACCTGATGCTCACTGTTGAAGATAATCCTATGATCGAGGATTTGTAAAAGTAGACCTAGAAAGTCCTACTCCCAGGAAATTTATAGATGAAAAGTGGTAAATCTACAGGTCTCGTTATTTTTCTAGGCCAAAAAATGACGATCGGGGCTATCCGAAGCTCTGTGACTTCAAAGAAGCTCGAATAGGCACTGTTCACCGTCCAGAACAACCAGGGAACTTCTCGATGAACCCTGGCTAAATATTAGATAAGATGTTGTTATTACTCTCTTGATATTTGATATAGTGGAAACCTTAAGAGTCATTCAAAATCTGTAAGGATGTTAAGGCGGTATTCAGGGGTAAATGTTGGCTAAACGCCGATTCGAAGGTATGAGATTCAATTCTTGAGCAGTAATTTTTAGCTCGGTGCATCATGGTATTTTTCCATACCTCCATATTCCTGTTGGATTTATGCTTAAGAGGCGGAGCAAGGCTTATACCCTCCAAGTTCTGAGCACTGCAGCGTGCACAGCCTTAGTGTGTGCATATTATTTTGTGTCTGTCTCTACCTGCTTAGACCGCTCGGGTAAATGAAACTATTCAAACAGAATATCGAATGGAAAAGAGAAGAAAAGGAGAAAGGGAAAAGATTCCAGAGTAAAGACATATAGGATTAGAAGCATAAATAGAAATGACTGGATCATACCGGGAACTCTTGAATAATGCAATCATTTTAACATCTCTTCTCCAAACCTTTTAAGAGTCCGGTAGGGCATGACGAGGGATAAGGCGCTAAGAACATATTTGAGCATGAGCCAAGAGAAGAGAAGCGGAGGGGATGAAAGAGGTGTCCGGATAATGATAGAAGGTAAAGAAAGGTAGATGTGATGAAATGAAGATATAAGACATTAATGGGCATTGAACCAGCTTTAATAATAGGTCAATGTAAGGGGGGCCTCTTAAAGCAAGGAGTCAAGGCGAGTGAATACTCCTAAACATGCAGCCACAACCTATACAAAACGGTTAGACTTTGAGAATTGATTCTAGACGCATTGCTGATCATGTGTCCTGGCTTACCTCGAGCTGGAGTTCCTTGTCCTTGGCCTTTTCAACCTCTTCTGCCACGGCTTGCGGTAGATTAGCTCCGATAACATGTGCGCCAGCGCCCTTATTCGACACAAATGGCCACTGTGAATATTCAGCTAACAGCTCATCGACCTGTGCAAAAGCTCGCTCCCTAGCCTCATGCCCCATGGTTACAAGCGCATTTTCCAGCACATTCGCCGCATACGCAGCGCACACCAATGCGATAGTTCGCAGATACCTGAATTCAATATCTTCTGGAAGAAACTGGTTCGGGGGTAGCATGACAGTGCGGCTGCTGCAGATGTTGCGGACTCTCTTGTGTAATTCTTCCTTTGCGCCGCCGTCCGCGACCGGATGTGTGGCCATATCAAAGAGCAGGAAATTGCGTTTTTCGGTTCGGAGGACACCTTTGTCGACTAGACCTTTGGCGAGCCGTTCTCGTACTTGCTTCAGCTGATAGCCAATTTTCATTAGATTCCAGGTCTCGCCTATGCTTCAGAAGTTAGATTTATTTTTATCTTGCTATGATATCAAGAGATAATGGTGGTAAAAAGTGGACTAACCGCTCATAAGGTCGATCCAGGAGCTCACACTCATTTTCTCACTAGCTTTCATCATCTTCAATGCCTCGTCCAGCAAGACTTCTCCAGTCAAGGTATCATCGATAACCTCAATTATCCGGTCTGCAAGGGGGAACCGCCGCCTCGATGAGTCTTTTTGCATACTGATTCGACCTCGGAATGCCAGTTCAATCACAATACAACCTCGTAGTGCATATGAGATATTTTCGTTCCAAAATGATAAATATCCCTATAAAATAGGCAAAATGAGAATGATTAGACTGTGTTATTCATGGCTTTGACCCTTTTCTGGATAATATTACCTGCTTATCTTTCAGGCCCAAGAGCAGCACCTCTTCCATAAGTGTGAGCTTTGGTTGCTTACTCCGCTCCTCATTCTCACTGATATCTCTCGGGTCAAATGCAATTTTATGTCCATTCTCGCCGGTGAACGAAGACTCTCCACGGCCTTCCTGGGATGCCCCGTTCAATGACGCCGGCGAAGCCACTCTGCCGCTCTCAGCACCGCCGTCTCCTCGACCAGCTCCTCGCCGGCGAGTTAAGCCGCTGGTAGACGCCATAAGGAAACAAGGAAATAAACCGGGGAGCTCGCTAGTAGGTCGGTAACGAGCCGCAACAAGCTCAGGGAACAGCTGCGTATGGCATAGAAATGCGCGCTGGGTGTTCTGAGGGGGGTAAAAGGGGAGAGAACCAGGCAACTTCGAAACGGTCGCAGCAATGGATGGCTGGCGGCAACGGAGAGCTAAGAACAGGACCGGAGTAGGGTAGATACAATTACAAGCACCGCATGCACAGCCAGAGAATCTGAAATCTGGCACACTCGGGAAGTTGTTGTCTTGCAGTCTTTTCCTCGTCTCTGGGGGAAGGGAAGAAGCGATAAAAATCGCGTTGGTCAATTTCGGCTTGGCGGCTGTCAGATTTTAGCAGCTTGCAGAAACGGCGTTCAAGCGAGAAGTATTCCTGTATATATTCTGCCCTTGTTAATATGAAACCTGGCTATTTAGCGGAGTAATATTTTGTGTTGTCTACCAAGGTTGCCATACGGCTGCATTGCTTGTGGCTTTTTTGGACGCCGTTAAGTGAATGATATGCGAGCCAGATGCCGTCACGAGAGCAGTTACTTCACACTGAAGTCAAGGTACAAAGAGACGCCTCGCTGTCGGTTTGGCCGGGCGGATTAAACACTCCAGGGAAGAAAGCAAGACAAAGGAGTAGAATACACATGAGATATTCTCTAATTATATCAAAATGTGATCGTTTGAGCTGATGTACACAATATAAAAAATGAACTTGGAACGACAATCATAGGACCGGCGCCTTATTTTCACGCATGTCTAGAATAGCTTAGAAAATTTTGTTGGAGGCTTAGTCCAAATAACGAGGCTCGACAGTGCCATTTAGTGAGCTGTATGGATTGTCAGCTTGGAGCCTCCGAGGGATTTCAACAAAGCGGCGGCTACATACCGTCAGGTGCGGAGAGGATATAGTCAACAGCGTTACGGACTGTGATTTAGTCAGTAAATGTGTGGACGGCAGAATTAGAGGCCAGGACTGCCATCGTCTGGCCCAAGGTAAAGAATAACATACCGCTGTGGATCTTCTCGGCTTCCAGGTCTGGAATCTCAATGCTGAACTCCTGTTTCCTCAAGTCAACACCTAGTCCGTCATCCAATTCATTTTAACAAGCGAATTATTACCTCTTCAATGGCCATCACAACCTCGACGGCGTCCAAACTGTCCAATCCAAGGTCATTTTGGAAGTGCGACTCGGCGTTAATCTTGATAAACGAGTAAGAATCCGCAAATTGGTGATAGATCAGTCAAACGGGTCATATCTGCTGTATACATACCTTGGAGGCATCGGAAACCTGTGAAATTTCCTTCGTTAGTAACAGCGATAGACCGAAAATCCAATACATCAGAGACATGAAATTGGTGGTAGCCGTACATTGTCAAAGTTCTTCAACAGGTCAATTATTCTACCCTGGACCTCCTGCTCGCTAAGGCCGGCCGGGGCAGAGTACTGTCTTATGGCCTGGTAGGCAAATCTGGGAGCTAATTGAGCTTGTCTGGCAATGCTGGCGGCGACTGGGGCCTGGCGAGAGACGGGCGAGGCAACTCGGGCAACGCGAGGAACAGACGTCCTCAGCGATCGGATGACGGCAGAGCGGAACATGGTTGCGGTATATGCGGTCTGTAAGAGGATCGATTGAGCAGGAATAACAGCTGTGCAGCGAGATATCTTGTCTTCCAGATGCGTTTGCAAGCTCGTCGGCGTCGTTCGTCGTCGTCGTTTTGGTGTTTTTTGTCAGAAAGACATGAAGTCGTAGTTTTTTTGCTTCTCAGCCCGCCAGCCAATCAGAGGCCACGTGAACAGTCTTACCTTTTCACGCTTAACATCAAAAAAGACGAACAACCGAAAACCGCAAGAAAAGCGACGGAAGACAGCAAGCTAGATCGAGATCGCGAGAGAGGCAGAAGAGCACTCGATCAATTGAAGCATCATGGTCTCGTCAAGGGCTGCCACCAGGCTACTGGCCTACCGAGCGCCGTCACCGCTAACCCCGGCGTATGCCTCGTCCGTCGTCCGCGCATCAACGTCCTCCTTCTCAACCTCCGCCATCAGAGCTGCCACTCCCGCCGGGCCACCACCCTCAGGCTTCCGTCTTGCTCCTCCAAAGCGATGGGACCAGCAGAGCGAGACCTCTCTCGATAGCGCTACCAAGTACTTCCTCATGGCCGAGCTGTTTCGAGGCATGTACGTGGTGCTGGAACAGTTCTTCAGACCTCCGTATGTACCGCCTTTCTATATATACATGTCCGGAAATTGTTATTCGACGCTTGATGATTTAATTGCTGGTATCAAGGAAGATGGAAGTGCATACGGTCAGACAGGCTAATCGTTGAGATAGATACACAATCTTCTACCCATTCGAGAAAGGTCCTATCTCCCCCCGCTTCCGTGGCGAGCACGCTCTCCGCAGATATCCCTCTGGAGAAGAACGATGCATTGCCTGCAAGCTCTGTGAGGCTATTTGTCCTGCCCAGGCTATCACCATCGAAGCTGAAGAGCGTGTTGATGGAAGTCGACGAACTACCAGATATGATATTGATATGACCAAGTGCATCTACTGTGGATTCTGCCAGGAGAGCTGTCCTGTAGATGCCATCGTTGAATGTGAGTTGCATCCTTACTTCTAAATGGTAACCGGACGATACTAATACTTGTTACCAGCACCCAATGCCGAGTATGCTACTGAAACCAGGGAAGAGCTTTTGTACAACAAAGAGAAACTGCTAGCAAACGGTGACAAGTGGGAACCAGAACTCGCCGCTGCTGCCAGAGCAGACGCCCCCTACAGATAAAACTTACATACATACATACCCTTGGGCACATTTCCTCCCTTTTGCCTCCTTCCCCGTTCCTTGATCCCTCTCTTTAGTACTTGTACTAGTTTTCTTCCCTTTCTCTTTTTGATTCCTGTAAAATGGATCCTCGGAATTGATCGTTAGAATAATCGGAAACAATCCAATTGAGCGTTGTGTATATCATTAAAATACTGGCGGAAGCTTCAAATTACTCCCTCTAGGGCGCTCGCTATCGATAGTTCTGATACTTATCTTGTTACCAATATATATACCATATTTTTGACCCTCATAACCAGCATATCAATCGTATCAAAAGCAAGTAAAAGATCATGTACATAATGATAATATTAGCTAGAGCTTAGCTAATTACACGAGGATGCACAGTTTTCCACAGAACCCAATCGATCAATTATCTTTTCCCTTTCCACAAACCACGCACTCTAACGCCATAATACAAAAGGTAAAGACACGGCTCGGATGCTATGAGAAAAGAACACGAAAGAAGAAGCGAAAGAAAACAAGGAAGCCGTTGTCTACTTCTTCTTAGACTTGAAGCCCCCTTCAAACCCAGGCCTGCCTTTCCCTTTGCTCTTGGTCACCTTCTTCCCACTCTTGATCCCCTTGTTCTCCTTTCGTTTCCGTAGGTTCTCATCCCTCTTCGACTGCCTAATTTCTTTTCCCTTAGCAACCCCATCTATTCTCTCTTTCCATTGCTTCTCGCTCCGTTTCTTAAGCCCTTCTTTTCTATGCAGAGCTTTCTTAAGCAATGAAACGTCATCCTTGACACGTTCTCCATGCGCTCTCTTCTTAGCGTTAAGCCACATATCCTTCTCCTCTATATCAGCGCGTTTCTCTTCGTCAAGGTTAGCAAGGCGAGCCTTTTTAGCCTCTGCTGCCTTGAGGGCCGTGTTCGCATCCTGGGGTCCGCGTTTCTTAGATGCATCTCGGAGGCCGGTCATGCTGGAATCCAGCTGTTGGCCATCGGCAAAGACCACTCGTCCAAAGGAGAAGTTGTTTGGTATAGAGGCTATTGAGTCGGCCGGCGATGCAGGCGAGGACAGAAGAGAGCCCGGGTTCTGGGTAGAGAAACGTTTAGAGATGGCCTCATCACGAAGTCGTTGCTCTTCTTCTTTGGCCTTTTGTCGTTGTTCCTTCTTCTGGGCACGGCGTGCCTCTTCACGTTGCCGTCGACCTTCGATGAGCTCCTGTCTATTCTTGGCGGGTTTCCCATTAACACCGTCGGCATGACGGGCGGCACGAAGTTCTTCGATACGTTTTTGTAACCTTTCTCTTATTTGTTCAGGCGTACGCTGGGGTTTTCCGAGCTGTGGGGATGGCTTGTTGTCGGTAGTAGTAGCAGGGATGGAGGTAGACGATTCGGTAGACGGGACAATGGAAGAGACAGATGAGCTACCCGAGGGGGGGTTGGATGGATCTGATGCATTGTTCGGTGAAGTGGGAGCAGTTGATTCATGACCTGCCTGGCCCTGCAGGGCTTCAGAAGAGAATCCTTCCAGGGATATATCTTCCATTTCGCCGTCACTTTCAGCAGAATTCTTGATGTTTTTCGCTGTAGATTTGGCGGGTTTCTGTACTGATGGCGACGGTTGTTCAGTTGTATCATCGGCCTTTGATTTAAATGGCTTAGAAGAGGCTTCTACGCTTGCCTGCTGCTCTCTCTTCGCAGCCTTTAGTGCCGCTATTTTCTCCTTTCGTTTCTCGCGCTTCTCAGCTTGTTTCTTCTTCAACATCTCCTGCTTTGCCGCTTTTGCTTCACTCTTGGCTTGTTGTTTGACATCTCCATCTTTGGTTGTTTGGTCTTCAGGATTTGAAGTAGCAGTGGCCTTCTTCTGCTTCTTTGGCTTGGAGTCTCCCCGCTTAAGGCCCTCCCTCGGCTTCTCTGAACCTAGAGGTTCCTCCTCCGAATGCGAGCTATTCGCATCTTGAGTCTCGTCTTTGTCTGTTTCTTCTCTTTTCCTCTTTCTGGCATTCTCATCCATCACATCCTTTGCCGATTTTGAGCTTTCGGGGTCTAGTTTGGCCCTCTTTGCGTCTCTAGCCTGTTCCTTGGTCTGCTTCTTCCGCTGCCATTGTTCCTATATTCAAGAACTCAAATATCAGCAATGGATTCAGAAAGGCCAGGTGGCAGATGCATAATAGCACTCCGCTATCGAACAGAGCAGAATAGAACGTACACTGTTATCTTCTCCGTAGTAATACTTTGCGGGAATCAGCGACAGCAAGCCATCAAACGCGCTCGCATGGCCTCGTAGGCGTTCCTAAACGAGTATAATTTAGCAAGCGGATTAGCCAAATGCCAAAGGCATCTTACCTCTAAGCTATCCCCCATAACTGCAAGCAACTAGAAAAACAAAATGCTCTAGATTAAAACCATCCACGGCTTCGTCGACGGCTCGATGAAAATATTTCGAAATCTTGAACGGTGGGAAGAAATCTTGGCGTTTTCTCGTTTTCTGCCGTGGGGCTCCTTCACCGCCTTGGGTCCCAATAATAGCATTTTGATATCAACTTCAACGACATCAGCATTATTTGACATCAACAACAGGATTGATAGAAGAAAAGGATATCAATAGCAGATATCCTCGCGGAAGAAAGTACTCCATTGGCCACTGGCGGTGGTGGTGATAGTATTCTCCTTGTGATAACTTAACAGTGTTTGGTTAGCAGAGGACTGCTGGTGTTCTACTACGACGTGGCATGGCACGCCCTCACTGAGTACTCTTAAGAGACCATCGACGCCATCAACGACAACACAAGCATACTTGGTACAAAGTTACCTTCCGCTTCAGGCTGATAGCGCCTCGGATACACTTTTTTACACATATATTGGCAAATTAATGGGCAAAGCAGACTCCCTCAGATATGGATTACAGAAAACTGGCCACTACTGGCACTATCGACCAGGTACTGAACAATAATAAGATGCACACCTTTCTTCTACGGAATATCAACGTGCTGACATCATTCCGAATTTCGTGTTCCTGGCCCCTGGCGGCTAAAAGGATGCCAGATTCGGGTGGCTCGGCTGAACGCATAAAAAAACGGGGCATCCATCTGAACAATTCGCCGTTGGTAATAATAAGAGTCAGTTATTAAATAGTTCCAGGCATTCGTTTCGAGCTACCCCGTACGGAGCCCAAAAAGCAACTTATACTTAGACATCGAAGGTGACGTTGGGATGGTTTTTGTATCTCTCGGCGTTACCTTACTGTCAGACTCCGGCATTATTGCACTTCCGACGGCCACAGAGAAAGCCGCGCACATGGTGGTGGAGAATTCGGTCCAAGGCGATGGTAGGACGATAAGCTTCATAACAACGACATTATGGCGACCATTCCATAATTCAACTTGCATATCTACTCGAGTGTGCGCAATCATGTTGTTGTCTTTCTACAGCTTGAGGATAGGGCAGCGAAGATTAGCTAAGCATTCGGCATTGCGGCAGTGTCTGGATTTAACTTTCATAACCAGCCACAATAGAGGCTTGGATGAACAGTGGGGGGCTGAGCCATCAAACTTGATACCGGCTGTGAGAGCCTCCCCCCCTCTATCGAGCGTATATGCTAACTCCGTTCGAGTATGATGGTGCGCCAGACGGGAGGATTCGGATCGAGAACAGCGTTCTGAAAATGACTGGCTTAAGCATGACGTTCCGGAGGAGTTGAACTCAACAACCACCATCTATCTAGTTACTTCCTACCGTCTTCACGAGACAAGAAGCGTTCACCTGATACAGTCAGGAAACGACTTAACCATAGTCTGTGTTCACACCAAGAACAAAGAACTTGGGAAAGCGATCTTCGATATCCTCTGGCTTGGAGTACAGAAGTAGTAGCCTGTGGGTACGGTGAAGCGGAATCTTGCTGTCAAACCCTTGGAAAATAAACATCGGGGGATGTTTTTGGAGAGCCCCTCGCCTTACACGGCTGAAACTCCGGCTTTCCCTAAATAGGCGAATATCCAGGAAGCATTCAGCTCGTCCAGCATCATGGAGGAACTGCCCATGCAAAGAAGCCGCTGGCAGCTTCGAGGAACGGACAGGAACGAGAATCGCACAGCGAACTCGGGTTGGAACAACCGCGCAGAAGTGAGCTTGGCGAGGCTTTGCTCGTCGTATCCCAGCTGAGCAGGACGCGAGTGGGTATCAGGGCGGCGAATGAGATTGGGCCTGGACGGATGATTACGGTGCGTGTGGCTGCAAATCTGGGTGTGAGCAATGAGTGATCTTGTCTGGTCGAGAGGTGGGAAATTGCTGCGCATGCATGTCCCTGGCGCTCTGCGAGGAAGGCCAGCAACAGCAAGTTGCTGCGCATAAACCCCCAGGGAGGATCAGAAGTTAGTTAACTGAGGCACTCTAATAATAAACCGGTACTAGTCCTACGTAAGGATGCACGCCGCCATGGGCTTTGTCAGTAATACGCCTGAGCTGACTAGCGGGGTCTCGTCATCCGAATGTTATATACATATATAAAGGCGGGGTCTTGCTCTTGCTGTCTTCATCCTTTCCATCATCAACAACATCAACTCCTTCACATTTCCAACCATAGTCCGTCCATCATCTTCTAGACAGTCAGTCGCCTCTACGATAACATCAACCTCCAACAACCACATCCATATTTTCAGATAACCACACACCCAAGAAACATGTCCGGCTACGACTACAACCAACAGCAGGGCTACGGCCAGCAGTCTTATGGCGGCCAGCAGGGCGGCTACGGTCAGCAGCAACAAGGCTACGGTCAGCAGCCGCAGGGCTATGGCCAGGGCCAGTACGGCCAGGACCAGTATAGCAACCAGGGACAGCAGTACCAGCAGGGCGGCTACGACCAGAGTGGCTACAACCATCAGCAGCAGTCCTACGGACAACAGGGCCAGGACTACAACCAAGGCCAACAACAGCATGGCTACGGCGGTCAGCCTCAGTACGGGTAAGTACCAGAGCAAAGAGTCACAATAATACCCCGCCCCCGCCTCTCCTATAGGGCTGATGATGCTAACATACACACTCGTATTAACAGTCAGGACCAGGGCGCTCCAGGTGGTGCCCAGGAGGGTGAGCGTGGAATCGGAGGTGCTCTTGCTGGCGCTGCCTCTGGCGGTTTCCTCGGAAGCAAAGCCAACCACGGTATCCTAGGAGCCATCGGAGGAGCCATCGCCGGCCACTTTGCCGAAGAGAAGCTCAAGAAGCACGGAGATGGCCATCACGGAAGCGGCCATGGAGGCAGCAATGGCGGAAACCCTCTTGGTTCCATGTTCGGAGGCGGCAAGCACTGAACTGCATAAACTACCCCGTTTTGCTTGACTAACCGTGGATCTGAATCCGGAGGTTGATCTGATCAGGGCGGAGAGGAAGACGATGCGGAGGAGGCAAAAACCACGCGAGCGGGACACTTATGGCATGCCTTGTATGACTCTCCTATGTGCAGATATAATTTGTTTAAATTCTTTTACGTGTTGATTGATTGATTCCATCGTACGATTGTTTTCTGTTCCGTGTTCGTATGACCCATGTTGACATTTTACAACCTACTATTATTATTGCCATGTTCCAGCATCAGTGATACTTGTCACTTCTCTGCCAGACTTGTTGATAATGACAACTGTATTTATTAGGACTTAATATGCATGTGTTTTATTCCAAAGAAATTGACATTCCCCATAAACCCCTCCTTGGATTAATTTTAACTCCTAAACCCCCAGAATCTGCCTGTGATTCGGAGATTACGGACTGGATAACCATGGATACATAGAAGCGAGGGCCCTGATCCAGTCTGATATTCGGTATATCAAATCAGAATGCGTCGATGTAAAATGCCCCTTGGTACAGAGTTCCTATGGACACTTTCGCCAACCAGCAGCCAGATATCCGGCATTCATGGTCTCCTACTATGAGATCGACACGGAGGGCCGGCATGCATGATACCCATGTTTGGCTATCTATTATTGCAGCCACGAAGAGATATCTCCCGCCTGCAGCCCAGCTAATCCGCCTCCCAAAGACACTCTGGAAGATCGCAGATACGTGCAAATAATTTTTTAGCCAAGTGGAGATTTCAGCTTCTCCCAACGTCCTCGATTGAAAAAAGGGCAGATTGATACGAGCCGATCCAGCCCTGTGGCGTTCAAACATACTTAAGAAAATAAATATAAAATTATATATATTATCGCATGAAGGAAGCGGGATAAGCAGAAATTCGCCGATCCAGGGGTACTGCAATATATTTTATTTTTTTTTTTTTCCAGAGTCTATGATCATCTTTCGAGCCGATATTACTGTCCCTTGCGCAAAAAGAAAAAGAACAGTGGAGGCCAAAATCGGATGCTGCGGACTGGTCGTATTTGAGAAGAGAGACAAAGGCGACGGCAGGATGGTTACTTGCTTTGCGAGGTAGCTATAGAGTATTTGACTGGCGACTGAAGGTGACACCCTGGGGTGAGTGTCATACAAGTTGACAGCGACGTCGCAGAAGCGCCGGGACGGACATGCCGGGGCTAGAGGCTGCATGCTGCATATGCTACATGCTGGCTGTACGCTGGACGCTGTATGACCGGCGCAATTCCGGCGTACAGACATTGAAGCGTTCCTTCTGGGTCCTCTCTCTTGGGTCTGGACGTCATCTGTGTTCCGTCCAGGATCTGTTGATTTTTGTCCCTTGGGATCCCGTAAATAGCTCCCGGGATCAATCGATAGACACTAGTTATATAGAGAAAGGATGGACATCGCCTCAGAGGAAAAAAGAACCCGAATTAATCGTATTATATGTTTTTTTTTTCTCAGCGATGCCCAGCAAAAAAGAAATGGGTGGTATTGTACATCAACGGCCAGGGCCCATGAATAGAAAATAAGTATAAGTATATAAGGTGTAGCTCCCAAGGAAACGCAGGCCAAATGGTCGAGAAAGGATAAGAAAAAGAATAAAGAAAAGAAAAGAAAACAATGCGCAGACATTGTATCATGCAACTGAACACCGTCCCAAACCTTCTAGTAGGTCACTGGCTCGTACATCTATACCCCCGGTGTCTTCGTCTTCAATGCCAAAGGCAATGAACAACACGTCATCACTGTAGCCATGGTATTTCTGGCCGGGCGTTTTCCAACTTATGGAAGTGATGTAGAACATCTCAGTCTGGCTCCAGACTTGTGCTTCCTCGGGCGTCAGACCCGGCGGTTTCTTGCCCTCTCCAGCCTTACCGCGGCCGTGGATCCAGATGGGCTTTGAGGATATCCCGTACAGCTCGAAGGGGGCACTCTGGCGGAAGAGCATGGCGTAGGGCTCATACACGCTGTGGAAGGAGTAGAAGCTCTTGTGCTGGAAGATGGTCAGCACAAAGGTGTTCTCTTCGTTGGGCTTGCAGTTCGGATCTGTCCGGTTGCAGAGGGTGATGGCCAGGGAATTTGTGGCCTGGTGGATGGACTCGAGCTTGGGCGGCAGACGAGGCATGTACCGCCGCAGACACCGGTTGTCCTGGGAGGCCACGGCGGGCGCGAGATCCGGTCCTACCGCGCCGGTGTACTCTAGTTTGGCGAAGACTCGCCGGGGAGCCACGTCGTAGTGGGCGTACATCTGGCCATCCCTGTCCCAGAAGACGAACCAGTTCTTCTCGATGGCGCCGTACGCCGTCGGCCGTTGGATCTCCGTGGGCACGCGGAACTCGTTCTGGAAGAAGTGCTCGTACCCCCAGTCCATCAGCATGCGGAAGTCCTGCACCCACTGCCCGAAACAGGTGAAGACCGAGTTGGAGCCGTAGATGGCCAGCGGGAAGCGAGGCCCGTAGAAGACGCGGGCATCGTGGGGGCCGATATTGAGGGCGAAGAAGGCCAGGTCGCCCGTACACTTGTTGCGGTCTCCTACGGTAGCGGCAATGGGCATGTTCATCGGCGGGCTGACACACTCCAGGCGGCCGCTCGTCTTGAACATGGCGTTACACACGAGCTCAGCAAACCAGACGGTGTTCTTGATCGTGTCCCGGCGGTTCATATGCTGTGCTGAGATCACCCAGGTGTCGTTGAGCTGCGGATGGGGGATGATGCTGGGGTTCGTAGCCGGCAGCTCGCCGAACTTGATGCGAAAGAACTTGCGGTCCGGCGTCGACAGCGAGAAGACCTCGTGGTGTGTTTTCGCGATGTCGGACGCGGTCTTGGGCGATGGCTTGTCATGATTATGGTCATTATTATTATTATCGTCAAACGAGGGCAGCGAGCCCTTGAAGGTGTCTCTGAGCGACCATCCGGAGCGTGCGCTGCCAAAGTAGGTGGCGGCCACGAAGGCGAGCAGCAGGAAAAGGGCCACCGGGAGGAAGAGTCGCTTGAGCCCGCGAACTAGCATTGCCTATCGAGCACGTTAGGTCAGGTCAGGACGGCCGTTTTCCCTTCACATCGTCAGGCCCCAGTCGAGGGAGGAAGATGTTACTCCGTCAAGAAGATATCGCTTTTGCTTGTTGGTTGGGCGGTTGTACGGGGCGTCGAGATGGAAGAAGTCCAGAGCAGAGCATCGCAACCGCGGCGGCCCCAGCAGCGAGCGACTGGCAGAGACAACAATCGCCCTAACACAGCTTCTTTTCTCCCTTGGAACGAGCAGAGTTTTTTTCTTATTTTTGCTTCTTCTCCGTCTTTTCTCTCCCAATGAACAATGAATCAGCAGCGGCCGTTACGCAGCTTACGTGGGATGCTTCTCCATGTATTGGCGAATGGCCCGAGGAGTGGTTCGTGTCGCCTACCAAATTTCCCCAGGGCCAATTGGAGCGCCCCAACGCATGGAGAAAAGGGGTTGGGCCAGGGGGTTCCGCAGTGGACAGGCAAGCCACGAGCAGGAGGTCCCATAGTGTGTATACGCACTGTATTATTATACATATATTATCATACTATCATTTGCTGGTGCCGATGAAGTTATGGGGCCTGGATCTGCTCTTGCTGGTGGGCGGGCGAGGGCGGGTGAGAGAAAAAGCAAGGCCGCCCTCGGGATCCCTGCAAGCCTCTCTCGGACGTGTTACTCGATTTGATACATAATTTGCATGAGCCCCGTGAAGATAAAGATCATTTCCATTGATAGCGCCTGAAAGTCTCTCTATATATACACAGGATGATACTGGATTCGTCACGCTATGAACATGTGAAACTGCTGCTGCTTCGTAAAAGAAGAAGAAAAAAAAAAAAAAAAAAAAAAACAAACCAAAAGAAAGGACAACAGGATCTAATCAAACGGAGGGGGCATAACGGGCCCTCCCAAAAATTGCAAGGAGAGAGAGAAAGAGAGAAAGAGAGCGAGATGGTGAAGGAAAGGGAGAAAGGAACCGATCACATAGCTTTGGCGGCAGGCGGCAATGTCCTGGAATAAGCCCACTGAGCGAACTTGACGCTGGGTCCGTCGAAAAGCTTAGTGACAATCTCCGCAAGCCAGAGGGTGAGCGGAAGGAGAATAAGTTGTGGAGCAAGGAATCCAACCTCAAGGCCCAGTGGGCCATTCGTGGGCAGAGGGAATCGGTTGACCCATCCAGGGATGGTTTTGTGGTGCGAATCCTTCACCCAGCCCACTGCGGAATAGAGGCGGTCTCCCAGAATCCAGAGAACGGGGCCATGGACGAGGTAGAGGGCAAAGGAGACACGGCCGAGATACTGGTTGAATCGGAGCTCGAAGAAGCTCTGCAGAGGGCGGATGCGAGATATCGACGAGACCAGGAAGACGGCCGCCCAGAAGAGGTAGAACCATTTGAAGTCGAAGACCGCCTGGGGTTTCAGGTAGGAGAGCCAGTTCCAGCCAGGAGACTCCTTGAGCAGCGCAACGTCGAAGCTGTGGGATGGACAGCCGCCGAGGTACATGCTGATCACGAAGAGACTGTAGAAGAATGTCTCCTTGTAGGGTTGCAAACGGTAGAAGAATTTGGGCAGGTTGTTGCTCTCCGCGAGCAGGTCGAGGTCGGACAGGTGCATGCCAGCAACGAACATGGCGCACAACGCTCCGTCTGCAATGTACATGAAGTAGATGAAGAGGCCGATCTCGCACAGCAGGCGAGCGTTCCTCGAAGCCTTGGAGAAGGCCAGCAGCGCAGTGTAGATGACAATCGAGCCCTTGAACTCGACCGGAATCGACCACGCATGGAAGTTGTAATGGAACCAGAGCTCGCCGCCGGTTCGGTAGATGAAGCTGAAGTTCTTCATCTCGCAATACCACTTCCACACCTCGTCTTTGTAGCTCCCTTGCGGATCAGGAACCGCCGTTATCCCAAACATATGCCATATTGTCATGTATACGAAGGTCGTGGCCATGACCGGTAGGTAGAGTCGAAGCCATCGTCGAAATAGGGCGGAGGCCAGGGTATCTCCAAGCTTGAGATAGTCGCCTGCCTGTATCAAGCTCAGAGCTTTCACCGACAGCACATAGCCCGACAGCACGAAGAAGACGCTGACTGCAAAATGGCCGCCGGAGAAGAAGGTCCGTATCCCAGGCAAGGCAATGAAGTGGTGCTTGCCTTTGTATCCGTATGCGTTCTCGAATATGGGATTCTGCGTCACCGCATCGTGAGCCCAGAGCTCGTGGTGGCCGAAATAAACGAGTAGGGCTGCGAATCCTCTCAAGCCATCGAGGTAGCTAGTCCGTCCCATCTGTTTCCGCCGACCCTTCGTCGTCAGGATAGACGGCCGCACTATGTCAAGAAACCATCGCAATGCACCGGAAATCCGAGACGGTTTCGGCTCCCCAGTGGGCTCCTGCCAGTACTGCTTCTCTAATATGTTCCCCGGTAGAGCTGACATCTTCAAATGCAGCCGGTGGTGTTCCTGGCTGTCCTTTTGCGCTTCCTCAAGGGAAGAAGATGGATAATAATAATAAGTAAATTAGTTATTAAGAAAAAAAAAAAAAAAAAAAAGGAGAGCTGGAGAAATTTTTCTTCCTCCCTGCCGGACCTTTGATCCAGGCGCGCCAGCTACTAAGGTTGAAATCGAACAGCGAAAAGGAATGGTGGAATGGTGGAGGAGCGGCGGAGGAGGAGAATATCTTGATCAAGATCCGGGGTTAAAGTGAACCGAAAAACCCTTCCCACCCCCCCCTCCCCCTTGGGTTCCCATCTCTTATGCGGAGTTCGTACGGCTCAATAAAAAAAGATTAATTCGGTTGACGTATTTCGAGCAGCGAGCACATCGGTTTCACACTGTCTGAAAGAAGCAACGAAGGCGAAAAAGCAACGAAAGGCCTTCCAAATATCACAGGCAAAAAGTCCGCCAGGTGCCAAGGAGTGTCATATATTCCAGGTAAACCAGAGGGAGAGGGAGCTGGCCGGTACTTTAGGGGTTCACATGCCGAGTCGTTCCTGTTCCTCGCCCTCGTTGCGTGTCCATCTTTTCGCACTCGCCCGCCCCTTGGCCCTGGTCTGGCTTTGCCCTGGCCCGAGAGGCAACAAGGTCTCCCCCGAAGCTTCCAGGAAAGGATGCCCGTATCCAATCCCTGGCGCGGTGGAGATTGGCTTCCTGATTTCCTTTGCCTGATCCACCCCTTATTTTGACTTTTTTTGCCATCCAAAATTTTCAGTTAGTCTAATTGAGCTTATCCCGAGCCATACAAGCGGAAAATAATATCAACAGCTCCCTCGGCCATAAAGCAAAAAAAACGGCACTTTTCCCCCTTCTTTCGATCGGAAATCGACCGTGGATACCTTGACCGGAGGCGCTTACTTCGATTTTTTTTCCTTGGTCCCCCAGGTCTTCTCAATTCCTCTGACCTGAACAACCTTCTTTCTCTCTTCTCCTCCTCCTTCTCCTTCTTCCTCCACCCCCCGCACATGGCAATCGCCGCTTCTCGTCTTTAAAACATCATGATGAAGCCGCTTTCTCCTTTTCTGAACCGTACTCCTGTGAGTATTCGTTCAGCAATAGATCAAGCAATGGGGGCAGTCAAGACCATTGCACCGAAGTTCGGAGGCTTCCTGCCACGGCAGATGAGAAGAGCTCTGGTAGGATGCGTCTCCTGTCTGGTCATCGTCATTTACCTTTCAGTTGCTGGTGCCTTCTCCGAGTCGAAAAGCGATTATCCTCACAGTCTCGCTGCCCCAACAATGGAAAAGTTTCCCCGCAAAATCTGGCAGACTTGGAAGGTTGACCCTCTGGCTTTCGACAAACGAGACTTGGATACCGCAAAGAGCTGGGTATCTAAGAACCCCGAGTACCGATATGAAGTTTTGACCGACCACAACGACATGTACTATGTTGAAACGCACTTTGGCCCTGAAGGTTTCAATCGACCGGACATCGTCGATACCTACCGCCAGCTCACTGCAAAGATCATCAAGGCTGATTTGCTCAGATACCTCGTCATGTATGTTGATGGCGGTGTCTATACTGATATTGATGTCGAGGCAATCAGACCAATCAAGCGATTCATCCCGGAGCGGTACAACGAGAAGGACATCAACATGGTCATCAGTGTCGAGATCGACGAGCCAAGCTTCAGTGACCACGCCATCCTGGGCCAGAAATCGAAGTCTTTCTGTCAATGGACGTTCATGTGCAAGCCCAAACTCCCCGTCATGATGAGACTTGTCGATAACATTCTGAAGTGGCTCAATGGCGTTGCAAAGAAGCAAGGCAAACCGATTTCAGAAATTGTCCTCGACTTTGACGAAGTTATCAGTGGCACTGGACCGTCTGCCTTTACCAACGCAATCTTGCAAGAGATGAGCGAGAATATTGGTGAGCCTGTCAAATGGGACATGTTCCATGATATGCATGAATCTAAGCTCGTGGGAGGCTTCCTTGTCCTCACTGTCGAAGCATTCGCCGCTGGACAGGGCCACTCTGACTCTGGGAACCACAACGCTCGAGCTGCTCTTGTCAAGCATCACTACCACGCATCTGAATGGCCAAAAAATCATCCACGATACAACCATCCTGTGTATGGTGAAGTTGAAAAGTGCAACTGGGATCGAGGGTGTGTTGAAGAATGGGATAAGAACACTGCCGCTTTCAAGGAACTCTCGTCCGAAGAACAGGCCAAAAAGATCGCTCTTGCAAAGCTCGAAGTTGATACTCCACCACCCAAGGTGCCCGAGGTCCCAACATGGAACCAGCCTCTACCAGGAGCGGAACAACAGCCCAACGGACAGCCCCAACCCCCTCAGGTTCCCCAGCAGGTACCAGTTCAAGGTCAGCCCATTGTGCAAAACCCACCCCAGCAGCAACCCCAGCAACCAGGCCAGCAGTTCCAGCAACCCCCAATGCAACCACTACAGCCAGGCCAGCAGGTACAGCAAGCACCGCCCACGCAACAGCAGCAACCCGGACAGCAAATCCCGCAAGCTCCACCACAGCAGCAACAGCCAGGACAACAATTGCAACACCAATCTGAACAGCAGCTACAGCAGCCACCAACGCAGCAGCCACCAACGCAGCAGCAACCGGGCCAGCAGCAACCAGGGCAGCAATTCCAGCAACCACCACCACCACCACAGCAGCAGCAACCTGGTCAGGCGTTACAACAGCCACCACCACCAACACAGCAGCAGCAACCCGGACAGGCATTGCAACAACCACCTCCGCCACAGCAGCAGCAACCTGGTCAGGCGTTACAACAGCCACCACCACCAACACAGCAGCAGCAACCTGGACAGGCATTGCAACAACCACCTCCGCCACAGCAGCAACAACCCGGACAGCCATTGCAACAACCACCTCCGCCACAACAGCAGCAGCCCGGACAGCCACTGCAGCAGCAACCTGGACAGCCATTGCAACAGCCACCACCACGCCAGCAACAACCCGGACAAGGCCCACCTGAACAACCCAAGGCACCTTCGGAAAATGAACAACAACCTAAGGCGCCCCAGCCTAATGCACCTGCATCTCCAGAGGGACCAGAAAAGCTCGATGATAAAGACCTCAAGGAAATTGCCGATCTCAATGATGAGCTCAACAACCTCGAAGGCTCTGAGAAGAAAAAGCGCGATCCCAAAGCTGAGCCTTGAAGGGTAGTTGAGATTGCGTGACAACATTCCATGACTGCATGATATCGGAGTCTCTCTATCCACCGCTTTTACCCCTATTTTTATTGGATCCCTGTTGTCATGATAGGCATCATAAAGCCAATGGGGGTGAAATATCGCCGGATGAGATAGACGTATATCCCCGCTCGTCTGAGTGGACGTGTGGTGTGGTAGCTGGCTTACACTCCCCAGCACGGCGCGGTACAGGACACGCCCCTTTATCAGCCTAAAGCAGTCCGAGTATATTCAAGAAGAACGGTGTTTCAACGGCGTTTATGGGTCATATCGAAGGGAAGCGCGTGATGAATATGGATACCTAAAGATTTCTGATTTCATTTCATTTCCTTTCGTCTTCCTTTTTTTTCTGTCATATTCTTAATATCCTGAACTCTGATAGCGGTTGGTTATGTCTTTATGCGGGGATTTATTAGCACGTTATAGACTATCATTGTCAGTTATCACGGCCTCCAATTTGAATGTGTTATAATGTTGAATATAACCTGTTAATAGCAAATGAATATTGGAGACGAGGGTCTCGCATCTAAACTTTCGCTCGTTTCATAGTTCAAGAACATGTTTCCTGAGCTAACAAGTCAAGTAACCATCGTACCTGAGCTCTCTAGATGAACCTCGCTGCGCAAGGGCATCGCCTTGCTCGATAGAGCCTTTCGTGCTCGTCACCCTCAGGTTTACTTGTCGTTAGAAGTTCATTTTCAGACGTTGGAAATTCCGAGGCTAAAATAGACTGCTTATGTAATCGGAATTTTCTCAAACTTCTCAAAGGCTTTCTTCGCTCTCAAAAGAGCGGTTCTACCCCAGCGCAAGATCCCCAGCCCACAAACGACAGCGATGATATTAAGACGGTTCGCCATAAGGCAAGGTAAGCCTTTACTCTTCAATTTAATCTCCCAGCTGTCCTAATTGCCGGACTAACCACCGGATCTCTTGCAGCGCGCTCCTTTGCGCAGAACAGCCGTCAAAGACCCTTTCAGACCCGATTTTTGTCCAGCCAAATTCCTACCGATACCATCCCTGTGGCCGAGGTAGAGGCGAGTGAATCTGTACAGGCTAATGGTGTCAGCCCGGAAGAGCCTGTTTCATCGGCATTGGCTCAGCACAGAGCCAGTGTAGTAACTAGTATGTGTGGATGAGGGAGGTTGCCGATTGCAGCTTATCCTATCTATGGCGTTCTCCTGAAGGAAGAAGAAATCTTGAGCCTAGTAAAAGATTGACTGACGCTCCTCCTATCTTGACAGAAAATAAATTCAACCGACTTGGATCTGATATTAGGAACAATTACCGGCCTGAAAATCTAATTTCCAATCCTCCCAGGGCTTCTGATGTCACTCTCGAACTCCTTCTCGCCTCCCAGGCCCATATCGGACATTCAACTTCTCTCTGGAACCCCGGAAACTCGGGCTATATACATGGTATTCGAGAAGGAGTTCACATAATTTCTCTCGATGTGACTGCAGCTCATTTACGGCGAGCAGCCAAAATTGTCGAGGAAGTTGCACGAGTCGGGGGTTTAATCTTGTTCGTTGGTACTAGAAAGGGCCAGAAACGAGCAGTTGTGCGTGCTGCTGAACTAGCGCAGGGTTGCCATGTCTTTGATCGCTGGGTTCCAGGATCTCTCACCAACGCTATGCAGCTCCTGAATAAATGCGAGGTTAAGCTCGTTGATGCCCTTGATAGAACTGTGGATTATCCCGGATTTCAGAGTGTTGACATCGAAAGATGCCCATTGAGACCGGATTTGGTGGTCTGTTTCAATCCCCTTGAAAATAAGCCTTTGCTCCAGGAATGTGCTACCATGAATATTCCCACCATCGGAGTTATCGATACCGACGCGGATCCAACCCGAGTGACCTATCCTATACCTGCAAATGATGACAGTCCCAGATGCATCAGTGTTATTGCGGGTGTCCTAGGAAGGGCTGGAGAAAGAGGGCAGCAAGTGCGGTTGAAACAGTCAGCTACTGGAGATTTACCTTATACACCTATCAACCTTGGTGCCTAAAAAAACAAGAAGCCTTAGGCTACGGGTTCTACTCCTCTTTCGAAGATTATACCCGGTTGAAAGGCTCGTTTTATGAAATTTTAAGGCTAGCAATGTACAATAGTATAACTTTTTCTTATTGTGTATTAACTCTGGTACTGTCGATTCTTCAGTTTTACTAGGAGCAATATGTTTCTTCTTCTTTTCTTTCCCGTTCTTGGCCTCGAATATCAAAACGTCGGTAATAATTTCCCTTTGATAAATACCAGCGGACGTTGCCATGTCACCTGCCATCAAACTATAACAGCTCCAGAAAGTTATTTGAATACAGCCACCGTTGCTGCAACCCATGGGTGCATATGGGCAACGACGTCATACTACCTTATACTTGCTGAAAATTTCATATCATTAAAATAAGCAAGAGTAACCTAGGGATTCGATATCGGAAGTCACCTCCTTTCCACAAAGAAACAAGAAATCTCAAGTCTCAACTGAATAAGTTCCCTCCCGTTATTGATTGTGTTATATTCGGTCCTATATTCTGCTTTCATCATGGAACTGGGCTTCGGTGATCAAGATCTTATCTATGAAGAAGAAGCTAAAAGGCTAGCGAAATCAGCTCCAGTGCCTCGGCCTATGTGCCTGTCATGTAGCAAGCTTGTCGCAGAATCTCCCATGCTACAGTGTTCTCAGGCTCATCCATCAACAAGATGCTACCAATGTGTCAAAGCCAACAAGCCGTGCCATACTATTCCACCACAGTTCAGAGGTGATCTCGAACGTATTCAGGCTCTTGCGCGAGAAATCCATGTTAGACCGTCGCAAAAAGCAACCGAACAGCTTCAAGATTTTGCTCGGAAATATGTTGCGCGTATCGAAGCATACGAGCTTAAGGAGCCTACATTAGAAATTTATGCACCGTATCAAGTACCTCGATCAGTCCTACTTCCCGTCCCGATTGATTCCCCGGTCAAGGCTGTAAACCCCGTGAACTCTTCAGTTTCTACAGAAGATGGGTTAGCCTCAAAGGCTCGCGATCTTCAGCAGGTCAACCACATGCTGAATAAAATAGTGGATATTTTATCGCGAAAAATGGACTTACCCTCGGAGAATGGAAATATTGAGAAGAACTCAGAATCTACTTGGCTACACGTTAACCAAGGCACCATACACGGGGATAATGTTAATGAAGCTCCAAAACAACGTCGTTGATAACCCTGCGTTCGATCACTGCATGGCTGGTTCTATTACTAATTCATGCAAACGCAATCGTATTGATTTACTCCCTACGCCAACATTATCATGTCAAGCATGCTACAAAGGAGACTGGCCTGAGCTTAAGGTAAGAAAATACACATGAAAATTTTCGTCACTTTTCCATGAATTGTATGAACTAGTATCATCTTTCAAATTCTGGCTAATTAAGCTCATTGACTACCTGGCAGGTCAAAAGGTAGAAAGCGATTTCCATGTATCAAATCGGCCCCTATCTGGGGGCCTTCCTGGAGCTGCAGAGTCCTAAAGCGGGTGATTACCTTTCGACTATATATCGACTTTGTATACATTCAGCGTTTTCTGGCTCATAAAGTCTTGTTGCCTTAGCTCAGGATTAATGGCGCGTGCATTGTCCACATTATTCGAAAATTACATTGCTTTAACTGCGCTTTTCCCCTGAACAATAAGTTATGTCGGCTAAAGCCACAGTGCGGCAAAAGGGTTTACATATGAATTTCAATGCTACCAAAAACAATTGACCGTCAAGAGAATGTGAAGCTCTTCTACACTCCATGCAAAAAGAATAGATTAATTACAGCTATTTAGTTACTGTGCGATGAATTAAAGTTGGTTAACTTTTTTCACGTTTTTGCCAACCTTATTTTAGGTTTAGCAGCTCGAAGATTGCCAAGACTGGGTTACTATGCATGGCGATTGTCTTCTCCGTGAACATACGCAGTTCTACAGGAAAGCCTGCTGTTACCTCGGAATCTATTGCCCTCGCATGGCTCAGGGGGATTTATCATAGCACCATATTACCAAATTCCATAGCCTCCAGGTGGCATATACCTCACATACCTATGCACTGCCAGTTGGTAATCATGTGGGGGTGGCATGATTGAGAGAAACAATCCATATTTATAGATCGGGTCTATAGCTAAAAAACGGAAAATAAATATATCTGGTCAAAATAGAGCATTAAGGCAAGTGTAGCCGCGTAGAATAGCGTCCAAATGAACAAACAAGTCTATCTACCATACGTAGAGATACATAAATAAATCTAGAAGGGTATATATGGGATAACAGCCAGCAATTGTAGTTGCACACTTGTTGAAAACGTAAAGAGAATTCTCCCCACCCAAGATAGTAGAGAAAACGGATAAAATAGCAGGACGTATTCATTATCCCAAGGCTCTCTTGGTGAGTTCGAAACTATAAAATGCGAGTTAGCCTCAAGGTCATTAGCGTAAAAATCTGAGGGAAGAAAAGAAACATACGCTGCAAAAGTACCAGCTGACACGGGTGCAGCTCTAAGCAGAGTTGGAGCAATTCCTTTAACAAACCCTCCCATCCCCTCCTGTGCGAGTGTCTGTCTAAAGCAGTCTCTCATGTTTTTGTATCTCTGCTGTTCCCCAAAACCGTCACTCTGCATTTTACTCTTGACCACATCGAATGGATAACTTGAAAGCCAGAGCATTTCACCAGCCAATCCACCATATCCTGCTATTTTATAAGCAGGGATATCTTCACGCTTGGTATTTGTTCGCCTGGCTTCCCAGTCCATCATGTACTCGAAGGAAAGGAACCAAGTTCCATACGCTTGCGCTTCACGAAGAATGGTAACCGCCTCTCCACGATAAAGGCCATTGAATAGTCCTCCTTGAGATGACAATTTCTTTATACAGTCTAGAGGCCCATTATAAAGTCTCCCTTCTCCATGAGGTTGGGTTTGGAGCCTGATACGGACGTGTTCAATCGGGCCAGAAATCACGGAGTTGACAATTCCTGCAAAAGCACCAGACAAGTAATACTGAGAGTAAGATAGATGAGGATCCTTTGATCCCTTCTGGGCATTCATTCTTTCGAAATAGCGACGGGCTTCATGAAACGCTCCAAATTGAACGCTTACCTGCATGAAGAAGAAATATCAGGTTATTTGTGACGTAGGAACCAAAATGCACAGATTATGGCGGAGAAGAAACATACGCATGCGCCGATACCAATCAATGGGGTCAGTGTCCCTTTGTAGAATGCGAGTGGGCCCTCTTTCGCAAATATCTTTGTAGCACAGTCCAAGGCATTAGAATAATGCGTCGTCGTTTGCAATCGAACTTTGACAATATCTAGGTAATGATGATTTAGCTGGTGCTATTATGGCTAAGCTTTCTCGTACGTACCGAAGGGTTGTCCTATAAACTCTGTCAGTAACATGGTCCGATGAATTCAACAGAACAAAATACAAACCAAGAAGAACCTGTGCAATTCCTCCAACAGCACCTGATGTCAGATCTTTGATGGTCTGCATCGGATCCTCCACTTCTCCCTTGTGTTCAGAAGCCATTGTTGCCGTGTTTCACCGATAGCCGAAGACGCCGGGGAGGGGAAGGAGATGGAGCAAGCGGTGTGAGATAAGAGATAAGCGGCTGTCTATCTGATTAACAGCAAAATAATACAGACAATAGAGGAAACACACTGCTATCACACGATTGAACGTACCCTGAAGAGATTTTCGGCCAAACGACAAAAATAACCACTTGTCGGGAAAAAGCTGAACGAGAACGAATTAGAAAGGACGAAAGGAGCAATCTGAATGGCGGGATAATATTACATAATCCGGGTTATCAATGGCGCGATAAGGAACCGACTTATATAAGCAACCTTAAACCTACCTAGCCGGAGCTTATTCGGGCCGATTAAAGTCTTGGCATCAAATATCCATGGAACTTTCATAGAAATTTTTGGTCTTTTTTGAGATAAGTGAGAGTCGATTGATGGGGTAGATTGGACGTTCAGGCATTGCGGACAAGAATGCCAAACTGAAAGCATGCGCAGACACTCAATTTTGAAGGTGGGAACTGGATTGAAAGTCCTACGCTTTATGGTGAAACTACTGACGGAAATTGTTGGTTGTTAGGGCATTCGATGTCAAAACTGCTGCTCTCCACGCCGGTTCCCCGTGAAGCCCGTCGGCAACCATGAGCTATCAGCACAGCAATTGCGACAATTGAGCTCGAGCTCTAATACTGTGAATGGATCTGATAATAATAATAGTAGCAATAAGACTCAACCTTCCAATCCAACGTTCGGACGTGGATGGGGTGCACCCGCGTTTGGAGGTCAAGTGTCTTGTACAGCCGCAGAGTTGAAACAGAGAGAGGCTTTGCTAGCCTTGCAAGTTTCTCAGAAACAATCGCATCCTACTGCAGAAAGCGAAACGAAGGTAAGGCCAATTTATGTCGCATTTCTGGGATTAGCGTCGAAGTTGTCCATTTAACTAATGTGTTCTGTCGTCGTAGAACGGAAACACAGCAAGGGAACAGCATGCTACATGGATTTGTGCTCAATGTCAAAAGGCCAATCCAGTCAAATCTGTATCTTGTCCTGGCTGCAATTGGAGACCTAGCCAAGCCTACCTTACTTCGTCAAGGTCTCGACCTGCCCAGCCGAAACCGTCTTCTCCTAAAGCTTCACCCGGTAATGGGCGAACGTCTAGCGACACTAGAAATCAAAAACAAAGCAAGTTTACAATTACAAGGAGTTGGGCCCCTGAGCAATCCCTATACAGGTCTGCCAGAGGTAGGCAACAACCGCAATCTACCGGCCAGTCATCGCGAGACCCACGGTTCGGGGCATCCGGCGCATCGTCCAGGGCCAGTGGAAACACAGATACGGATCACCAGGAACCATGGCAGGAGACCGGTTTTAGAAGTATCTCACGGAAGCCGCGCAGCAGTTTGGACTCTCAAAAACAAGACTCAAGTGTCAGTGGCTTATGGCAGCTATCAGGATTTAGAAGCCTCCCTCCACAATCTGAACAAGTTCGGTCGTCAGATATAGCACCAGAATCCGAGGCGCCTCCTGTTAGATCCAAGCCTCGGCGAGATGAATTGGATTCTGGTAACTATACCAACGAATATCATGTCGGTCGACAGTCCTCATGGGCCGTTCGTGGGAGAGCCCAAGATTTTACCCCGCCGTCCGAAGACGCCGATAACGAATTTTCCTCCAAACCTCGAAAACAGAAAGGGAGGCGTGCCACCACCGAGGATGATTTGGACGAGCCTCCAACGCGGTCAAACCGTCGTGGTGCGAGCCACGCACGGGATCTAGATATAATGGATCGGGAGCTAGAATATAGCGTTGGCCGACCTAAGCGAAAAGACAAAAAAGGCAAGAAGAAAGCAGCCCAGCGAGTACAGGAGCAGTCTGGCCCAACACCGATAGTTCTTCCAGATTTTATCAGCGTTGGGAATCTTGCAGATGCGATCAACGTCCGCCGCACTCAATTTATCAAAAGCCTAGAGAGCCTCGGATTTGATGATGTCACAAATGATCATGTTCTCGACTCGGAAACCGCTGGATTAATCGTCACTGAATTCAATTTCGAACCCGTGGCTGAGTCTAACGATGTAGACCTGGTTGCGGCTCCGAGACCTGACGATACGTCTAATCTACCCCCAAGGCCGCCCGTAGTCACGATCATGGGACACGTTGATCATGGAAAGACAACCCTTCTGGATTATCTTCGAAAGTCTTCCGTAGTTGCAGCTGAACATGGAGGAATAACGCAACACATTGGTGCATTTTCGGTTACCATGCCATCTGGAAAACAAATTACCTTCCTTGATACCCCTGGACACGCTGCTTTCCTCGAAATGAGGAAACGAGGAGCGGATGTTACCGACATCGTAATCTTGGTTGTTGCCGCTGATGACAGCGTCAAGCCCCAGACAATTGAGGCTATAAAACATGCAAAGGGCGCTGATGTTCCAATAATTGTTGCAATTAACAAAATCGATAAAGAAGACATCAATATTGACCGAGTCAAGCAAGACTTAGCACGTCATAATGTCAGTGTCGAGGATTATGGCGGCGATGTCCAGGCAATCGGAGTCAGTGGGAAAACTGGCCAAGGAATGTTGAAATTAGAAGAGGCTGTCATTACGCTATCCGAGATGTTGGACCTTCGAGCTGATAAGGAATGCAACTTTGAAGGCTGGATTATCGAAGCATCCACTAAACGAGCAGGCAGGACGGCGACTGTGCTAGTACGACAGGGAACGCTCCGCCCGGGTGATGTGATTGTTGCAGGAACTTCATGGGCTAAGGTTCGAACTCTGCGTAATGAATCTGGTATTCAGGTTGTGGAGGCCCTTCCAGGAACACCCGTAGAAGTTGATGGCTGGAGGGATCAACCAGTAGCTGGATTCGAAGTACTCCAAGCTCCAGACGAGCAACGTGCAAAGGATGTTGTTGCATTCAGAGCTGAAAAGGAAGAAGTACAGCGGCTGGGTGGTGATGTGGAAGCCATCAACCAAACCCGCCGTGAGACGCGTGAGAGACGGCAGCTTCAGGCCGCTCTAGAAGAGAATGGAGATACACCTCCTGATACTACTGACAAAGCCGGTCCTCAACCTATTCCATTTATTATCAAGGCTGACGTCTCTGGTTCCGCAGAAGCCATAGTCAACGCTATGTCGGCTGTGGGGAACAATGAAGTTTTTGCGAAAATCTTGCGATTTAGCGTTGGAAAGATCGGAGAATCAGATATCAGACATGCTTCTGCTGCTAATGCTGCCGTTATCTCCTTTAACCAGTCCGTTGATCCCGACATTATGAAACTTGCTGTGGCAGAAGGAGTCGATATCCTGAACCACAACATTATCTATGAATTGATTGACGATGTGAAGATGAGACTGAGTGAGCACCTTCCCCCCACCGTCACTCAACGTGTTTCAGGAGAAGCAGAAATTGGCGAAATCTTCGAAATTAAGCTCAAAGGGAAGAAAACCACCTTTGTTGCTGGATGCAAAGTCAGTAACGGTGTCATCAATCGATCTCACAATGTCAGGGTTCTGAGAGGGAAGAATATTATCTATGATGGTATGCTTTCCCATGCGTCTCTTATTACTTTCTAACTGTGTTATAGCCTACTAACCAACTCCGCTCCAGGAACCCTTTCATCTTTGAAGAATGTTAAAAAGGATGTGACTGAGATGCGAAAAGGCACAGAGTGTGGCATGGCATTCGAGGGGTGGGCTGACTTTGCTATTGGCGATGAAATCCAGACATATGAAGTGGTTCGCGAAAAGCGTCAACTTGACTAGAGGCGTTCAACTCGGTGTTCGAAGTGTGGAAGTACCCATTTTCCATTTATCTCATGTATAACAATATTTTGTAGACGGATTCTTTCAGGCTGCAGGCGGGAGCATGTTGCAGCCCCCCAATTCCCCATTGATAGACCTTATCCTTCGAGATCTTGTATTATAATACCTATCAGGTCACTCCTTCATAATGCTCTGCGCTCATCGTGTTATTATTAAGTTACATCGCTACCCTTGACTGATATCTGTCAACCTCAGGCATCGTATGTATCCAGCCAACTCCGGACAATATTCAATGGCTACCGTGCTTCACATTTTTCTGTTTTCCTTGAATTTCAAAATCACAAACATCAATCTTGCGGTATTTAAAACAGCTGCATGGATCTCAAGCAAACACACACGTAAACAAGCATTCAGACAGTTAGTGCATCAGGCTAGATCATTTTCTTTTGCCTTTTTGCTTCCCTTCTTCTTTGGGCCAACTCCTTTGCTCTTTTTTGCCTTGCTGATTCCGGCGCCTGATTTGCTGCTTGCCCCTTTCTTTTCACCTGTCTTGGCTTTGGGCGTTCTAATGGGGCGGGCCAGTGCCTAATGCATAGAGTTTGATTAGCCACCACATCTCTCTTTCGTATTTTTTTGGAGGGGATAATTGCTTCATGTCAAGGAATCCTACCTTTGTAGGGAGGTAGAATGTGTCTTATATTAGAAAATCTGCAAAACGTACCTGTTTCTTAGGACCACTACCTCCCTTGCTGTTCGCAGAGCCTTTTGACTTTAAAATACTGGGCTTTGAGACAGTAGAGATGGCTGGTGTACGGACTTGTCTTGGGCCGCTGATTTGTACACCAAATGCTGTGACCACTGAATCGTCAGAGGAAGAGGGCTCAAAATAGTCCTCATAATCTAGTAGATCATTCACCACCAAATCTGTTGCTTGTGCTGAATAGTCGTAGTCATCTTCGTCTTCTGCTTCATCCATGTGATCGACGATGAGGCTCTTTTTCTGAACAGGAGTTGTATTGGGGGTGGGATAAGTTGAGCATGAAGGTGGGCTAGAGGGATGGAAGGAGGAAGACTCCTCATGATGAGGACTCCCGACATCAGTCGGCTCAATGATAACATACTCCTGGTTAATGGACGAAGAAGATGGGGCCGTGGTCGGATCAGATGTAGCACAACCAAGATTACCATTTGGAAGGTCTTCTTCGCTTTCTTCGGCGTCTGAGGCTTCTGACTCCTCGCTGGACATGGGTGTAAGGGAATCAATGGTAGTAATGCCTTCGAGATCATGGAGGAGGGACATCTTGGGCTTCAGCCGAGTGGTTGATGAGTCTGGCAGGTTATGGAGCAACTGCTGGCCAAACCAGTAGATGTCGAATGTGTTGCTATGCAAGACCTGACGAGTTTAACTACCTGTTAGTTGTGCAATATGAGCTAGCATTTGATTCATACTCACCATCGAGTAGAAGATGATCCGGAAAGTAGTAGGGATTTCCGAATTGTCGATTCCCTCTAAGATCTGGAGCTCAATTTTCTTTCTCGAGATCCTATGGACCTCGTTCTTCACAACCATGCGTTTGATAGTTTCATTTGCATGATTTAGATATATCTCAGTGAACATGTCAACCTTGGAAACAGGCATTGGTTAGTTTCGCGAGAATTGATAAGAAGAGGTCAGTCAACAATTTTTCGTACCTTTCGAGTAGAAGACATGTTTCCTGGTCTGCTCCAGGAGAACTTGCTAGCAGAGGAGATTGAAAGCAGAGAAGGTTGTAAGTCTATCGGGAACGGAGGTAGATTGGTGATGTCAAAAACACTGTATGCTGTTTGTTGGTGGTGTGCCAGGAGGACTGCTGTCAAGGATAAGAGAATTGAAATCGAAGGTAGCGAAAGCCTTATTTATAGAAGATAGGGAGTCCTGTGGCTGGGGTGATTCCGCCAAATCTGGAGGACAGCGGTATAGACACAGTAGTGTCCAGCACGAAAAAAGAGATAGAAAAGGAGGCATTCAATAGGCACGCGAGAAACTAACAACACAAGGTGGTATTGATTTCATCAACACAGAAGGGATGATGATTGAGACAGTCAAGCCTCGTAAGCAAAATATCATCGTCTGCGCCATTGAGGCCAAAAAATTTTTCAACTTCATATTCATGAAGTAGTATGAACACACGTAACACAGAAGGTGAATGGCTCCGGACTATTCAATTAAACCGTGCCAGACGACATCAGCTAGGTAGGATGGTCTAAGAGGAGATAATACAAAGCTAATTCCAAAGAGGGAGAAATTTGATATTGATTCCAAGAGGAGGCCAGAAAATTCGGCGCTTTTCTTTCACCGGGACTTCCAGCGAAGTCTGCCTGCCCACTTTGCCCATTCCTGTGTGTCCTTCCTTTTCAATATTGCCTCAACCGTATACCATTCCCTAGCCAGCTCTTCGTTCGACGCCATTCTATGTACATAGCTATGGCAAGCACGACACAGCCAAGCAACTTGGTTCAAATCGTGTTCCTCATGCCATCCACGCTTCAGAGCCTTGCTATGGACAGCCTTGGGTATAAGATGGTGATATGTCAAGGGTATCCAATCCCGTTCACAAATCTCACAAGCAGAAGTTCTAGTAGCACTGAAAGGAGGTGGCTTTGCAGTAACAGTAGAGGAATATTCCATGAATACAGAAGAGAGCATGGTCGTAAGGTCAGAAGCCTCTGACATTAAGCCGTAGGTGACCAGAGACTCAGATACTGATTGATCGACCAAGGAGGCTAGAAAATCGATGGTATTTCCCGAGATACATTCTGCATAAGTGTCTGCAAGAACGGGGGATGACTGTATGGCGTTGTAAGAGAGAGTCTGCACTGCTTCTGGAAACGACATGAATATCTCTTGGGCAATGAACTAGTGATACCCTTTTAAGTCACTGCAACACAGGATACTCAAAGAAGTCCTCCTATCAGTTGGGTCACATACATCAATAAATTCCGCTAGTTCAGCAGGATCATTATCATTCGGAAACGAGGTATTGTTAAAGCTTGTACGGGCATTGCGTTTTCTGTCTCTCTTCCTTCGAGCCATGCCAGATTTCTCCATAGAGCGGCTCAAGATCGATTTCGAGACACATTCGCGGAATATTCCATAGTTTTCCTTTGCTTCATCTCTGATTAAGCTCGTCATGACCGCGGATGGATATGATAACTTCCAGGGGCTGTTAATAGCAGGATACCGAGAGAGATGTTTGTATACATTTCAACTGCTCTCCTATAGTGGAAACAGCGGAGATACGTAGCAGTTCCGTCAGATATCATCTAATTCCCATTGCAGTGGAGAGTGGAGTTAGCCCATGGACTGCTCCTTCTGCTGCCGGTGTGATGATATCCGACCTTGTTTTGGGTCTCCGACGTTGATTTTTGAGGTTGGAGTTTGATCACTAGCCAGCGAAATACGAGATATGGCTTAGTCATCCAGCCACTCTGCTGCAACGCCTGGCAAAATCCCATAACAAGGTGGAATGTTCGTTCTCATTTTGAGTCAATGATAATTAATTAGAGCTGACTGACTCAGGATGACTGATTGAATTTTATGTGGCGTCCTTTCTTTGGCAGAAGATATTATTACACCAACCAAAGCCAGCCACGGAAAGGGAAGCAAGCCGCGCCGGTTAAGCTGATGAACAAATGCTACCCAAATACTCCGTAAGCATTATGGTTGCTATCAAGCCCAATGATGTTGATCTTTGATGGCTTTTTTAAGGCTCGATTTCAAATATAAACGAAGATATCTAAGAGAAAGCTAGCTGGTAGGCAAATCATGGATGTTCCGCTGTTAAAAATTTCCGACGATTTTCATAACGCAGAAAGCTTCGGGGTAAGTCAGCGAAGAAATATTCTATCCTTCAATTTCCCCTCCAAACCAATCCATTGAACGGGACGTCAGAGTGAATATGAAGGAAAACAGTTTTATGTATGGAGGAAAAAAAGGAAGAAAAATATTCAAATTTGGCGAAGCAAAAAAGCCTTTTATGGGCCGCTTCACGTGACAAGATAACTATTGCGCCTTGACCACCTGACGGCCAAACGTCCATCGTTAAAACGACGGGCGGCGCAGATGTAGACGAAGGCGAAGACGAAGAGGATTGTTGATGAGAGAGCACACTCCAGGCTCGAGTGAACCCACTATAACAGCCAAGTAGAGCGCACAGGTTTTATTTCCAGGATGCTTAAGCTGCTCAGCTTTAGAAGTGCCACCGGGATCTACCCCCTACAGGTCAGTCGAGTACTGCATCCAGGCTAGGCCGCCATCCCATGCAAGCTACTAACCAACCTGGGGATACAGGGGATAGTATATTTTATCTTCCATCCTTTCCTATGGCCTCTGTTCCGGTCCCGGCTGCTGCCCATAACACTACTTTCGCTGTTCATTTACACAATTCTCTTCGTTTTCACATATCTCCCCCAAGTAGCGTTTCTAGCTATCTTCCATGGCCCCGGCGCATGGGTTAACGGGGCATTCCTTGTCCTGGCAGAAGGAGCCGCGATAGTAGCGATGCTATTTGAGGCGTTCTTTGTGGATGAGGCGCAGGTTGATGTCTTTGATTCGGTTTTACTCCACGAAGCGATGAAAAGGCCGCTCGAAGATCCAACGTCGGTGTCTGATCCGGCCTCAACTACACAGCCTTCTTCCTCCTTCCGGAGACATATCATTTCCCTGATGTCCGAATACAGATCACTAGACCTGTCGAATTATACCAATCCCCTCACTCACAAAATCGAAGACCCGGCGAAGTGGCTTGGGAAACCTCTACACACGGCCATATATGCTCCATTCTCGTTCAGGCAGATAATAGAACTGATACTTTTGTTGCCGCTGAATTTGGTTCCAGCTATTGGAACCCCGCTCTTCTTAGTCTTGACAGGCTATCGGGCTGGCCCGTTCCATCACTGGAGGTATTTCCAGCTACGCGATTTTGACAAAAAGGAGAGGAAGGAATATATTCATAAGAGAATCCTTAGATACACCTTGTGAGTATCTATTAGTAGGGGATACGTATTCAAAATCCTATCTTACTAACGTGGCCACCACTAGGTTTGGCACAGTCGCACTTGTACTGCAACTCGTACCTGGGCTTTCAATGTTTTTCCTCTTGTCCACTGCTGCAGGCTCAGCACTGTGGGCAAGAGATATGGAACGACGGAGATGGCTCATGGCCCTAGATACTGCTAGTGATAATGGCCATCACGATAGGCCATCAGAACAATATCATGATAATCCGGTATAGATATTTTTGCCATTTGCGTATAGATAGATAATTAATTTTGTCAGTTCCGAGATGAATTTGTGGGTTTACCACCTAATTCTCTAATGGCTAAAATGAATTTCAATAATATATTTGAATGGACGGAGATTTGTCTTTAGTGATACTACTTGGCATATACACGGCGTTACTCTTTCGCATATTTCAGTGACATATTTATTAGTGAGATAGAATGAGATAAGTAAACTTGCTAAGGAATTCTAGGGGACGTAAAAGAAAGAACGAAACGAAAGTTATGAGTTATAGGCCAGCCAATACATCGAACATGATATTACAAAGAGACAAACCGGGAAACCAGTTGGGGAAGAATACTGTCTCTAGAATCTGCACTGTCGTTGACACCTTTTAGGGCTCTATTGGTATGATTTCAATGCCACTCGGGGCTGGGATCTCGTCCGTGACTGGAATTACAACGAGAGGATTTGAGGAAGTAGTGGGGGCTTCCGTTGGCGAAGGGGCAGGAGCATAAGTAGAAGTCACTATCTGCGAAGTTGATAACTCTGACGAGACTGTCGTGAAGGAGGGTAGGGTGTTGCTAAATGATGGGTATGTCATAGTTGGCGATTCTGTAGCAGGCTCGGTGGTAAAAGTGACCAATGGGCTACTTGTTGATAGGGCGGTAGTAGCAGAGGACTTAGTGGTCAACTGAATGGTTGAAGTTAATGAAGGCAAACTAGTGGTAGCTGAAGGAGTGAAAGAGGTTGAAGAGAAGCCTGAAGTTATCATGGTCGATGTTATTGATTGCGTAATAGTACTGAAGGACGGAAGAGTAGAATTCCAGCCAGGGTATGTAGCAGATGTGGTGTTTGGGACAGTAGTATAACTCGAAGTGAGCTTTGTGCTTGTTGGCGGCAGATACACTGTTTTTTTAGTTGTATTAAAGACTGTAGTGGGCCGGGATTGTTGAGAATCGGATGTAGACTTTGAAAGAAGTGAAGTTGTTCCCTGTACTAAGGTGCTGCTGGACACTGGCAGGCTGGTGACTTTGATTGGAAGACTGCTAGTTGTTGTAATGTCTGAAGGGGCCACCGTAGAAATAGGTGAAGTCCCAGTGCTGCTTGGTGAAGTCGTTGACGTTGTTGGCTGGGTGGTAGATGGTGGAATAGCAAAAGACGGGCCAGAATTGGACGGGCTGTGAGAACTGGTGGTCGGTGCCATGGTTGGGAAGTAGTACCAGGACGAGGAATATAGGTAGGAAACAGGAGGATTCCCCGTCCCCACTCCAATTGCAGGAACTTCTCCGTTTTTTAAAGTCGATGTGCTTGAGGTAGCAGGCGCAGAGGTAGTAGTGTCCGCAGCCCTACTCGAGTAGGTGAGCATCGGGCATGGAACTATTGAAGCGGTACCGGTACTGCCAGCTTTTCGTAGATCCACACATATCGTAACAGGGACAGTCGAGCCAGCAACGGTCGGGGTAACTGTGAGAGTCATGACGGCTGAATTTTGTGTATGTGTCGAGTATAGGCCTCGATTAAAGAGCTCAGCTCGCCAAGGACGATGAATCGGACTGGAAGCAACATGAGACGATAGGACGAGAGATATTATGCCCAGGATAAAGCGTAGGTTGAGCATCTTGGAAGTCAGCCGTCAAAGGGGCCTGCAAAAAGAAGTAGCAAGTGATATAGAAAAAGGAATGGCAGAAGTAAGATCTATTGTAGATCCTTCTATTTGATTAAGCAAATCAAACGATAAGACTATAATGAACGAGGCGCTTTGTCCCAGACAAAGTCTTGAAGATGCTATCAAAATGAAAAGTGGCGAATATACAGGTACGAGAAATGATGAAGAGAGAAAGGATTTGCCGGGTTTAAGTATAAACACCCTAACCAGGCCAGCAAACGAAGAAGAAGGTATGTTCCATCGCGAAGCGCCTAGGTAAACAGCATCTCCTGGAAACATGTAGATATTTTCATTCCCCCTTAAAAACAAGGGGTTCTTGTCCTTGGGTATTGTCTGAGTCCAGGCTAGGGTGTAAATGCCGTCAGTATTACTGGCTGATATATATAGGTAGGCCTCCATCTGGCCTGGAGTTGCATGAAGTCGAGATGGTCGGCGGCAAATGGTTGGATGTCCGTTCTTGATATCGATTTTATCTTTAGCTTTTACGTTGCTTGCTGCGTCTCAAACATGGCGGGAAGCCAATGGTAGACGCGAGCTGATTGGCCGGAGCATGAAACAAACATAATATCACGTGATATTGTTTTGCTCTAACCGCCGGAGAGAAAGCGACAACAGCGACAATAGCGACAATAGCGACAGCTATGACGATAATGAAGTGGATGTGTGCGTTATTTTTCAGGAGGATGATCCATGTTGTGTCCGGTCTGAGATGCCTTATCTGTAGGGGTATGCTGTGCTCATGAGTGGAGTGTTTGATTATCTTTCTCCGACATGGCAAAGGGGGGAAGTTCTGCCATTTCAACTGTTGCCAAGTTGACGATCGGGTACCAAACGAAGCAGAAAATCCAAAGGGCTTGAGTTGATCCAACGTCCGTCAATCACGTACTAACCACGGAGGACATCCCGAGTTCCCTGAGGGGAAGTACTTAACCGAGGAAGAACGCCGGCAAAGGGAGTCTTAATACCCGTGATATGAACCAGGAAAACGAAGTAAAGAGGTCGGCCACAAAAAGCTGGTGGAGATGCCGTGTAACATTCGGACCATCGTGCATAATCGTGGAGATGAACAATATCTGGGGTATGTTATGAAAATATAAACCAGGATAACTTGTTAATTTTCAATTAGACGTTGAGAATTGTCAGTCGAAAGCCCCATTGGTTTATACACATCGTGCAAGGCAGCATTGCAGTCGGTTTTGCTCGGGCAGATATTCGAAATTAATTGCAAAGCTTGTCAAATGGCTAGATTTTTGATATATTCAGGGGATATACGAAGTTGAATTAGAGCATGTCAAAAAGTTCTGTAAAGTTGAATGGTGAAGAGAGCGGGCCTATACACAGACTTATATTATTAGTCCTGGATATTTACAATAGATGGAAGACTGTACGATGCAATCCATCTTCACTCCTCGTATTCACCGAAAAATAGAATAAAAAGTAAATAAGGAATATCCGAATATGAATATATTAATTGTAGGCATAGGCCATGGTACTAGGCCTCAACCTTGAAGGCGGGTCCAATGCCTTCGAAGGCAGTGATCTGCCCCGTAACAGGAGCCTTCGAGTCACCGTAGTAGTGGAGGCGGTAAGTCCCACTCTCCAGCTTCTTCTTGTTATCAATAGAGTAGTAGTCGTCTTCGATAGTCCATTCAAGGGTAACCTCGCTGGTTCCAATGATTGGACGCTTGCGCTCCCAGCGGTATACTAAGGTCCAGTCAAAATCATCTCGGACGACTTCCCATCTGTTGGTGTTAGGGACCTGGCGTTCTACAGCAGTATAGGTTTCCTCCAGTCTGAAGTTGTTGCGGGGGTTGGCGCCAACGAAAGTAGTCTTGACGGTGTCGCCAGGACGGAAGGTCTTGCCCATGTCCGGACCGCTGAGAACATCGCCGAACTTCTTGCCAATTGGGGGGTTGTCATGGACCACACCGGTAATGAAACTGAGGGACTTATCGGTGTTGATTGGTGGGTATGGGCCTGGGTCAGGGTGATTATTGGAGCTTGCAGAAAGGAATGGGAGGTAGGTAAGGGTAAGGTTGACATGAGCAGCAAGGGTATTCGGACCATGGAGTGTAGAGCCGCCTTCGTAACGCTGGATGCCATACTCTTCTTCTGTTGTGACATAGTGGGCATAAGTGTTTGATGGTGCCCCTAGAACGACGAGTGGGTTGCTCACGCCCAGGATCTCCTTTGCTTTGTTTGCAATAGCCTGCTTCCAACGACGTCCAGACATGGTGCTAACTTCGGGGGTGGCAACAATGATGAACAAGGGCCCAGCACGCAGGACTTGGATGTCAATGATGTTGGCGGCCCAGGCATAGGGGAACGTGAGATCACCAATATCAAGGAGGATTTTCTTGGGCTTCTGGCAGGCAACTTGTTCCTTGGAGGGGGGGTGTATGACATCTCTTGCAATGCGCCAAATGGGGTTCTTCGTGCTGGGCGAATCAGTGCCATTTTGGGTAAAGTCAAACCTTCCTGGTCCGTCAGTAGTACCTCCAGCGAAAGAGTGGCCCAAAGCTGCTGAGCAAGTAGTCAAAGTCTTTCGAGGGTTAAATGGTGATGGGAAAGTATATCCGTCAAAGTTTTGGTAGACATGGAAAGCCTTGACGGCAGAGTTATCTCTGATTCTCTTTGCAGAAGTGTCCATGTTCTCGTAAATTGCCTTAGCGGTGTTGTATTGACGACGTCCTATTTCGAAGCAACTCTTGGTTCCCTGATCGAGTTCACGGAAGAAGGGACCACGTCCGTGACACTTGGCGGTGCTGCCTCCGCAGGTACTGTCTTCCTATAAGAGAGTTAGCTATCAAAGTAAGAGTGTTGATAGTATATGCAAGATGATCGATCATACAAATTTGCAATCCAAGCCAGTATCTTCACAGAAGGGTCCTAAAGTGTTGGGAGACGTGTCTCCAACAGAAGATTGGGAGAATCCCGCAATGAATCCATCGGCAAATCGGTCATCACCCTTGGCAGCTCTTTCGAAAAGGTAGGCGGCGACACCTTTGTTGTCGCCAGAGACAAGTGTGTTGTTCGCGAAGAGAGAAGTTCCATGAACAGAGTAGAAGGTCAAGATACCAGTGGTCTTATCATCCGATGCACGGTCAAATCGTATAAGACTGAGGGTTTTGTCGGTATCATACTGATATCGCTTTCTCTCCTCCTCAGGGTTAGCCAAGTAAGAGTATGGGCTTCGGTTGATGTTGCCATCGACAAGGTCTTTGGTATCGAAGCTCAGCCGGGTTGGGGTCCTGGTCTCATGAGCTCTCTTGATTGAGAGAAGTATACCATCGACAACAGCTTTATAGGCGGCCTTGTCAAATCCAGCGCTGGGAATCTGGGGTAGTAGATAGTTGAGCCAGGCACCTGGTCCAGAATGGGAGTGGGTTCCAGACAGGGCGAGATTGTGAGATCCGTATCGAGAGTACTCTGGTCCCATGGCAGCAAGCCCCTTGAGAACACCATCTCTCACAGCTGTATCGCCAGCAGCGAGATCGGTAACGAGGTAAATAAAGGTATCATCTGGCTTGTTGGGGTTCTCGATGATAAAAGCACGAGAGTAAAGACGCTGGCGAAGACCAGTTCCCTTCTGCTCGGAATCAGCAAATCCCATAAACACGATCTCTACAACCGGCCTAGGGAGATAATTAGATTATGCCAGGAGAGATGCGCCCAAGAAATAATGAATTCACTATACCCGGTAACGTCGGCCTTTCCAATACCGACGTTGAAGATGTCATCCTCCGTGGCTGACTTATCAGCGCGGGTTGACTGAAGAGGCAGAGAACGACTGAATTGATTGGCCCGGCTGGTTCCATGGAAGTTGAAAGCGAGCTGGACCGCTAAGATGACGCCCAAAAGGACGCCAAATATACCGACCACAGTGCCCGTACGTGGTGGCATGGTTGGATTCCGTATGTTGTCCTGGAAGACCAAATTTCGAGACAAGGAAGAGAGAGAAATAGGGGGGGATTTAAAAGCAGTTCCCCTATGTTTCGAGGAGCGCCAGCTTTTTTTGCCACCAGGCAAAAAGCACGTTTGACTATCGCTTAAAACGCCAGGGCCTGGAGACAGCAACAAAAGTTGTTTGACTCCACGATTCAGGTCCCCTTTATATGGGTGGGGCCAAGTTGGTTCTCCAGTTGCAAAGTTTCTTTTTCCGACCCTTTTTTTTCAACTCTGCTTGTGAAAGGTTTGCGGGGGCCGATCTTAATCAACATAAAGGTGTGGGTCAAGACTGCCGTTTTCGTTTACTGTTGACGAACTCCGTGGCCGAACTGGAGATGGAAGAACGAGATATTGACTCTGGAGTCCCCGCAGTGTAGTTATTTAGCTTCAATCTAAGCAGCAGTTGCTCATGTACGGCCGGCGTGACTGTCCCAGCTCGACAGCGAGCTCCGATGCTTGTCGTGTCGGTCAGCACACCTGGTGATATCCAGATGCCTGCCAAGTTCGCTGCACGTCCTGTTATGCATGGATCGTCCTGCGCACAAAAGTTGGTTTCTCAGTATGACGGCGGAGAGAGAAGGTTGAGGTCGAAGCAGAGTTTAGTTTCACTCGAGGTCGGACCGACGGGAACACGTGAAAGCGAGGCCCAGCTTTTAAAGTTAATACGCTTAGGTAAGGTAGACATAGAAATTCACGTGACTACGATCAACAGAAATACGAGTTCGGAATAGTGGAACTTAGGTAATCGTCCTCAAACTGAGAGTTAGCCCATTGTCATGTGACCAAATGCGGCCGTGCCAAGACATCCGTAAGCGGAAAAGTTGAAGACAGCGATGAGAAGGAGAAGCGGACGATAGAAGGGAAGGGAAAAGGGACGAAAAGACAGGATGTCGTTGATCAATGAGACGCATGATTCGCTTCCATGTAAGTAGTACACTGGAACTGCGCACGGCAGACAGGAAAGCAGAGGGGACTCACCCGGTTTCTAGACATCGACGAGGACGTGACGCCTCAGGTGCGTGCAGAGCTCAGCAGGCTCATTGACGCCGAGCTCCCTGCAGACTACCGGTCGACTCTCCATCCATCTCTGCCAAAGCTCCCGCCGACCAAGTTTTCGCCTTTGATCGAGCAGGAGCTTGAGAGAAAAGCGAGAAACGAACCCATCTCCGGTGGAGTTGATCTGTCTCGATATGAAGCTCCAGAGATACCTCCTTCCTCCACAGACCCGAATGCCAACCCTGCCACCGTTATAGACGACTGGAAACAGACTCTGCGACGCGCATACGCCGCACATCTTCATCTGTCCACCAGAAAGGAGAACCTAGCTTTGCTAGAAGCCCATGGCAAGAACGCGTGGTTGATTGGCAACATGCAGCTAGAGGAGATCCTGCGACGCACTGAAAAGGAGCTGCACGATACCACTGAGGCCACAGAGGCAATTAATCGAGAGAGGAAGCTAAGGCAAGAGAGCGTCAGGGGAGAACTAGCGGCTCTGGAAGATACATGGAGACGGGGAGTGAGCGGAACTTTGAATGTTGAGATTGCAGCCGAGAAACTTAGGAGGGACATTCTAGACATGAGGCGGCAGCAAGCACAGTCGTAGAATGAGTGGTGTGTGCTTATCGAGCTACAACATAAGGGCAATGCTCGGGTACGGCCACACCGTACGAGAAGCCCCCTCAAAACCTGGCGTACAAGGTGCTGGGTTTTGGCGAACGCAGAAGTTGTGTCAGTCCCGTTCGTTAGGGGTATTCTCTGATAATGCCTGCCTGAACCTCTCAGGAAGGCCGAGTCAGGCCAAGTGTACAGGCGAGACTACAGTTATCGAGCCGACGTTAGCCATCAATCAGCCTGTCCACCATGAACAGGCCCTGTCAGATATTTGGACTGTACTAGTATAAGCAGGCTAGGAACTAGAACCAGGGACATACACGACACAACATCAACATTCGGTAATAGAGATTAGCCGTTTGAACACTCTATTTCATGCCATTATATGATCGCAGCTCTTTGTCTTTTCTTCTTCTCAACGGCCAGCCAGGGCTAAGGTTTCAGTGATGTATACCCCGTACTGGAACATCCAGACAGGCCTCTCAGTTTTCGTGTCATTCGGCCTCGTAGCCCTTTATAAGAATCTACCTACTGCTTCGCTACCAAAGCGCGCCTGTCGTCGCTTGTGCCAGTTTTAGCTTCCAACGGCGCACGCACGTTCCAGCCCCCCACAGCAACCGTTTGCTATAAAAAGCTTCGCTCTATAAAAGCCAGCTATAGAGGCGTTAGGATAGCTGGAATAAGGAAGCCCTGAGAGTGTTATAGCTGCCTTTGACTACTTTGCTGACTCAACTATAGGTAACCATTAGCCACATAGCCGGACGGCCGGCAATAGAGAAACTGGGTGTGATGGATAATAGGGTTAGGGCTGAGGCAAGGCGTGGCAACGGGTGTGATGAAGGAACTCCCGAGGGAGTGTAATAATAACAATGATTATTGTACGGAGTAGAAAGCCATAATGAAGATCACTGGCATTTTTTTCTTTCTTTCTAGTGAGCTGGACTTTTTAGCTATGTTTATCAGCGGATGGATGACTTTGAGTCGGTGTGGGGGATGGTGAATATTTGGCGCCTAATCGCAGCTGGATTTCCCAGCATGTTATTTATGTACGGAGTAAAGGCGATACAACCATGAAAAGGAGCGCCAAAGGTAGCAAGATGAGTGATCAGTATTCAATCTTTGCCTGCTGCGAAGAGACGCTTTATGCATCCTTCTTGCTGCTGCCGTGACATGACCCGGAGTGCTTCTGCATTGATCAACCCAGCCAACCAGCCAACCAGAAATACAAAAACGACTCCCTGCATGACTGCTGGATCTCTTCTCTTCTCCTTGCTGCCGATAGGGGTGCTGGTGGGTAACTAACTAGTTATCGGTGAACGCTTTGCTTGATCGTCTCTCATGGATTCCATTTCCTCTGTATTCAGCTGGTGCCTCGACGCAGCAGACTGCTCTCCAAACCATCATGATATTCGAGACCGAACACTCGCTCCCACTCCAGCGAAACAGACAGTGAAGACCGAGCAACGACCAAAGAGGTATGCAGCTGCTGCGACCTGGGAGGTTTCGGATTTTTATACTCCGTTCAAGTGACTTGCAGTCCCACCATGTGGCGGTTGACGCATGCCCGGCTGCTTCGTGTGCACATACATAACACTCCGTAAATAGCACGGCGTAACTCTGGACACAGCCAGCCCGGCAAAGTCGATCTGAGACACCCTTCCCCCCTCAGCCTACAGCTTGAAGGGAAGAAAAAAAAAACAATTCAGCTTTCTCTTTTGCCTGGGACATCGACGACTTCTGCCGTCCATCGCTCTCGCTTCTCTTCCCATTGTATTTTTCCTATTTCTCTCTGCGTGTCCCTCGTTTCTTTCACTTTATATATTGAAGGATCTCACGGGAAGAAGCTCCTTTGTTGGGAGTGTTTCATCGAGAAACCTCTTCAAAATCACCCTGGAATCCCTCCTGCTGCCCGGTACGGTCTAATTTTTTGCCCTTTTATTACATTCTGGCCATGCTGGTTTATGATAATTGTTGGTAAAAAAAAAAAAAAAAATAAGATGTCGGTGCCGGTGTCGATGGAGGTCGGCCGTTTTGCATCGAAGTCTGCGTCCATGACGTACCTCCTGCTCGTACTGCTTGTTGGATTTATACTACCGCACCAAGGCCAACATGCTCACGCGAGGGCTCTAACACAGCGAGACAATAGCCCTACAGATATATGCAAGCGGTGGTCTCAGCAGACAGCTACTGTCAATGGGACCCTTTACATATATGGCGGCCGATCGACGACTGATGCCAGCCAGAAGGATAACACTTGGAGTATGAATATCCATCCTTTCCCCGGCTTCGAGATACCCAAGACTAACTCAACCAACTTGCTAGATAACAACTTCCTCACTCTGGACCTAAAGTCAAGTTGGGGAATCTCGGCCCCAAAGCTGACCGGACTTCCTCGAGGAGATAACGGCCCGCCTCCAGTCTCGAACGGATACCTATGGAACTCTTTTAGTTCGCTCTTCCTATACGGAGGAGAATTTTCGGACAACCCTGCAACTGATCCCGTTGATTTTAGTCTATGGGAGTATAACATTCCTTCATCGTCTTGGATAGAACACAAGTCACCAAAAACTTCGTCTGGAGAAAATTCCGCTGAAGCAAATATCCCGGTGCAACGATCCGCTGAGGGAGCCGGTATAAACGTTCCGGATCTAGGCAGAGGCTGGTATTTTGGAGGTCATCTAGACGGATATACCACCAAGGGCTGGTCACAGTCGATCCCTAGAGTGTATCTCAAGTCGATGATTGAATATACCTTTCCGGGATACACCAACAACGGAGTCAAAATAAACACAGATGATAAGCGCGCTGGGCCAGACGGTGTCTGGCGAAACATCACTGAAGGAGGACTACAGGACTCTGCAGGGTTTACCGAACGAGCTGATGGAGTATTGGTATATATACCTGGTTTTGGTAAGGAAGGCATCATTCTTGGTCTTGCTGGTGGTACAAATGCTACTTTCGTAGGTGACCCAATAATCTCTCTCTCTCTCTCTTTTGCCCTTTCCATATGCGGTGATGCAGCTAGATAGCTAACCTATTCGCCTAGACTCAGATGAACGTTATTGATGTGTTTGACATCGCAAGCTCAAAATGGTATAAGCAAGCTACTAGTGGGAAGACCCCGAAGATCAGGGTAAACCCATGCGCCGTCGCTGCGTCCGCGGCCGATGGAAGCAGTACACAGGTTTACCTTTTTGGTGGACAAAACCTGATACCCTATGGAGAACAGATTCAGTATAATGATATGTGGATTTTATCGATCCCAAGTTTCACATGGATAGAAGCTAAGACGGATGGACAGTCTGTCCCTCCAGCCAGAGCTGGACATACATGCAACATCTGGAACTCCCAAATTGTGGTGACGGGAGGCTACGTGGGACAAGACCTGAGCTGTGATAGCCCAGGTATATACGTATTTGATGCGTCGGAATTGACGTGGAAAACCCAATATACTGCGCTCGAAGGCGGAAATGATTTGAATCAACAGGCCTCACAGACTAGAGATAGTAGTGGTCTTGGAGGTAGCTACGGATACCGGGTCCCGAAAGTCGTCCAATCTGTGATAGGAGGCGATGATACTGGAAAGGCAACCCAAACGGTCCCTGCTGTGGCACCAACGGATGGACCCTTAGCCACCGGCCAGCCTGTTACATACACTGTCCTTCCAACTGCCACCGGCCAGCATGCAGGCTCACCAGGCGGCAGCAGAGACGGCCCCAACATCGCAGCAATAGTCGCGGGCGTCATTGCTGGATGTCTTGGTGTTCTGGCCATATATCTTGGCTTCGTCACCTGGTTGTACCGCCGGCGTCTAGCAATCTATAAGAGCCATCTTGCAGCCACGCAACGTTCTTCAATTGGGAGTTACGGAGATAAAATATCGTCATTTCCACCACGATACTCGGACCATATGAGTAGCAGTGGATTAGGGACAACCGGCTCAACGGGTAATTTAACGGTAACTACAGCACGCATGTCATGGATAGGCGGAGACAACCAGCGACACAACCACACCAGAAGCAGCAGTGGTGGGAATTTTGATCATTTAGGCCAGCCCGGAAGACCGTCTACCAGTAGTAGCGTGGAGGACCTGCTGGCTGGACAGGAACCAACTTTCCTAGGCGTCATGTTAAATCCACGACAGACCCTGAGGGTTATCAATCAGTGATGTTTCCCTCGAATGTTCCTCTCTTTATTTATTTTCCCTGTTGACACTAGGTCTTTGACCCAGAAATCCATGCATCTTATGGGGAGAATGTACGATCGCCAGATCAGAATGATAATGTATGACATTTGCCAAGCATGTTTCGTTCCATCGTTACTTGATACCCTATAATCTACCGTATTTTTTCTGCCAGATGCTATCCCTGCTTATGATTTTTTTTTTGTGTGTTCTTGTACTTGTGTCAACTTCGCCTGTAGATATCAACTCGTTCAAGGGGGTAAATGGGAACGTTCCACGCTATTAGCTACCACAGCATAATAATATATGCATATCCATGGTTCTGGATGGGAATATGTAAGACTCATTATGCTACTTCCGCAGCCAAGTTCTAGACTATTCAATCATCATATACTCGTTCAACTCGCTGCATGTCTCGTAGGATCCTTTCATATTCGCCGATTCGAACGGGTCCAGCCGGTAGAATCGTCACTGCTTGGACATACACGGGTCGATCAGTCGATATACGGTCGCCTTTCTCGCTGTTTCTGTAAGTACTTTCCCTCTCTTTTCTTCGATAGTCATCAGAATTCTCCTCGCGTATATAACCAAAAATATTAAGCCAGGCGCCTATTTGAATGCTTGTGTGATCGGTATCTTCGAGTAGAAGATTAATGTCAACTTCTACATGGGAAACTTGAGATTCTAGCCCATGCACATTATAGTTATGATGGAGTGTCAGGCGACCAGTGGCAGTGTTGTATTTCGAGACACTGCGCGTGTGATGTTAATATCATTGGTGCTGAAGTAGAACCAGAGCAAGAGCGACATACCATCCTAGGAATCGGACCTTGAAATTCACAGGATACGTTGGAACCTGCGAGAGAAATACCAGTTTCGTCGGAGCAGGACCCGGTACAGCCTGGTCCATCCCAAGTGTAATCTGCTTCACTCTGCAGGGGTGTTCATATCCATCTTCTTTCTGATGTTGAAGTTACCCAAAATATAAACGGGACACCGTTATCGATAAATTTAATGACTAAGATATTATTCATGTGACTTATCACGTGATGCCTGTATCGAGCCAGGCGGTGCTTGGTTGGATATCATAAAAGTTGACGCCGAAAAGCGATAAAGAAGAATCTCACTGCCTAACGACAATACCAAAACCGCCCTTGAGACCAGTCGGAGGCTTGTTTGTTTCACCCATCTTACGGCTATTCTTGCTGGCCCTTTGGAATTTTGACCATATATCGCCTCATCTTCCTCCCCTCTTCGCTCCCCTAACAGCTGTCCACCCCGCACACGCCGCCTACATTCTGTCTCATCATCTCCTGGGTGCTAAGTCAACATCGGCGTTTATTTCACGGATACTCTATTGGGGAGTGAAGCGTATACTGCAGTTTTGAAGTTGCTGGTTGTTTGGAATCTTTGGTGCCGTGCTTAACGACTAGGCATCTTTGATATCCCGCCTCATCACATTCAGACCTTCTCGAAGTTTAACGCATCCACATACATCCACGGGGCAAAATGTGGTCCTTCTTTGGCGGTGCTTCGGCACAGAAGAAGAAAGATATCCCTAAAAATGCCATCCTCTCTCTTAGGGAGCAGCTTGAAATGCTGCAAAAGCGAGAAAGGCATTTGCAAAATCAGATGGATGAACAAGATGCTATAGCAAGGAAGAATGTAACGACGAATAAGAATGGTCAGGATTCTTACTCTCTTTCTCCATTATCTCTTAACTCATTCCAAGTTATATATCTGACTGTTGGGAAATTATAGCTGCCAAAACTGCTTTGAGGCGAAAGAAGCTCCACGAACGATCGCTTGAGCAAACGAGTGCTCAGATCCTACAGCTTGAACAGCACATATATTCCATCGAGTCCGCAAATATCAATCAAGAGACGTTTAATGCAATGAAGAATGCTAAGGCTGCCATGGAACAAATACACAAAGGTCTCAACATAGAAGTCGTTGATCAGACAATGTACGCATCATATTTCATCACTCTTACCAATATACCGCGCTTTATGGCTTGGTTTTACACGGGATAATTATTTCTAACGGCATCTCTTTACTTGACAGGGGTGAACTGCAAGAGCAACACGCTCTCAGCGACGAGATTGTCAACGCCATTACCAACGCTCCTATCGGCGAACCTATTGATGAGACTGACCTTGAAAATGAACTGGAGGGCATGGAACAGGAGCAGATTGACAACAAGATGATAGGAACTGGAACAGTACCAGTTGGAGACAGAATTGATAGGCTACCTTCTGTAGCAAACGGAGCCAGTAAGTCACAATATGCCTTCATTCAACGGATTAACCACCTGCTAACAACTTTTTAGTCAAAGAGAAGCCCAAGGCTAAGGAGGAAGATGACGAAGAGGCCGAATTAGAGAAATTAAGAGCCGAGATGGCTATGTGAGCGTTCAATTAACTTCAAGTAATATATGGGAATGAAGCACGAAGGAACTAGGAAAGTAAGCATCTACTACCTACCTTTTACGGGAACTGGCGTCTGGAAGGAAGGGAATAGCTTTACTATTTATATTTGTTTTATAGCATTTTTTTCACTATATTTTCCTCTCTCCAGTACCCTTTCTTATTATAAGTCTCCTGTGTTTTCTTCTGAATAAGCAGACGGTATACCCCTTGCATAACCGGGTTGCTCTTCTGCTTTCTCTCTTTCACCTGCATAACTAGTGTATATCTGCCCTCAACATTTTGCATGCACGCTCCATAATTTATCAAACCGCACTGCCGACACTGTGTTTAGCCTTGCCAGGACAATCCCAACAAACCGCAATTCTGATATCTATTTTACTATCCAACAAAAAAGCGAACACCTACTTCTTTTCACAATTGTAAGGCTCAAGAAATGTTCTATGTTAGAATATATAGGGAGTTACTGGCGACAACACCGCCATGACATGACGAACCATAACATTTTCTTCTCAACCTCCCACCTCGCAATGCAACGCACGAGCTCGGGATACCCATGATATCAAAATGCAAAACGAATACAAACATCTAGAATGCACAAATGATAAGCCACCATGCCATTACCACGCCGTGCTACGCAACAAGACGGTTCAACGGCGCATAAACCACCGGACCGACCAAGAAGAAAAGAGTCAGCGTAAGGTCTCCAAAATGAGGAAGAATCAAAACACCCAGAGGAAACATGATATGATATTTCTTTTAGTCAAGGAAAAGCGTTTCGCATCATTCGTATATCTTGCACAGAGTCGTGCGGATGGGTCAGGGTATAAACAGATAAGAGGTGGGGTTGGTTGGTATAGCAGATAATGATGTATAGGAAAAGACACAGTTCAAGGAATATATTAGATTCAGCCATAAAACACCCAAAGAATCCATTAGCTTCCTCCCTCAATGAAAATCCAAGGTCTTTCAAGGTTCATTATCGGTGAGTATTCAATGATCTTGCCCGAGACTACCAATTATACCTCTCAGGGCATCAATAATAACAGTTTCATCCTTCGTTTCACCGCCTGGGAACGAGCTTTCCTTTGCATTATGTAGAACCCTATCGCGCGCACTCCGTAGGACGTTGCGGATGTAATCTTTATCCTCATAGTCCTCTATAAGAACTGCTTCGAAATTGTCAATTGCTTTGTTGGCTCGAGCTAGAAAAGCGGGGTCCATGCCGCCTGGTTTCTGTACTGGGGTCTGGGCAGGAGTAGGGACTGGAGCTGGCACGGAGGCATTTGGCTGAGTGGGAGCTGGAGCCGTTGTGGGTGGTAGATGACTGGGCTGAGATGCTGGGGCTGAAGTAACAGGGGTATTATGCAGCGGCGGAGGCGGTGGTGCCTGAGCATGCTGTGGCGGCGGTGGTGGTGGAGGCTGAGGCTGTTGTGGAGGACGATGGGGTTGGCCATGATTAGGGGGGAGTATTTGGTTGTGAAACCTATACTGGTTTGGAGGAGGTTGCTGTTGCTGTGGAGGGGGTTGAGGATGGTGTGGTTGCTGTATTTGCGGCGGCGGCGGCGGCCTAGGCTGGTGCTGTTGATGATGAATAGGCGGATGAGTTGGGGGTGGTGGATGCGGTTGTATTGGCTGCTGATGAGTTGGCCGTTGCTGTGGCGGAGCAAATGATGGAGAAGCAAGGATATAAGGAGAGCGATATGGAGTAAGATTCACGACAGAAAGAGCTGGGGGAAGACTCTTGAGTAATTGTGAAGGTAGACTAGGGGCGGGAGGATGTGCTGGGGGGGCTGCTGTAGCTGCTGGAGGCGGAGGCGGAGGCGGTAGCGGAGGAGGTTTAGCCGCGGCCACAGGCTGGGAGGGTTGTGGAGCGGACGGCGCTTGTAAGGGAGCCTGTTGTTGTTGCTGCTGTTGGTGTGGTGGGAACTGGGCATTTGGCGGAGGTTGTTGGTATGGGGGAAATTGGCGACGGTTGTTGTTGAATTGGCCTGGAGGAGCATTATAAGGGGCTCCAGGTGTGTTTGGTGGAAGGAAGCGTTGCTGACTGTTGCTAGATACGTCTTGGACTGGCGGGGGCGACGGACGACGTTTCTTCTCCTTGTCCACCGAGGCGCCGGGTATTAATTTCCATGACCATCCCTTGCCGTCCCGTTCCGCATGCATGAACAAATGCGTGTTACCATTGAGGTTGTGTCGTACACTTGACGTCCAGCCCTCGGTCTCACACTTGAAGCGGAAATAGGGGTATTTGAGCTTGAGTGCACGGTATATCTGTTTTAGTGTCATGGGAGTAGGAGATTCTGATAATGCGTCGAAGATGAGAACGGCATAGTTATACGGTGGTTTGGCGAGTTCCTTGGGGGTGTAGAAGCTCTCTGGCGGATAGTCAGGAGATGGTGACTTGGAGGGTTTTCGTTTCTTTGGTGCAGGAGGACGAATGGGTTCTGTGTGCTGTTGTATTTCCATGTTGGCTGCTATACCAGCGCCGCCTCCTTCGATGGACTGCATTACTGTTTCGCCAGGGGTAGAATCGGGCTTCTTCCTCTTGGTATACTTTCGTTTCTCTACCTTAACAGGAATCGTAGATGGGTCCTCGGGGCTAATTGCAGAAGGACCAGCGGCAGGAGCGGTAGCAGAAGCAGAGGCAGGTTCTTTGGCGGCTTTGGCAGGCTTCTTACCGGCCACTGTAGCGGCTGGCGAAGGGGAAATAGCTGTGGCAGCTGCCGCGCCATTAGCTTCACGTTTAGCGGCCAGTTTCTGCTCGCGTGCAATCTCTGCTCTTTCACGTTTGGACATGATCCCGTCCTTGGGTGGTCTGCCGGGTCCGCGGCGTTTAGCCTGACCAGGTTCTGCGACAGTTGCTTTGGGGTCAGGTCGTTGTTGTTGTTGGGTCTTTCCTTTCGCCTTAACCGGTTCATCAGCCTCGCTTCGCTCCGATTCTTTCTCTACAGTAGGTCGTTCGACAGATGCTTCAGGCTCTTCGTTCTCAGGTTGGTCAGGTAAGCCCTGGCCCATCTCCGGAGGTGAAGAAGGCGCGGCATTTGCACCGGTGTCTCCAATAGGCACGTCTGGTAGCAGAAATCGGACTCGGACACCACCTATCTGTATGAAATCCCCGCTATGAAGAGGTCTGACTTGGCCAGGGGCCAGCCAATCGGCACCCATAAAAGCACCGTTGCGACCAATGACTTCCATCTCGAAGACATTTTTATGGAAGTTGTATGCGATTTTGACGTGTTTCCTTGAAATTGCCCTATGCGAAGAACCACCATGGGCAGGCATGGGTGGGTGTATGGGGATGGTCGGACATGCCTCTGGCGAAGGAAGTAATGAAAGAGTATCGACTCTCTTGGGTTCATGGTGACCTCTCTGCAGCGACTGCATAGCTAAAGCATTGTAGTCGGTCATCTCCCGCGGTTCAGAGTTTGCCTGAGATTCTCCCTGAGATATATGCAGTAACGGCCTGGCAACCTGATCGGCCGAAGAATTAGATGATTTCCAGCTCATCTGTGGCGGGCCATTCTGGGGAATGTCAGGGTCAAAGCCCATGATTCCGCCCTTGTCGCTGATGACACTTCCCATGTACGCACTGCCTTCCCTTTTGACTCTGCTGGGCGTGCGGGTCTTGTGTCCACTAGAACTATGGGCCTTGTTGTTCTGTTTGGCCTGATACTCTCTCTGAAAAGCGGCGCGAGCAGCTCGGACATCACGTCCCAGGATGAAAGAATAGGTATTAACATAGAAATGACCATCGTCAAACTCGAGTTTCGCAAATGCCTGAATCCTGGGCTCCGATCCAGCAACTGATTCAGAGCCCTCGCGGCCCTTGACGTCTGTTGAATTGGAAAAATCCGGGTATCCTACAATGCGTGGAGTTGGTCCACCTCCGTTCATGGTCGGCGAGTCATCATAGTATGCGGCACCGCTGGTAAGCAGTGCGTTATGATCAATTGCATCTCGAGGATTTACAGGCGTGGTCGCCAGGGCAGTGAAATCCGAGAAGTTGTGAGCGTTGAGATCTGAGACCTTGAGGTCGACATTGTCCAGTGATCCGAGCATCGACGGGTCGGTCTGCAAGTCCATCGCTGGTAGCGCATCGGCCGCAGATAGGTCCCCCATCTTAGGCAGTCCGTGGAAGTCGTTCACTGCGCTCGCATCGGTGGCGTTGGCTGGTTGTGTCGCGGCAATTTCAAGCTTCTGGTGCTGTTCTGGCTGCTTCTGCTCACTTGAGTTCGACCAGGCGTTGCTGTCACTGTTGGCCACAGCAGCTGGATGGTCGGGAGAAGTATTATTACTATTATTATCTGTGGCTGTCGTAGTAGTAGTAGCAGTAATATCTGTGACTGAAGTGTCTGTATTCGGTGCAGCGGCAGCGGCGGTGGTCTGACTGGAGAGAAGCTGTGCTAGCAGAGTAGATGCGGCGGCCTGCTTCTGGGATTCCGACTGGGGGGAACGCTGCCGGTCTGCACGGTAGAGTTGAACGGTCAGTAAAGAAATAACGTCAGAGCCCAAGGACTTCGCTGAACTCAAGCTGCTAGTCGAACGTACCGGGAGCATCGTCAGACGAGAGTTTACTCTCACTAGTATTCGCCGCCGGTGGCAGCGTCGCAGCGCTGGCTTCCTCTGCGGCGGTAGATGCGGGCGTGGGCGTCTTCTGGCGCTGGGATTGCTCGCGGTGCTGCTGGTGACGGTCATCGAGCCGGTCAAAGCGAGACCTCTCTGGCACGGCGTCGGGAGGCGGAGGCCCCATGAGCGACGCCGCGACGGCCTGGGACGAAGACATGGTCATCACCGTCGAGAGCGCATCCCTCTGGCTTGCTCGGCCTCGTCGTGTGCGTGCGTGCTGGTCGTTGCTGCGTCGAATGCTGCGGGCGCCCGTCGTCGTCGTCGTCGTCGTCGTCGTCGTCTTAAGGTCAATGGCCTCGAGTCTGCCAACTCCTTAACGATAAAAAAAAATGCCGAGCGCGGATTTGCATGGGCCCGCCTTTTGCCTGTTTGGGTTAGCGCGGGCCTTATCCAGACTTCCTTTTTTGCTTTTATGGCTTTTATTCTTATATTGTTTTTCATCTTATTCTCTATGTAGGATGATCGAGGATTTGACGGATGTGAGGAGGAAGACGAGGTTAAGGGACGTGTAGAAGAGGACGCAAAGGCAGGAAGCAAGCCCGCCGTGGCTGTGAGTGGCTGGCCAGCAGCTGCCATATCAATACGAGGCTTCTACTTAGTTTAAGCGATACCCCAAGGGAAGAAGCAGAGAAGAAGAAGAGAACAAGAGAAGCGAGACAAGATGCCCAAAAAACCAGCCAAAGAGACGGCCAAATTGACGTCTAAAGTGGCAGCCAGGTCAAGGGAAGAGACCCCTGCGCAAAAGACCCCTAACTGGCCGGCGTTACGTCCTTTGCCGCCAACGTCCGACCTCTGCTTAACCCCCATCCTGCCCTCTCAGATCTACATCATACGCAACCTCTTCTCCTCTGCGCTGTGCAAGACATACATCTCCTTCCTGGCCAATCTACCTCTGATCACTACTCCCGGCCGGCCAAAGAAGAACGAGGCACTGCGCGTCAACGACCGGTTTCAAGTGGACGACGCTTCCTTTGCCGAGCTCCTGTGGTCAGGCACGGGGTTGAAGGAGTTGATTTGTAGCAGTGCCAGCCAAAGCGAGAGTGAGGATGACGGTGAGAAAGTAGACTGGGACGGGGAGGTGTTGGGTTTGAATCCGAACATTCGCATATATCGGTATACCAAGGGCCAGTTCTTTAGACAGCATTGTAAGTTTTTCTATTGACTCTTTTCATTGTGTATGGATAAAGTCCATTGACTGGTGGTTATATGTAGATGATGAGTCGGTGCAGGTAATGCATGGAACGCCACCGGTCAAGGGACGGACAAGCTGGACGCTGCTGATATACCTGAGTACCTGCTCAGGCGGTGAGACGGCTTTCTACCCTGAGCTGGGACTAGGAAGTAAGAAAGGTAAAGCACAGTGCCAGCCTGAGCCAGTCGTTGTGGGAATGGAGACTGGTATGGCGCTGCTGCACCGGCATGGAGATGAGTGTCTGTTGCACGAAGGACGGGAAGTGACAGGAGGGGAGAAATGGGTTATTCGCAGTGATCTTGTAGTTAGACGGTGACTATATACTTACTTAACCGTTATATACTCCATCATGCGTTGATATGAGTATGGAGTCATCTACTGGTATATGTACATTGGGGAATTGCTATAATTTTAATTGGTATATCAGCCTCATTAGTGAGTCGGTCTGTGATAGATTCATCTACCAACTTCTCTGGTCTTGCGGTAGCTGACTTGCTTGACCATTTGATGATAGTTTTGAGCCATTGGTATGCCACTAATACGGGTTCTTAGCAGATATCTTCTTAGCTTCATATTCTGTTCAAAAGAATGATTTATTTGAATAAAATTTTATAACAGGTCTACCATTTTCTGTTCTTCTTCCTATAATCCAGCCTAGTAACGAGCGGGTAACGTTGTTCTATAAGTTTTATCTTCAGATTTCAGTAACTACAATTAGAATGCTACCATAGATCATATTGAAAGAAGCGGCCATCTTCAAACACAACCTAAATTCAATAATTCACCATATGACAGTGACGACCGCCCGACCTATCAAAAGATGGCAAGGGCAGTACTTAGTAAGGAAATATCGTGTTATCAGCCAATGACACAGCTTCGTTCCTGAAGAACCGTCTTATATAATCAGAGAACCGTCTTTTCCGTGATTCTAATTGGTTAACTTAGCCCACCACCTTTATCTTTTAAGAGCGAATGACGAAACGAGACTTTGTACTAGCATTTAACATTAATTCATCCAAAGAGAAGAAGAAGAAGAAGAAGAAGAAGAAGAAGAAGCATCTTTTAAATGCCAGCAAGACAAGACACAAAACCACCACATGATGAGAAGACGAGTATACTAAAAGCATTCCAGGTGAACTAGAAGGTGATGGGATATGTTAGGAGTTAAAAAAACACCACGTACGTTAACTACTAGGTGCCCTTTTGCTCTTTACCGGCCTCTGAGTCCGTGGCACTGGCTGTGCCATAGTCTTCTCTCCGCATGATCTCCTCCACAGGCCCAAGCAGACGCTTGAAGCCATCCCTGCCGAGCTTCGCAACCTTAACCTCCGTCTTGGAGACCACGGTGGCCTGTCTAGGCTTATCATCCAGCAACGCCAACTCACCAAAGTAGTCACCGCGCTTGTACTCTTTGACTGGACCCTCGATGCCGGCCTTGTACGCCACCGCCTCGCCAGACTCGAGCAGATAGAATGACTCCCCTGGCTCACCCTCGGCGATGATGGTGGCTCCACCGGGATGCTTGACGGTGTCCAGCGCATCGGCTATCTTGGAGCGCTCATATGGCTTGAGAGACGACAGCAATGGCACTTCTTCCAGGAAGGCCTCGTACATGCGTCGACGCTGGAAGGCACTGTCCATTAGAATGCGTCTAAAGGTGATCCGGTCCAGGGCCCAGAGGGTAGACGGTTCGGTTGAGATGACTGTAGCTGCACGCGGGGCGTTGTACATCAGAGCCAGCTCGCCGAATGCACCTCCCGGCCCGATAGAGGCGACTTTTGCGCCTAGACCGGCAAGACCACCTGGCTGAGCGGTGCCGGAAGGGTGGATGTGGATGTCAAAATGGCCCGATTCGACAATGTAGAAGAAGTCGCCTGCGTCTCCCTGGGTGATGACCTTGATGTCCTTGGCCGGCACGGGCTTCTCGACCAGGGCGTCCAGCACGGTCTTGAACTGGTCGTCGTCCAGGTGGGAGAAGAGGAAGTTGGATGAGACCGCGGCCTGCAGACGGGACAGCTGGGCGGGACTCTTGGGGTGGTGAGGAGGGGTCCAGCTGTCTGTTCCCGAAGTCGTTGGGTTCAGGGACTCGGCGGAGACTGAGGTGCGGCGGCCGAGGGAGTAGTTGTTTGGGAATCCGCTGGATGCTTCCTGGTGCTGGCCGGCAGCGTTGCCAAAGGGACTGGCCCCGAACATGTTGCTAGCGGACAATGCCGAGCTGCTGGTATTGGTGGTATTGGCGTGGCCACTGGTGCTGTATGTGCTTCTGGGGACCTCTCTGCTGCCGGCATCTGGCCTGACAGGGTCTGTGGGCGAGGTGACGTTCTCTTCCTCCTCGTCGATGCGGTTGACACTGCTGGCGCCACCGTTGGCACTGAACGGGTTGGAGACGAAGTGCGATTGAGACATCGGTCTCGTCTCGACTTGTCTTTCTGCGTGTCGGTCTGTTGTCTCCGGCAGTCGAGTCGGTGCCGGGCCTGGTGCTGGTGCTGATGCCGATGCTCGAGCACGCTTTCCTTGTTGTCCTTGATGGCTGGTGATGACGGCGATGCTTCTTCTGATGGCGATGTCTCTTTTGTGGCTTGCTAACTAGTTAAAACTAACTCAGGCAGATGTCGACTGGAAAACCCGCCACAGCCAGGGAAACCAGAGCGAAGACGGTAACGCGTGGCCACCCCCTCTCCCCCTTCTCCTACCCTATCTATCCCATCTCTCTCTCTCTCTCTCTCTGTGTGTCTGCTGGAGTCTGTATGCTGTATGCTGGCGTCTCTGGATCCGGCGTGCTGTCTGGCCTGGTGTCTGGGGGAGGATGGAGGCAGCCTGCGGTCTGGCGTGGGGTTGGGCGGGATGAAGACGAGCTAGCGCACGATGCAGCAGAAGAAACTTGGACAGTGAAACCAGGCAGTTATCGCAGTTTATTTCGCAGTGATCAGGACGGCAGAGACGGTGCAAGCGGCAGAGGATGAGCAGGAGAGGCAGAAGATGGAGGGTCTGAAGCCGCTAGATGTAGGCGAGAGGCAGGCGATGACGTCGAGACGAGCCCGAAAGACAGCAAAAGACAGACACAGGCGCAAGAACCAAGGGTCGCCGTCGCTCGTTCTCTGCCGCTTCTCTTCTTCTTCTAGAACGTCACCAGAAAAGCTACCCGGGAAGTCGAGGCTTCGCCGGTGACTTTGGCGCCGGTAGCGAATACTCCGACGCCCGCAGGGGCTGCCGCAGAGGCTGAGGTAGCGCTACGGGCCTTGCAGGTATCGCCACACGTGAGATCTCTCGCTTCCATCGGACGAGGCAGCTCTGGGTGGACGAAGCTCGGGTCTCCGTCTCGCGGCCGTCTGCCTCTGCCTCGTGCTATAGTTACAGAGTGCGGTTGCAGAGCTGCTAATTGACTATACTGACAGCTTCTCTCCTTTGCAGTTATACCTGCAGCGTCTCTGTCTGCGAGTCGCTGTCGCCGCCGACTTCCATCCAATAAACAGCGTCCGATAGCGCTTGCTTGCTTGCTTGCTTCTTCTTCACCAGCCATTTCTCTGTTCTTCTGTTGCTCTGCTTCACCTCAGCTTCCAGTCCGTCTGCTTCACCATCCCAGCGTCGTCTTCCTGTCTGACTCTCATTCTCCGGAGGCCTGCTCGCTTACAGCTGCGACGTGCCAATTGATATCGACCAGAAGATGGGATTCTACACCTTCAGATGGTAAGTCCGGAATGCAACCTCCACCTCGCTCTCAAGGTACCATGGTTCCTACCAGACGAAGGGAAATGAAGACGCCAGAAAGAAGCAAAGAAGGGCAGCCCAGGAAGAAGAAAAAAACATCGTCCCATTATTATTATTATTACTATTATTATTGTTTGTTGTTGACCTTTGGGCATCTTCGATCTATCGATTCTGCCCCTCCTGTTCAACCTGATAGCTCCCTGTCCCCTTCACCCTTAAAATAAAAAGCACTAGCTAATAGCTTCTTCTGCTCAGGCCCCGACAGGCGCAGGAAGTCATCGTCACCGGCAGCTTTGACGACTGGGCGAGGAGCATCAGGCTCGAAAGGACGGACGCCGGCTTTGAAAAGGAAGTCCTCCTCCCTGAGACCGACGAGAGGATCCTCTACAAGGTGCGTGGCCTCCTTATTTCCCACTCTATTATTCTCTCTCCTGTCTCTCATCTCTGCCTCTTCCACTCTTTTCCTCTAGCTTCTTTTTACTCGTTTTGGTCCCTCCTGGTCCCTCCTGGTCCCTCTTCTTGGTGGCTGGGTACGCGGTTACCTCCCAGTACCTGTGCTGCCTGATGTTTTGGCGGGCGGGCGGATGTACCTGAAAGGTCGACTTTTCGCCCCTACGTCATAACCACCACTCACGCAACTAGCGCCGGACGACCATTTTCCCTCCTTAATCACAACATAAAACATAAACACCCCCACCAGCTCGACGAACTTCTCACATCCCACTGTCCTTTTCACTCTTTTCCTCACTTCTTCATATAAACATTATACTGACGCTCTGCTCTGCAAGTTCATCGTTGACGGACACTGGCGTACTGACCCTGCTGCGCTGCAAGAAGAGACAGACGAACACAACAACATCAACAGCGTTTTACTTCCAAGGCACATCTCGCCAACTTCTTCCGCAAACATGGCAAACGGCAACAACAAAAAGAACAACAACAACAACAACAACAACAATAACAATAACAACCGCTCGGCTCCCATAACAACGACAATATCGGGGGTCTCACCCGAGTCAACCACTGCAGCTCTGGCTGGTGCTGTCCCCAAGGAGACCAGGGAGCCTAATTTCCAGCAGGCTACCATCTCCTCTGCGGCTCCATGCTCCTCTACTGCCCAGCTAGCCGGACAAGTGCCCTTTGAGAAGCCACCGGGGACTTACCCAGAGAGTCCCATCAAGGATGAAAGTTACTCTGCTAACCCCCTGCCCGCCACCGGCACCCTTGGAAACCCTGTCAAGCTTGCTCCGGGCGAGAAGGTACCTGATTCGGCCAAGAACATCTCCTCCACGGGTCTAGGCAGCAATGTAACTCTCGATAAGGAAAGCTACGAGAGGGGGGCTAGTGACCCAGCTATGGCGGCCATGGCTGCTGCTGCTGCTGCAACAGGAGGAAATGATAAGACCAAGAAGCAGGGTGACTGCGGTAAAGACAGCCAGCAGAAAGTCTCTGGTAAGGGTGACCAGCAGAGATCCTCTGGCAGGGATGACCAGCAAAAATACTCTGGCAGAGATGACCAGCAAAAATACTCTGGCAGAGATGACCAACAAAAATACTCTGGCAGAGATAACCAGCAGAAATTCTCCAGCAAAGATGACCAGCAGAGATTCTCCGGCAAGGATGACCAGAAATTCTGCGGCAAAGATGACCAGCAGAGATTCTCCGGCAAGGATGACCAGAAATTCTGCGGCAAAGATGACCAGCAAAAATACTCTGCGAGCCCTATGGCTGCTACCGGAACCGTTGGAAACCCCACCATGGTCTCCTTGGGCGAGAAACAGTCAGGTTCGGCCAAAAATGGCACCCCCAAGGGCCAAGGCAGCAGCGCCACCACCGACAAGCAGAGCTACGATAAGGGAGCCAGCGGTCCAGCTATGGCTGCCATGGCTGCTGCTGCTGCTGCCACTGGAGGAAACGGGAAGAAGAAACAGGGCGAGAACGGTAATGGCCAGCAACAATTCTCTGTTAGCCCCTTGCCTGCTACCGGAACCGTTGGAAACCCTGTCAAGGTTGCTCCGGGTGAGAAGCTGCCTGAGCAAAGCACCATCACTTGCAACACTGTCGACTCAAACGTAACTACCGACAAGAAAGGCTACGAAAAGGATGCCAGTGACCCTGCTATGGCTGCTATGGCCGCGGCAGCAGCAGGAGGCAATAACAAGAAGACAGGAGGGAATAACAAGAAGCAGGCTAACACCAGCGACGACCAGCAACAATACTCCGTTAGCCCCTTACCTGCCACCGGAACCGTTGGAAACCCCGTCAAGACTTCTCCAGGTGAACAGCTATCAAAGTCAGGCGACGCCACCTGCAACACCATTGACTCCAAAGTTACTACTGATAAGCAAAGCTATGACAAGGATGCTAGTGACCCTGCCATGGCTGCTATGGCAGCTAAGCAGCACGACAAGAAGAACACTTTCTCGGCCCTCCCTGTTGATGAGCCCAAGTCCAAGTCTGTCGGCCCTAACGAAAACCCTTCTATCTCCTCTGCCGCTCCCCAGGCCACCACCGCCGGCCTAGCTGGTGGTGTGCCCCTGGAAAAGCCAGCTGGCTCTTCCAAGACTGCTCCTGCTGTCGGTGGCCAGCAGTATGACCCTGAAGTCCCCGCCAAGCAGGTTCCTGAGCGTGTCAAGGAGTCTATGAGCAAGGCTCACGTTGACCCAGAGGCCGCTTGCCTTCCTGAGATGGTCCAGGAGAAGAAAGACCTCGAAAAGGAGCTTCTTAAGGAAGTCTCGCCGGCCACGGGCAGCGGTCAGCCCGCTCCCACCACCTCAGCCGCCGCCACTTCCACTGCTCCAGCACCAACTTCTACCACCACAACCACCACCTCCTCCACTGCTCCAGCTGCTCAAGCACCCGCTACTACCACCACCTCCACCACCGAACCAACTTCGAAGCAAGATTCTCTCCAGCCAGGAACCGTAACTGACACCGGAGACGTCTCACCCAAATCTCATACACCAGAGGTCCCAGCCGGAGGCGCTGTCTGTGAAAGCTCTGGGAATGACGGGCCCGTCACCAAAGGAACTACCGCCTCCCAAGTCCCCGAGGCGCCCAAGGAGACCCCGGAAGCCACCACCGGCCCTGTTACAACTGAAGTTCCCGCTACCTCGGGCGCTCCAGAACAGAAGGCCCAAGAACAAAAGCCAATTGAGCCTCGAACCACTGCCACCGTCACAGCAGGTGCAGACGCAGACACTTCAGCCCAGGAAGATGCCGAAGCTGCAGCTGATGATATGGACAGGAAGAAAAAGAACCGTATCAGCGGCTTCTTGTATAGGCTCAAGGAGAAGTTTGTCTAGGTCTCCCCTACCCAACCACTCTTTTTCACCGGTTGAATCGGCAGATATGAATATAATGTCTCTCTCCCTCCGGCATTCGTAATTTACCCACTTCAAATCGTTCGCTACCCCATTTCCTATGTTTTGCTCGGTTGGCCATTCTTGTCTTATGTTCATGTTTATGTATTCTGTCGATATCCAAATTTGTCTGCTTGTCTTGTTCTAATGTCAATTCAATCAGTCAAGCTTTTCTTACTTAAGTTGCTAGTTAGCTAGCCGTACTTGTCCCAGATATAAAATATGTCTCTAATTCAGACCGCATTCACCTCATCATCGCTGTAAATTAGGTAGTCGCCTTTTATCCTGTGCTCTATACAAGTCACCTGTATAAGTAAAAGTAATATTTATCGTTAACTGCAAACCGCTCGTTCATACCACTTATAGTTTATCAATACAAATAATTAGCTAAATGCGGCGTTCTACGTGGACATATTCTGGTTGACAGATATAAGCACTATGGTGTACGGGGTGGTCGATGAAGTATCCCCGGTATATTCGGACTGCAGAACAGTAACGAGCACCTAGTTAACTAGTTACTAGAATATAGCTGGCAACATGAATGTGGGTTTTAATTTCGATAATTGAGGTGGAACTCAATACATATACTGGGTTAAATGAATTAGAAATCATGGTATTCCTATTTCGTTGGTGTAAAAAAGTATATTTCATAGTTATTATTGCTGAATCGTTTAACATCAAGAGAAACCATACTGGGTATCACAAAAGAGAATAAGAGACCAACCCGCCAACACCGTAACCAAGAGCCCTATAATCCTTTTCGCTATCGTGAACTTTCTGTCTCCGAACCTTCCGTCTCCGTCATACAGAATTTATGAATTATAGAAAAAAAACGTTTGCAGGCTAGCTCTCCGGTCTGTGCTTGGAGTGCCTCGTCCCATCCTTTCCAATCTAGTATCAACTTGTCATGCTGTCGTTGATCTGAGGAGAAACCGAAAGCAGTCATATCTAGCTCTATCCTTGGTGGGCTAAGGAGCTGGGATGAGTCATAAAATTTCTATGGTAATCTGTAAGCAAGACGTACCGGTCTATGAAGCTGTAGCATGTTGAATGTACTTACAATCCTTTCGCCACTTAGCTCCGCATTGCCGTCAGAACTTCTCGTCCAGATCTCAAGGTAAGCAGTTATGTTGCCCACAAAACTGACTCCATGTATTTCTGCCATTCCTTCATTATTAATAGAGGCTGCTGTATTGGCGTTGGCGTATATGGAAGGGTTTTTGATCACATAGTCAGGGAGATGGCTGAAGGCGCGTTTGGAGTTGAACCGGGGCCGTTCATCCAATTTCACAAGAAACGCAACTTTGACCTCGGGCATGACGTTAAACCACTGTTTAATTGATTTTTCGAGATCTGACGAGCCTTCTGTGAAACCAATTTCTGCCACGAATACTATTTCGTCCCGCGGGATCTTTCCACGACGGGGGGCACGCTCTCGCCTTGCAATCCTAATGTCAGGGATCTTCATTGAAGCAGTTTTGTCCCTTGAGCTGGCGCTTGTGTTCATCATCACTTGGAACGAATATTTCTCGTCGTCCCGGGTTGCTTGCTTTAGTGTATTGAGTACAAGGTCAACGATGTTCCAAATCAAGGCATCGTGGATATTTGATGGTGGAGCACGGAGTATAGAAGTAGTGTGAAAGCCCCCATAAACAAGATAACCCGAAGGTTTTCCTTCTCTATGAAAGAGAATTAGTGGGAATTGAAAGAACGTAACTATTTTGCTGCATGCGTACCTGCCACTGAGGGAGCGCCTAAAACCTTGGACGATTCTTTGCCAATCACGCTGAGATAAACCTTTAAAGACGAGCACATCGCGATCACAGTCAGTGGGGAATCGTCCAGCAAACAGGTCTTCTACCTGCGAGGAGCTCAATAGAAAGTCGCCTTCAGCGACTAGGCGCGGGGTGGGGGAGGTATGCACATCGCCGGAGACAGCGGGGGGAAGTTTCGTCGCGAGGAATCGGCGGCTGGCTCGTGGGAGGTCATCGGCGGTTAAAAAGGACTTACAGGGAGTGGGGGACCGTAGCGTACGGCGAATAGGAGACGATAAACCAAGGGGCCTTAGCAAGAAAGCAGGAAGCAAGCGAGATAGCATCATGATTCGGCCACAAGAAGAACAGGGCAGGCGGCTGCTGGAAATTGTGATTGGCGTGGAAGAGAAGAATTGACAGAGAAGTTCGTTGATGTGGAGCTCATAATATTTGTGTGGCAAGGATTGAGCCCTAACTAATAAGCCCTAAAAACTCAGTTGGCAAACAGGATGCTCGTTAGCAGCAGTAAAATAAAGTTGAGGCCCACTACCTAAGTTCTTATTTCACCCTCTCACCCTATTAAAAATATTGATCCGCTTCCGCCACCTTACGTAAACAAACGTAAACAACCATTAATTTCAATGGATAAAGCTGAATGGGCAGGAACAAATGGAATAAATATTCTTAGCCAATAGAAATACCTGATTAATGGTTAATCATTAATCCAATGGAAAGTAGCGAATATTCCTTTTTCGCTATAGCGCGCTCCCTGGTTTGTTATCCAATTATAATAACAACTGAGAATTTTGTGCCTCACTTCTGGATGCTTTTTGAAAGCTCGAAGAATAACTATGGACCTGGGCTCGGCCAGACTGGAAAGTGGTGACAATGCAGAGAGGACCTTTGACCCTTTCACTTTCTAAATTTATGAGAAGGCCCTTCAAACCTAACATCAGCTCGATCTTCCTACAAGATTTGCGCACGATGGGTTGGTTGGTATTTTCATAGCCTCTGGTCTTTCTTAAACATCGTGGGACTGACTTCACAAAAGGGGCTGGGCCGAATGAGAATGATGAGCTGTTTACATACACATCAGGCCGGTTCCTATACAATGAAAGATGCCGCCTTGAAGAGCGACGCGTTTCCTTCAATGTTGTCGCCCTGAAAGACGCTGCTGAAAAAGATGTTGGACATGGCAAAATTACTTCCCTCCAAAAGCTTGCTGAAGGAGGATTTAATCGGATATTCCTCCTTACTTCGGAGGATGGATTTCAGGCCATTGCCAAAATCCCCTACAGTATTACCGTGCCGAAAAAGTATACCACTGCAAGCGAAGTTGCTACAACAGACCTTCTACGGTCAAAGGGTATGCCTATGCCTCGTATATTTGGCTGGTCTGCTGATGCAAACAATCCTGTTGGTGTGGAGTATATTATTATGGAAAAAGCGTCTGGCATTCCATTGGAGACCAGATGGTTTGATTTATCGAAGCACGAACGTCATTATCTTGTGACGAGCCTTGTTGACATTGAGAAGAAGCTGTTTGATATTCCTTTTGGCAATTTCGGGAGCATATATTACAAAAGTGATCTACCACCGGATTTGCAGCTTGACTTATATATGAGTGACACAGATCCGGTCATGGTGTCACAAGATGAACGGTTTTGTATTGGGCCGACAACTGATTATATGTTCTGGTACGGCCAGCGCGCTGATTTGCATACATCTCGTGGGCCTTGTAAATATATCTCTTCTCCCACCCACAGTATTTGGTGAACACGGAAACTAATACGGAAGATAACAGGGAAAACGCCAAAGGATTACTTGATCTCTATCGGAAAACGGGAGTACGAATAGACAGAAAGATATGGCAGATCTCGCCCTATGAAATTTCCCCATGTTGTCCACTTCGAGGCCATCAATTCTCCTAATGAACACATTAGGCATCTCAATCAATATATGGAAGTGGCTCCTTACCTCCTTGGCTCGGAATCTCACACCGACCTAAGCTGTCCTCTCTTGCGCCACCCGGGTAAGGAAACCCTCCAACGTGATATGGTAACAAAAGCACTGGTTAATCTATTTATCATTCAGATCTTAATCCTGGTAACATATTTGTATGTCCGGAAACCCATAAAATTTCCTCGATAATAGATTGGCAACATGCGACCTTGCTTCCCCTACTGCTTGCCACGGGACACCCTCCGATGTTTCAGAGCCCAGATCAACCGCCACCAAAAACACTCGAGAAGCCCAGCCTGCCTGATAACTATGACTCACTTGATCCGGAGCAAAAGTCCCAAGCGGACGAACTTTATCGACGCAGGACGCTCTTTTACATCTACATGGCGTTCAATGGTGGCTTAAATAAAAAGCACTTGTCAGGGATGAAAGATCCTCGTGTGCTACTATCTCAACATCTTGTTGAATGCGCTGAGAAACAATGGAGTGGAGATGTTTTTGGCCTAAAAGGAGCTCTCATCAGGATATATGAAAACTGGCATCTTTTCAATGCACATCTATCGGAGCCACTTCCATGCCCGATCTCGTTTACCCAGTCTGAGATTGATGCGTATTACGAGCAGGAGCCAACCTGGTTTGAAATGAATGGTCTCTTTGAGTACTGGAAGTCAGAGCTAGGAGGTTTGGGCGATGACGGATGGGTGAGGACGGAAGCTTACGAAGACACTGAAAAGAAAAGCATTAAGTTGAAGCAGGTGTTATTGGAGGGCTCGGATACACCGGAAGAAGAACGGTGCGTTCAAGAGCAATGGCCATTCCAAGATCATGAGGAGTGATATATGCTCTAATTGACTACAGACGCAGATAGAGGAGACCGCTCTCTAGAGTCCGAGATAAATAGACAAGTCAGAGAATCACTCGGTTAGATATGGCAGGTTAGTTAGAGACGCCTCATTGAGCTAAGGAGAAGCACGGAGCATGCATGAATACTCCGTACTGCACGAGAGATAGCCGAGGAACAGCCTAAAACAAATGTCTGTGCAGGGCTAGCAATAATATGTAGCCACACGTCACACTGCTAGTCAGGTGCATATGTACCAGCTCCCGACGCCTCCTACTTGATCGTATTTTAGGCATGGCATGCTTGTTCGGGCAATAAATAACGAAGTTTATTGACACCTTAATCCCATAAAAAGGGCCTGCGTGCTGTTATGGGCAGCTTCGATCGACGCTTTCGGCTGCCATTGGGCTAGGATGCCTTGCAGCGACGATCTCGCGGCGCCTCACGGGATCATGATCGGGGATCTACCCATAGTCTTATTGTGCAGATGAATGTTTGTTCTAGACCCTAAGGATTCAGTTGTATTGGCCGCCATCTGAGGGTGTGAAAACGGTGAATGCATATATTCTCATAGATTTAGAAGTCTACAGCTATTGATCCAGCAGGGTATTTCAGCAGGTGTTTTACTTCGATTTATCGAAAGGACACGCGCGAATGAAGAGCTGGGCTGCGACACATCCTTAGTGACATCCACCCTGGCAGAAAGCCATGCAGCTAAACTCACCTGCTTTATGTGATATGACTAAGGGAAACTACTAGTTCCATCGGCCTTGTTGGATTATATGTTCTAGCTAATCGTTGAACATACGCCACTGGGTCTTGGGAATCAGCGCTGTCAAACATTTAGCTATTCAATGCTTGACTCCTATTGGTTTCCAGGCACAAGAGGCGCCCTATCGTTTAAATTTCCCCTTTCCATTCGAGTAAGGAGGATGTTAAATTCACCAGTCATTTGCCAGACCTAGTCTACCTAAACATATTCTTGTCACACAACTTCCTGCATGCTTATTTATGGTAGCGTAAAACACCAGCTGCCAATTCTCTTTGAGGAAATCGAGATACCGACTCCCACTGCTGGCGTGAAGGCGAGAGACCAAACCCCGAGAAATAGTGTTTTCGACGTATAAGATGTATTCCTGTAGATGCAATTGCAATTAGGGCGGATGAGAACCGCTGGAGAAGGTGCAGGGTTGAACTCCTCACAGTTGGCTTTTGAGTGTGTGAGAACCATTGCATGAGGAGTCGTCTCATGCCAATGTCTCGTCTCAAGGAATCAATCATCACGAGCAATCAGCTCAGCTGCCCTCACATTTGGAGAATGGCCTTCATACCCAGAAGGGCTTCAGAAAAGGTATAAATAGAGGGTATATCTCCTCCTTCAACGTTGGAATTCAGAATCATCAAGCACATCCCAAAGCATTCAATCTTCTACACTCCGAGCAAAACAGTCCAAAAGAATAATCAATCCTATCAGTTCTATCAGCCATCATGCGTTTCACTACCATTCTCATCGTCGGCCTTGCCTCTGTGGCCACCTCTTTTGCTCGCCCCAATGGAGAATCCAGCCAAGCCAACTGCGGGTATCCCAACGGCAACTGCTACCAGAACGACTGCCATGGAGAGCTGAGCGTTGATAGAATCACTTGTTTCTCTGTGGGTATACCACTAATACTCCCCCGAGCACGCTGCGACTAACCATAAACTCCTATTAGGGCCCCTACCGTGACTGCCCATGCGGATATAACTGCGGTAGCAATGTCGGAAAATGCAACGAGAACGGCTGTGAGGGTCATGCGGGCCGTTGCACCCGCAACTACCTCGGCTGCTCTTGTGTCTAGACCACGCTCAGGCAAACAATTTCGGGCATCAAGGAAACTTCCGCCTTTGCTATCTGTGATGAAGGACCAAACCGAGTCTGTCATTTCCGCTGTCCGGTGTTATTATGGGGTATCTGTGTCGAGCTCTTAACTCATCTTGTCAACAACTCTGTATTCTGCAGTGATACTAGGGACAGCTCAATACAAGATAATCCTCGTTATATTTTCTGTCATTCGTCATCGTTAAGGGGAGAAGTAGTAAAAAATAACCTTGTTGTCAATAAGATTAAGGGGTTGTTTCTTGGCATGAGCCGCACAAAGTGTAAACAGAACAAACAAGGCAATCAAGACAAACAAGACAAATATACTCCTTTAAGTAAAAGTATCTCGGAGATGCATTACGTAATCAACTCCGACCGAGGATATGCAGGGGCGCGAGGGTCTCATTCGACTGCACGCTGGCACTGTGGAGAGGGTGGAAAACTTCGTAAAAGGGTCCGTGCCTAAGATCTAGGAGGGAATTGACAATCAAAATCCGATGCTCAAAAGGCTGTAGCTGGTCTGCAGGGCTTGAAATGTACGTTCTGATGAAGCTGATAAATGGATGTTATTCCAAAGAACTGCTAAGCTAAGAACTAACTATGGAAGGCCGAGGATGCACGTGACATACTCTTCGGCCGGGGGCTTCTTTGCTCGCATGAAGAACCTGAGATTGGGAGCAAGGAGCAGCTGGTATCTTTAGGTACAGATGCAGGCAGGCCTGTTGCAGGGTAACATACTCCGTACGGAGTACGGAGGATATTATTGTTGTTGTCTCTCCTTGGTAAGCGAAGGCCCCAGCATGTCTGACTTCTCCGTCGACCTCAGCTGAAGACTCCCAATTCCAACGAATCGGATGCTCTCAAAACACGAGCTTGTGCAAGGAACCGCTGACTAGTCTTGCACACAAGGGAACAGCCACAGTCTGCGCCCAGCGCTCCCCTTGCTCCTCTGTTGCTAATTGTGGCTGGTCTTCGCGCTCTCCTGGTTGAACCGTTATTCGAGATAACCATAAATCCATCCTCTGATCCCTCGGGGCCACTCCCTTTCTTTGCAGTTTCAATATTATCTCTCGTTCGTTACGGAGTACCAGGCGCAGCCTCTTCTAGGTCGACCAAATCCTTCGGCTCCAGCTGTCACTCCTAATACGGGCATACCCCGCGCTCTCTTCGCAAGCGACCTGAAAGTGCGATCTCGTTCGAATCGAGTCCACCCACACCATCCTTCACTCGAAGCGCTTTCCTGGAAACCAAGACGACAGACATAGAACACGAAGCAAACTTGGTCAGCTAATCGTCATGGGTGCCCTCAGCCGCCTTCTCCCTGTGGTCCTGGTGATCCTGTTGGTTGTCGCCCTTGCCGCCGTCGGTCTAGTGATTTACAGCATCGCTATGGATGTGAAAGATAACACCAAGAAGAAGATGGAGAAGAAGAACGTTGCATTTTCAAGAGAGGGCGCCAAGGTTGGTGTCAAGGAAATGCAGGCGGAGGAGTACCAGGACAGAACACAAAGGTATTTCTACGACAGGAGCCTTCTTCTTCTCGTTGAGAGTAAAGCAATGTACTGATCTTAATCGTTATGTAGTGTCCTGGTCAACATGTGGGAGAATTCCGGTACCGGCCAGACCAGGGGAAGGAAGAAGAAGGCCTGAATATGGGGAATACTGAGATGAGAAGGATTTGATCAGCCTACGGCAAACGAGTTACGAGTTGCATCTTTGGCATCATTAGTGGATGACCCGTTACGACTTTCATCTTCAGGTGTAAATGGTTGGTGAATATGAGTTTATTTCACTCCCTCTGTACTTATGAAGAACAATCAATGTACCCATATTCTTCAAGTCTAGTCATCTAGCAGCATTTTGGACGATCTAAGTATAACAACAATGCATTGATCGGCTTCTAGATGCGCCACGAACTACGGGTCATTCGCTGCTGCAGGCCAACTTTCTCGCCTTATTCGCCTTTGTTTCGGGGATTATGCACAACTCGGTCTGGGGGATCTACATGTACTCTTTTGCCAGTAGTGGACTCAAATCGAACCCTATCAAGTTGCTTTTCATACTATTTATCCATCAAATCAATTTACTACGCTACTTCTCCAAGTACAAGCATGACTACAATGAGTGAAATGGAGGCAGGTGACAATTGTATGGTGGAGCGTTGTTTCTCTTCCTTTCCAGTTGCACATGAATCTGCAGCGTCGAAGGATCAACATGCAGCCTCCAGTCTTCCGTAACAAACACCGACAAATCCTTTCTATTGGCTCGACGGGCATATTCAAGATAATTGAATTGTTCTTCGCGTACACAGCATAGATGAAGGATTGCGGGGGATAAGGATTCCAGCTGCAAGCTAGGAGCGTACTCAATTGCACTCCACATCTTCATCCCTTGATCTACAGCGCTCCCTTTACTGATTGGCACTTCTGTGTCGGATCACTCCTTGAAAATCCTCAGCTCCCCCACAATGATGCAGTTCTGAGTTGTTCTTATCATGACCTTGTGGAAGATGGAGGATTTGTTCAGATTCAACATGGGAGACTATGTTGTGTACGGGGTTGTTCGAGAAATATATAAAGGGGCTGATGTTGCCGGATAATTGACAATTTCAGAGCATCCTCAAGCAGCCACATTGAACACTTCCATAACTCAAGAATCAGACGAAATATCCATATCGAAAACCAGTCAAGATGAAGGGCCTCATGATGTTGTTCCTTGCAGTGACCTCGGTCGCAGCCCTTGCAGCTCCCCAGCCCAAGGAGGGCTTGACCCAGGGTGTATGCTGATCTCTCCTCCTTGCACACCCGCATTTATAGCAGTAATTCGAGGTACTGACTTGTATGACTAGACCTTCATCTGTGCTGCTGCTCCTTGCAGCAACGACGCTTACTGCAAGAGCAACGGCTGCTACAAGTGCCAGCACGGCGTAAGTTCACAATTCTCCATCTCCCCTGTTATCATAGGAGCATTATGCTGATCAGGCTTCAACTTCCCCAGAGATGCGCATAAACAAGTGATTGACAGGCCCACAAGGATTGATCACGCTTATTTCAGCCTCAGTCTCGGGCTGTTCACTAGTTAGCGAGCAGGCAGGTTGGATGGAAATTTTCGATGAAATAAGTGTCATATTTAACTGGATATGAAGTTTTCAACCAATAGCTCCAATCAATGAATCTTTATGAAGAATGTTTCACTAGTCGAATCATGACTTGGCCATTCGCAAGTGATTGAAACGATGATATAAATAACTGGTCCAGTGGGTAACTAACTGACTAGGCAGACACGGCTGAGCCTCAAAGTAAAAAAAGCCACCATTGACTCACACGAGAAGCTGCATATTTAAAACATCAGCTTCTCCCCTCTCGGCAATGGAGTAACTTGATACCCTTCACATTCTCACATCCATCTGCGACTTCACTCTCAGAGATGTCTTCGGAACCCATCTTCTTCTGGAAGCCCGAGCAGGAACATGGGTATCTAGGACAATGGTGGAAGTCCCCCTTCACGGTGCCTGCAGAGGGCGGAGGCGAAGAGCTCAAATATGAGAACTGTGAACAGTAAGCTTGTCTCATTGTCTCTCATATCAGCAATCGCTCGTCCATGAAGCCAGGAGATACCCAACATGGAACAGCTATTAGTCAATGAGTGCATCAGTCTAAGAAGGCATATGGTATAGTTACATGATGCACCAGAAGGGCGTCTTGTTTGCCCCAGACGACCCGGTAACGCAGCAGATCCTCGCTCCCTCAGGGCCCGTACCGGGTCCCAAGGAGATAAAAGCTCTAGGCCGCAAAGTGCCCAACTTCGACGAGGAGGTGTGGAAGAAAGAGCGCTTCCGGATCGTGGTGCAAGGGAACTACTACAAGTTCACGCAGAATCCGGATCTCAAGGCCCAACTGCTGGAGACGGGCGATAGGGAGCTTGTCGAAGCCAGTCCGCGTGACAGGATATGGGGGGTTGGATTTGGAGCAAAGAATGCGCCAGCCAGAAGGGCGAAATGGGGGTTGAATTTGCTGGGAAAGGCGCTGATGGAGGTTCGGGATCAGATTAGGAGAGAGGAAGAGGAAGAGGAAGCCGAGCAGGACAACTAATCTGCCTATTATCAAAGACTGTTTAACGACCTAGTCTAGAATATTTGTTTGTCAAGTTTGATCAGCGGTAGAAAGCAGGCTGGTGGTTCCAGCTAATCATGGCCCGCGGCTGTTCAATTTGCCTTCCAAGTTTGATAGATACAACGTCATAGCCGTGCAAGATATATATCAAGATCTCTACAAGCTGGACCATTCAGTACACCACCACATCTCACCAGACTATCATCGTATAGAGAGCTTGCGAACACTGCAAGGATGTTCTTCTTTCCATTCCCTCTCGTGTGCTTCCAATGCGGAACCGACCAGAACCCGTGTCGTTGTAAGGTCGTCGGTCCAACGCTGGGTAATGCCATGTACCACCTGAAGCTCCTCCAACTTTTATCATAACTAACCCGATGCATGATGTAGGCTTCGCAGTTGGCATTATTTCGGCGGTATATTACCTTTCCCGTTCATCTCTACAAGTATATAACTAACTTCCTATTAGATTATATGCTATCCTGCATCTCTATTCTGTGGATGTTGGGGAACGGAGGCTGGAAAGCGGTAGGTCGTCACCTGGTAACCATTTCTTTTGAGCTGCCACTGACAGGCCTGTACAGCATGCTGGCGAGACCTGTCGAGTGGAATGCGGAGGTCAGCCAGGTCATTCCATTCTAGGGCTCCGTGCAAGAGTGATTCCGTCAATCATTTTAGTAGTTAAAACCCGATAATGTATGATTAATAGTAAATTAGAAACATAAAAAATCGACCATCCTTGTTGCCTATTATTTATTATTAATGTATCAACCCCCTTGAGAGCAGTTGGGATGAAGGATTCAAGTCACGACTTTGTATTTAAGAGGGGCTTCCCTGCCCCCACCAGCTGCCCAAGTCATGTGACCGTTTCTGATGAATGGAGCCCAGGAGCTTTTAACTACCTCCTAAATACTCCATTCCCCCGCAACCAAGTGTTTTCTCCTCGAATATGTGGGATGCTACTCAAGGTAACAACTAAGGCTGGCACTTTGACTACGATGATACTGATATAGGCCTAAGATGAATAGCGAACCACTATGGAAGAGTGCCGACGACATTATAAACCAACTTCGGAGCGAAATTATCGCATGACGAGCTCGGTAATGACACCATGATGAGGCCAAGATAACCCAACCCGGGGAAGGGGGAGCGTTGAAAATTTCTTTCAAAAATAAGATGATAACTAGTTGTAGAGTGCATTGCTTATATTGCATGATCTAACTAGCTGTGTGCTCGAATCAATCATGTAAACTAGTTAACTGGTTGAATTTCCTCTTGGCTTCCCCTGATCCTGACGCCCTCAAGCGCATCATTTGCCATGCTCTTGAAGTGACTCATTATCCAATCTAGATTTCATGGTGGATATTATTACTCTCATAGGCGTATAGCCAGAGGTAGGGGTGAGCTGTTCTGGATCTTAAGTTGGGACACCCAACTTGTCCTCTTCGACAGCAGTCTTGACCAGTTACCTGTTTAATCATTTGCGCGCCGAAGCGCTGCCAAGCATTTCCAGGCCCAGTTAACTAGTTAGTTAACCAACCAGTTGGCTGCCAAGTTAGTTACCCAAACGAATTTTACTTATGACCAATGCGCTCCTCTCTATGGAGTAGATGGATTTTTATTTTTCGGTTCTCTACAGTCTAGGTTATATAGGCCTCGATGATGCTGATAATGCACCCGAGCTTGCTGGCTAGGTTTTGCGTGCGACCGTATATTCCAACTGGATTTTGTTTACCCGAAGCCTTTGCCCTCAACCGCCTTTCAGGCCGATGCAGAATGTCAACCTTCAAGGAGCCGCTTACACCTGGGATGCAGCTGACGAGCGACTCCGGGAGCGTCTATAGAATCGAAGAAACGCTGCGCGAACGAAGGAGGCCTCTACTCTGCGTCTATCGTGCTAGGTAGGCATGAAATTTTACTCGGCTCAAGCTTATTCGGGCCCTATCCACTAATGCCAGGATACCTAGCTCTGGAGGGAAAAATATGTCCTCAAGAACATGATACCAGGCGAATTCGAGTATCAGCTAGACCTGCAGAGACGATTCTCGGCCCACCCAAATATACGGGCAGTCACTGACACGATCCAACCTCTTGAGATGTTTATATACCCCTACTTGACTGGAGACCTACAGCACCTGAGCCCCAAACTACGGTCGAAGAGAACGAAGGTTGAAGTTCTTCGGAGTGCCTTGCAGGGACTCTGTGACATGCACAAGGAAAACATTTCCCATAACGGTGGGTTGTAGAGACCCATTGGTAGTATAAAATAGCAGCCGTGACTGACAGTTGAATAGACATCAAGGCCGACAACGTGCTAATAGAGTATGAAGAAGCAGAAGCAGGAGAAGAGACGGTAAACATCAACAGCGTTCAAATATCCGACCTTGAAGACACTGTCCTCCTGCCGGCTGGGAAATGGATTAAGGGAACTTTATGCGGGAATGCAATCTGGAGAAGCCCGGAGAGCTGGTGCCGGGCCCGCCAGAACATCAGCTCGGACATCTTCTCCTTTGGAATTGTGGTATGTTTTAAGACCTCTTGCCAACTTAACCTGTCCTGACGCTAAGTTGGTTATCAACTAGATGATATATGTCATGACAGGCAAGATGGTCTTCCACGTTGGCTGGGACAAGCTCGACGCAGAAGACGCCTGGAGACACGTCCTGAGCCGACACATCTCCTACTTTGCAGACGAAGAAGGATTCAATGGACTGCTGAAGCACATCCAGAAGGAGAACCCGTTCTTTGAGCGCCTGGTGAGCCTGGCCGAGAGTGTTCCCCGACAACCCTTTGAGGCCTGGGGAAGTGTCGAGCCCGAACTGAAAAACTTGGTAGGCAAGATGACCTGCCTGGATCCATCGAGGAGAATCACTGCGGCAGAGGCGCTGGAGCATCCCTGGTTCAAATCGGCCTGGATGAAAGGATGAAAGGGATGTAACTATGTGACTGGCGGCGCTGTGCCATGATCCATCCTCACCCTTTGATGTACCATTATTAAATTATTAGTTGGAGAATCTCAAATCTTTCTCACAGAGACGTCCACTATTATTATTAGGTATTGCTTGCTTACCCGCAGCTCCATCCGTTTGACCGTCGTCGCTTGAACCCTCTCGGGAAACAGGAAATCTGCTCTCGCCGCCTCATGTCTCCACGCCGTCCTTATATTGAACAGCGGCCGCTAGCCAGCTAACCAATCAGTAGTTACTCCGTAGTTAATCCAATTAGTTACTCCGTATATTAATTATTATAACTACTTTACTGCCTCTTCCCCACGGCGCCATCTCCGGAATCGCAGTGAACCCCAGGCCAAATGTGCCAGCCGTGTAGTTAGTTGTGCCATCCACTCGTATATCCCGTTCTGCGGCTAGTTATCGAGACGACAAGAGAGAGATACGCTTTGCGAGCGACGAATAATAGTAACTACTGGCAGAGGTGACAAGAAATCGGACGGATGCTCCGAGCCCGTGCTACCTTGGAAGCAGGTAGCCCTTGTAGTCAAGTAACTTGTCCAAGAGTCGTCTCAAGTATGTAGGACGGTCAGTCGAACGTCGCTGGCGCCTTACGCGAGCCCAGCTATAATCAGGGGGTTCGCACCAACAATCTACGGAGTAGCTTGCCGTCAGCCAACCGGTTGAGAGAGAATAAACAGCAACAGCTCCAGCGTGTCTGTCGGCGGGCGCCTCTGGTGTCTCCGGCAGCCCACATGGCCTGGCCCTGATGGAGTCGGGATTGGCCCTGTTTGAGGGTGTCTTTGGATCTGTTAGCGTTGCTGTTGCCGGCCAAACGTCCGACCAAAGCTCGTACGATGCCCTCGCTAGCTAAGTCGAGACAAGCATTTTGGCCTCGGCCTTGGCTCCTTGAAGATCGCAGCGGATGGAAAATAAGTGACATCGGGGAGTGACATCGAGCGGAGGCGAAGGGCGAAGGGAGGGCGGTCCATGGTTCAGGTCTATGTAATATAAGGGAGGGCTCGAGGAGGTGAAGATGAAGAGATAACTAAGTAGTTGACTATCTATGCAGGTAGCAGCTCCAGTAGCAAGCAAGGGTAGCATAACCCGATCATTTCCTCTTCTCTTCCTTCGACTCTTCATGCAGTGCGACGGTGAAGAGTCCGCAGAGTCGCTTTCCTGCTCGGCCCCCTGGTTGGTCTCTCCACAGTGGATGAGCGAAGGGCTCCGTCATGCAGGCCAGGGGAGGGGGAGGGAGGGTGGAATAGCGATAACTAGTCACTTCGCTAGTATTACTGTAGGCACTTAAAGGACGGATCTTCTCTGCTCTTTCGTACTTCTTCTTCTTCTTCTCCTTCTCAAGTCTGGCTGAGCTTAGAGAAGGCAAAGGCTTCTGCCGTCATCGACTCGAGGGCTGCAAAGTATAAAGTCGCTAAGTGATAAAAAGGCCGGCCCTCAGCTTCACCAAAACTCCATCTCGGCTTCCACTTCACCTTCACCCTCAGCTGGACCTCCAACATCTAGACAGCTACTCCGTCCACTGAGGTTTCATCTACATCATCTGTTTCGTTACGTTCTTCGGCCCAAGATGGCTACAGACGACAGCAACAAGAACCTCCGGCAGTCGCCCATGGAGTGCCTCCGCGACCTGTTCAACTGGAAGGTCAGAGTCGAGGAGACAGACCCCGTCACCGGCGTCACCACAGTCGAGTACCGCGACCCGGAGCCCCTCAAGAACCCCTTCTCCATGGTTGCCCAGCTGTCGGCAAGCAACTGGCTCTTCTTCCTGGCCGGCCTGTTCGCCTGGATCTGCGATGCGTTCGACTTCCACGCCCTGTCGATCCAGACCGTCAAGCTATCAAAGTACTTCCACCGCAGCAAAACCTCCATCTCTACAGCCATCACCTTGACTCTCTTGCTCAGATCAGTCGGAGCAGCCGTGTTTGGCCTGGCCGGAGACAGATGGGGCCGCAAGTGGCCCATGGTGGCCAACATGCTCATCCTGGGCGCCCTCCAGATCGCAACCATCTACAGCGCTACCTTCTCCCAGTTCCTGGCCGTTAGGAGTCTGTTTGGTCTCTTCATGGGCGGCGTGTACGGTAACGCTATTGCCATGGCCCTGGAGAACTGTCCCGTCGAGGCCAGAGGGTTGATGTCCGGCATTCTCCAGCAGGGCTACTCGATGGGCTATGTCTTTGCAGCATGCGCCAACCTGGGAGTCGGCGGCGGCACGGACTCATGGAAGGTCGTCTTCTGGATCGGAGCCGGCATCTCATGCTTGTCTGGCGTTATTCGAATTTTCCTGCCCGAGTCAAAGCAGTTCCTGGCTGCGCGTAAGGAGCGCAAGGAGGGCAAGAAGAGCGGTGCCTCGCCCAGTAAATTCTGGAGAGATACCAAGGAGATGCTGGCCAAGGACTGGAAACTGGTGATATACTGCATCTTCCTCATGACCTGGTTCAACTTCTACAGCCATACTTCCCAGGACAGCTACACCACCTTCATGCTCACCCAAAAGGCCCTCAACAACTCTGCTGCCTCCCGTGCATCCATCCTCATGAAAGCCGGCGCCTGTGTCGGCGGCACCATCATCGGCTACATGTCCCAGTGGTTCGGCCGTCGTCGATCCATGGTCCTCTCCGCTCTGATATCAGGCATCTTGATACCTGCTTGGATTCTCCCACACGGCGAACGCTCGCTCTCAGCCTCGGGCTTCATGATGCAGTTCTTCGTCCAGGGCGCATGGGGCGTCATCCCCATCCATCTCAACGAGCTCTCCCCGCCTGCCTACCGATCCAGTTTCCCGGGCCTGACATACCAGCTCGGCAACATGATCTCATCCCCGTCCGCCCAGATCGTCAATGCCGTCGCAGAGTCGGTCAGCGTTAGAGGAGACAACGGCAAGCCAGCGCCAGCCTACGGCGCCACCATGGGAGTAGCCACAGCCATCATCGCATTGGGTATCATGATCACCACCGCCTTTGGACCAGAGATGAGGGGCCGCAAATTCGAGCTGGCCAAGGTAGCCGGGCATCTTCATGACGGTGAACAAGAGCATGCAGGAAAGGAAGACCTCGAGTCCGGCATGGTAGGCAGATCACACGACGAGAAGAGAAGCGAGGAGGCGGAAGTCTCGGAGTCGGAAAAGGTGATTGACAAGAGCTAGTTAAGCTTAACCTCTCTTATGATTTGATTTTTTATTTTACCCAGGCTATGTTACGAAACAAAGAAAAGAGCACGACTACCCAGACATGCTATCAGATGTTAAATGCGTTATACTATGTATTCAATCTTTCTCAAGCCTTCCAATCCATCTTTCTTTGAAAATCTCTTCATCTAAAAATTTTTCAGCCGAGGTCCAAGTTAGTGCGTCTTACATAATCACGTAAACAATAGCGTTGTGCTTTATTTATGCAGCTTTTATGCATCCTTTTTATGCACGTAATTTTTATCTCACGCGAGCAAAAAAAAAAAAAAAAAAAAAAAAACCAAAAAAACGGAGCAAAAGTGAAAAGAAAGCAAAAATATTTCAATGACAGGCGGAGCTTTCAAATTATTTGAATTATATGACTTGTAGTTTTCTCTGCTTCGGCTGCGATGGCATCTTCTTTTTTTTTTTCTTTTTGCTTCGGCTGATCCATGGAATCAAATAAGTGTATTTGAGCTAGGGGGTTGCCTGTTAAGTAACTCCATCCTCGATCCTGACAGCGCCATCTCCAAGACGATCGACACTGCGACAAGGCCAAAAGCCGCTTGCAGGATCACGCGAGTTTACCTGCTGTCTTTGACACAGGATAACAATAGAATTGACGTACAGGAATACAGCTTGCATCTCCATCGTCCCGCCCCTCGACGGAGCCACGTATAAGTACGCAACCGTTCGATACGCAACGTCTTGCAGCCGGCAGCCTTGACGCACAGTGACCTCATTTCGGGGTTCGGGGACTCGGGGCGAAAGAGGGACCAGCCCTGTAACGTCGCGAGGAGGAACCGCTGGTCAAGACGGAAGATCTGGCGCCCGAACGCCCGCCTGTCGCTTCGCTCGCAAAGAAGTTTTCTGGTTTAGCTCTTGCTGGGATTGCTGGAAACTAGCAGGAGGATACGATTATGCTTGAACACTATGGTAATTTTGGATCCCCGCCCAACTCAACCCAACACCAACAACAGTCTGTAAGTACAATATGGTCACAAGTACTCCGTACTATCTCCGACCCCTGCATGGCCACTCGAGCTGACGATGCAGGACGCTGTATAGTTCCAGCCGACTATTTGCGGTGCTGCATGGCTCCCAAGCCTGGGCTGCGACGGCTGCGCTCCAGGAAGGGGGAGATAGTTCGTTTCACGCACCGCGCACATCCCTCTCAGCAGCCCTCTTGGTCGACCAGCAGCCAGCAGCCACTCGCATGGCAGAGGCTGAGTGCGAGATACGAGCAAGGGAGATTTGATGCTGCCCCAGCCGATGCCGAGTGACTTTGCGTCTCGCTGTATCTGTTAGCGAAATGAAGTCACTCTGCATCGCGCCCGCCATCCGAAGCATCCGCGTACCGTACGGTACCGTCACGCTCTTACCGCCTGGCTCCACGCCAGCCTTGGCCTCCGTTACAGCCCCGTTACCGTACGTGACGCCAGGCCCGTTACCCAGAGCTCCCTGCTTATGTCAGCGGCCCTTTTTGCGCTCCTGCGTTGCTTTTTGCTGCAGGTTAAGAGCAGGCCGAAATCTCTCCCCGTCGACTCTTGCTTGCAACTCCTGCTTTGCCTGCCTGCTGTGCTGCCTCTCAGTCTCCCCTTTCGACCTGCCTGACCTTCGCCCTCCTCGCCCTCGCCCTCGCCGTCCTCGGGTTGCTCGTTCGGGCTGCCTGTGCTGGTTGTGGCATCTGCCTGGCTTCGTCTACACACTCCTTTTGCCCCCATCCCCGAACCAAGACGGACAGACGGACATACACACGAGACCAGCACCCACCAGTTTGAGAGCAGCCAAGGCACACCCGCTACCAATTGACGGCATCGCTTCAGAGACAGCCCAGCAGCACTTCTACGCCGACAACGAACGACGACGGCCTCCAAGACGACCCCTACGACGCCCGGAGAGAGAGAGAGAGATAAGAGAGAGAGATAGCGATAGAGAGAGACAGCTCACAAACAAAAGATGGCCTCCTGGAAGGACCATCCGTTCGCGAAACCGCCGCTTTTGATACCATGGCGCTCGCTTCAACTTCTGCTGCCTTTTCCTTCACGCCTCCGCCGCCGCATCAGGTCCAAACTGCGTTCGAGAACATCGCCCTCTTCCTCCATCACACGGCTCTCTACTTCGTTCTCGCCCCTAGACACCCTCAAGGCGTTGCAGGCCCATAGATGGACCATATACGACGGCCAGTACCTCGTGCTGGTCGTGCTTGGCATCTTCTCCCTCTGCATCATCCAGTCGCCAGGACCACTGGCAAAGACCATCGTAGCCCTAGGCCTGATAAGCTCGCTGCTGATGCCAATAACCTGCCAGTTTTTTCTTCCCTTTCTGCCGCCAATTTGCTGGTTGGTATTCTTCTATGCTTGCCAGTGAGTTGGCCCTTCCCCTAACATCCTGAAACATGAGAACAACAGGGGGCAATGATACTAAATGATCAATAACTAATAGATTCATCCCGAGTGACTGGCGGCCGCCGATTTGGGTTCGCGTCCTGCCTGCCCTGGAAAACATCATCTACGGCGCAAACTTGTCAAACATCCTCTCAGCTCACCAGTCTACCGCTCTAGACCTGCTCGCATGGCTACCCTACGGCATCATGCATTACGGCGCTCCCGTCGTCTGCGCCATCTTCCTCTTCATCTTTGGCCCGCCCGGCATCACCCCCATCTTTGCTCGCAGCTTCGGATACATGAACATTGCAGGTGTCATCATCCAGTTCCTCTTCCCTTGCTCTCCACCTTGGTATGAAAACCTCTACGGTCTTGCGCCAGCCCACTACGGCATGCCAGGAGACCCTGGTGGTCTAGCACGCATCGATGCCTTGTTCGGCATTGATCTGTACACCTCTGGCTTCTCTGCCGCTCCAGTTCCCTTTGGCGCCTTCCCATCCCTCCATGCGGGTCATGCCACCTTCGAAGCTCTCTTCATGAGCCATGCATTCCCAAAACTAAAGCCGGTCTTCATCACCTACGTCGTCTGGCTCTGGTGGTCAACGATGTACCTTTCCCACCACTACGCTGTTGACCTTATTGGCGGCGGTCTCCTTGCTGCTGTTACATTCTACTACGTCAAGTCCCGCTTCCTCCCGCGCGTGCAGGCTGACAAGTTCACTCGCTGGGACTACGACTATATCGAAATCGGCAGTGCCGAAATGAACATGCCTGGCTCGTACGACTATGACATTGCTGATGGCCTCCAGATGGACAGTGATGAGTGGACAGTCGGGTCCAGCTCATCCATTTCTTCCGGTTCATTAAGCCCAGTCGACGAACAATCAGCATGGGGCGGCGAGGCAGACGGCATTCCTAAACGCTCTTCAGACCTCGAGACCGGCCTCGGTATTTCGAGATGAGAACAACAATAAAAACAATAGGAACAAACTTATAAACATACGATATGATAATGTTTTAATATCAACGACCGGACAGGGAACGGGAGATCAGAAAGGGTTGGAAACGGTCGAGAACGGGCTCGGCTTAAATATCACTTACCCGCCCATTCATCGCTTGGATACGATGCACGACACATATCAACATACTATCTACCCTTTTGAACTGGCCTGCGTGCTTTATTCTTACCACGCAGGGTGAGATGGGATATACATATGTTTTTTCTTTTTGGATCAAAAAGTGCCTAACTTACCGGACCGCATAATTGGATTGGAACGGATGGAGGGGCCAACAGGGGCATTTTGGATCGGTGTTAATGGAGTTGACGGTGATGGTGACGGTGACGGTTATACCACTTTTTTTTCCTTGCATTCGCTCTGTGGACTGCAGAAATCTATCTAAGCGGAATACGTTCGCTTTGAACACAGTCGTTTTCATTTTTCTTTTCATTTTTTTCTTGGGTTGGGAGGTTGGTCGGTTGACGATGTTGAGGATGAGGATGGAGATGAGGTGGTTGTCCCTGGACATAGAGGGTGCAGAATATACAGCTCCGAGCTTTGAAACACGGATGCGAATAATCACAACCACGCCGACAGAGGGAACACACCGCGGTTCTATCATGAAGTGCAAATGAGAGAGAGAGCAAACCAGCAAGCAGCAAGTGTGTTGGCCGGACATGCCTCACATACATACGCACATGCGGATCTATACCCCCTTACAACTTTTCACCTTTTACACTTTGCTCCATTATTCTTTTTTGCAAGCGAGCGATCTATTTTAGCCTTGCGATATTCCCGGCAGTCATTCTTCCCGCTCCGGCTTCCGCCCTCTTTCGCCAGCCGCTTGGTTACTACTGCTTGCTTGACTTGACTTGATCATGATGTAATTATTTTATCCCAGCGGCTACTTGCATATCTGCCGAGTAGCGTGTATTGTATTATCATAATACTTAATCCACTGATTTTACGAGAACATGACTTTGCCCTTCTCCTTTTCTCCGCTTGTTTATTCGTTTCATTAAAAAGTATGGTATCCCTAGCTATCTGGCTACGGTGCGTGGCGGAAAAGCCATCTATATATACATCAACTGCTGGGGCTGAGTTAATCCAAGCAACTGTCCAACTCCGCACTTGCATCATGTGAAAAACGGCAGACATCTGTATATATCTACTCGTCATCATATATCTTCACCCGACTAGCTATCTCCTTGATGCGAGAGACGTAGTTCTCCTCTATAGAATCGCCTTTACCCCCTGCAACACGCAGAATCAAATCGTTCAAAGATGCTCGGCCCAGGATATCAACGTGATCGGCTATCAACAGTTAGCATCATCAAAGTAGCAAACATGGGTACATGTATGTATGTATGCATGTATGTAACCGATCCTCCAGATGGGGGCGGAAAGCTTACCTGTATTAGGACCCCCACGCGGCGAGAACCGTTCAGGCTCATGAGGCATCTCGTACACCTTAATCGGTATCCCGGCCGGGTTATACCTCTTAATCCTCCATCCACGAGTGCCCATATACCCCAAGCTAAGTAGGTTAACCGTGCCATCGCCCTCATTCATCACAACGCCCCGATCAACGTGTCCTTCCCCTTCACCTTCCATCACAGAAGTGTCCATGGTCAAATTCAGTTTAGACAAGGGATCAACTTCCTCGCGGTAAAAGTAGCTTCGTTCCGTTGGCTTTCCAACGCCGTAGAACGAGTATATTTTCATATCAGGGGCCAGCGGAAGGCGGACTTCGAGCGGATTCAACCATTTACGGGGATCGTTTTCGTTCGCCTCGACTTCGGCTGCCGTGTGAGCAACGCCATGAGAGTAGTTCTCGTCAAGTTGGTTGCGATACCATGGTTCGGAAATATTGTACAAATAAGCTAGGCCATCTTCAACGGTGAAATTATGCCTTGAAGCAGCTGTGAGAGTGCTGTTTGATCGGAAGTTCAGCAGGTTGCCGTTAGTTACCGGCTGATTGGGGAAGTCGTCTGGTGCCCAGGTATGGTTGCCCCATACTTCATTGCCGCCCTTGGGTAACATGCTGGAAATGCCCGGCATGGCGCGGAAGATCTCAGCTCGTTCTTCTTTGGACAAGAATTTCTCCAGGCCGTAGACTGCAAAGGCGTTGAGCTGGGCGGTATCTCGCATCTCGCCGGATAGTACTGCTGTAAGGCCCTTGGAAGCACCCAGCATGCAGCCGCTGACGTTGATCCAAGATGCAATGTGACGATCGACCCAGTCTGGACCACCGTTGCCGTAGCCCTTGTGCTCAGCCCATTTGAAGAAGAATAGAGCTACCTGTGATCCCATACTATGTGAGACAAGGACCACTTTCTTCCCGTTGAGCTTCACTGCGGTTTCGATATGGTTCTTGAGCCTGCTAAAGTAGTGGTCTCTATGCTCTAGGTTAAGGTATGACAGCCTCCAGTCGTATGCCGCTGAATACGCATTTGTCGGGTCATATCCTATTGTTGCCAGGTTTTCCAATATTTTATTCCAAATCCAGTAACCTGTGATGAAGAAATCCGTTGCATCAAAACCTTGAGCAGCTCGTAGCTTGACTCCCGGCGGATCGAGCCCGGTCTCTTTATCCAGCATGATATTATTCTTCCAGCCTGCGGTGTCAAGCACCAATGCACGCATCATGCTCCAACTGCCCCAGAGACGCTTTCGGAAGTAAGCTCTTGACTTTTCATCCGTCCCCCAGCTCTCAAGGCCAGTGGATATCACTCCGGGTATCATGATGACCGGATGAGAAGCCTTAATCCCCTGCGACTGCAAATGCAAACCCACCGAAAACGAATCATAGCTAACCGTCTCACGCTCGCTTTGCTGTTATCAAGTCAGTATATGCATGTTATTTCAAGAAATGAGGGTAGCTTACTGAAAACTCTTTTGCGTCCCGGACAATGCCTGCAGGTATAACATCGATCAGCGAGTCAATATTGAGATCCAGCAGTGCATCTAAGCTGATAACTTCATTCTGATTTGCGAAGAATAGCGCCACAAATATCCCAAAGATCCCTCCAAGCCCGAATATCAATCCATTCCGTCGCCTACTTCTCCTCTTCGGAGGAACCGCGTCTTCCGGTTTCGAGGATGCCTGGACGTATAGGACCTCCTTCTCAATCTTGTTATAGCAGTTATCTTCCCCCTTGGGCGCTTCTGTCACTTTCTCTGAGGCTATAGCTTTGGATGAAGAATTCGCATTCGAGGGAGTGTTCTCGTCGGTGGTAGATGTAGATACGAGGTCTGCGCCAAACCGACGTCGCAGTTCCGCCATAATAAAGATATAGTGCAAAAACAGGCGCGCGCAAGCTAGACAGACGCCTATCGACTGCTCATGGCCCTCCGTAAGCGAATATCGAAGACTAATAACTAAACAGGGGTCTCTTGTCTGTCTTCAAGTATCGAGGGGAGGATTTTGTCTTTCTAGGGAGACAGAAATAAGTAGGTAGTTAGCGGGCCAGCCTTTAGTGTTAATCACATGGAATAGTAAAAACGCCAACGTCTGCACCAATGCGCCTGACAGTATCGAGAGAAGAGAAAGAGACGAATAGAACACTCACGATATACGACCGAAGAGAAAACGAGTTAGGGAGACAGAGAAGAAGGGGGGGAAGGACGAGGAAGACACGAAAGCTCGACCTGGTGATGATGTAAGAAGAACCAGCGGGAAAAGTCGAACCCTCCGAGATTTAAAACGACAGCACAACACCCACCTTGGACGCTTTCGACCTGCTCGAGCGGCTCGCGGATACCTCGAGCCCGTCAGATCTGCGATGGCTGACGCTCCGTCGCAGTTCCGCTATGTCCAGTATGAGGCTGCGAAGGAGAACGAGTACGTCCCCGCGATGCGCCAGCTGATATCTCAGGATCTCTCCGAGCCGTACAGCATCTACGTCTACCGCTACTTTCTCTACGAATGGGGGGATCTCTGCTTCATGGCGATGGACGAGAAGGATAAGTTGGTCGGCGTCGTTGTGTCGAAGCTGGAACCGCATCGTGGCGGGCCGTTGAGAGGATACATAGCCATGCTTGCGGTCCAGGAGGAGCATAGAGGGAAAGGGATAGCTACCAAGCTGGTCCGTCTGGCCATGGACGCCATGATAGAGAGGGATGCGGATGAGGTATGCTGCCTGTTGTATATATAGAAGTGTTGGTTGCTGACCGTTGAACTGGACGTAGATTGTCCTAGAAACCGAGATTACAAATTCACCAGCCATGAAGTTGTATGAGCGCCTGGGATTTCTCAGGAGCAAGCAACTGCATCGTTACTATCTCAATGGGAATTCTGCATTCCGGTTTGTCCTTTACCTGAAGGAAGACGTGGGCATGATTCCGACATCGGATCCTTACCACGGACATTCGGATGGCCTCCCATTGCATGAAAACGGCGAGCATCCAGGCCATCATGTCTGTTGAGCCGGGATTGTATATGACATGCCCGGCATGTTTTATACATGGACGAACATGATGGTATGATGAGAATGGCATATTAATTGCCTGAAATTAGCAGCATCACGGCCGCGCAGTCGGATTATTGAGCGTACAATATCAAATATCACACGCCAACGGGTTGCGGCTGTGACTGGTGGAAGACTGAATAGCGGGCTCAAACTATTTGAGACCCTAAGAAACTCATATCCCACTTGACTAGTGGCGTATAGTGTATTGATAGAGGCTAGATGTTGGACAACCTCTGTAGAGCTTAGAAAGCCAACCACAACAAATGATAGATTTATTTCTATATAATGATACATTATGATACAACAGAGGAATCTCGGCATGAGGCTCGCTAAATATGCAAAACTGGGTATCGATCAATACTGGAATGGTAAATAAATGGTCAACCAGCCAGAGCAAGAGGCTCACGTTTAACCGACGACTTCAAACCTCGCGGGTTTGGTGGACTGACATCGGCTTTGACAATATCAACCGTCACACTGTTCTTCCGTAGCCAGTCAACTGGCTTGTCGTGGCATGCGCCCCATTCCTCATCCAAAGCGTAGGCTCTCTCAAGAACTTGATTAAGAGGCTCCCTATACTCGTACCCATCGTCCGAAGCACTGAGATCACTGTCTACCAATTTCTTTGCCAACTCTTTCCGCCACTCGGGATACACATCAGATGGCGAACCGCAAACCCCGAGAACCAGCTTGTTAAATTCTTGACTGGTATCTGTTTCCAGGTTTTCAAACGGAATAACACCAGCAACTACCTTGCCGATCTTCTGCAGCCAACATTCACGCTCTGGCAGGGAAGATCCATGCACCTCTCGTCGAAGCGATGAGTATATGCTAACCTGCATCTTCTGTGTGGTCCAGCCATTAAGACAGCCATGTCGCCATAGAACCCGGCAGAGGTTATACGCCCTTGCTCTCCAGGCAAGGTGCCAGAGAATGTCCATCGTCTGATTATCTCCCTTGATGTTGAAGGTTTGGGTAACCTTCAAGTATAAGGCCACAAACGCCTTGTTCATCTTGTCTGGTTGATGTAGGAAGTAAAACAGTGCATTGTTCAAGCTGGTTGTATCCAGACCAAACGAGACTCGTTCACAGTACTCGAGGATATCCGAGATGACGTTCGGTTTGCTGCATAGAGATCCTTCTAGGATCATTCTGTTGATGGTACGAACACTTAACCAGCCGTGACCGAGGGTTTCGTCCATGTGTTTCATGAAACCTGATACGGTACCGCCATCCTTTAGCCATTTTCCAAATCGGGGCTGGATGGATATAGACGCTGCAACCTGGAACACATGTGCATCGTCAAACACTCCGGACTTTCTGGCTTGGACCAGGAGGTCAAAGCGGTGGGCGTGGGGGGTTATCGAAGAGAGTACTGATACCCAAGCCCAATTGCGAGGGTAGATGCCCTGGCGTTTCATGGCATTGATGCACCACTTTAAAGACACAAAGTCTCGACGAAGCACGGATGCTCGCAGGAGTGCATTTACAGTCCGTGATGTCATACGGCCTTCAAAGGCGGGAAGCAGAGAATGTAGCGAGGAGCGTGCATGGTGGGACGCAAAGTAGGATATGGCCAGACATATGGATCGGGAAGAGAAGTATTGTCTATTCTCAGGGTCGAGCATAAGACGGCGGATCATATCTCCGATTGCATCCTTGTGGGATACCCCAAGTGCACTATGCAGTCTCCCATGGACTAGTCGTGTAACTGGTACTAGAACCAAATCCTCAATGTAATCGGCAAATGTCTTGATGGTAAACTTCTTCGGAGCTTTTATCTCATTTTTACCAGGCACAAGTGGTTCCGGTGGGAGAAACGCCCATACAGACCGTATCAAGGGCCTCTGAGATGAATCCTTCAGGAACGGGATGAAAGGAGGGAGGTCATTCTTGGGAAGGCTTTGTATGAGTTCTTCAATATGCTTCTCTCCAGCTTGAACAGCTGCCTGTGTTCCGCTTAACACCAAATGACGTAGCCCAAGTGAGTCGTCGGTCTGTGGGAGAACATGTGCCCGGCAGCCGCTCAGGAAGGGTATTACCCACATATTCTCTCGTTCGTCTCCAACAAGAGCCACGACATCAGCTTCACTTAATGTGATTGTCTTTTGAAACTCATCGGCTGGACGGTCCGGCTTGTTATTGACGAGGCTTTTGAACCCTTCCACAAGCTGGAGACATATGCTGGCTTGACGCTGTGCGTCAGATCGCTGTTCCTCAAGAGACTTGGGTTGATATACACGGTGACTAATTGGATTGTTGTAGCCATGGCGAACATATCGTAGAGGGGTTCGTGGAGGTGCACTGTAGGGATTCCTGGAAGCATTTTGCCTGTCAAAATCGGCCATTGACTTGGTATATCGCAACGGAACACCATGTGCCGATTTCCTTATCCAACCTCCCAGATGACTTTTGTTCCGTACTGGTGCTTCTCTTGATCTTGTCTCGCCCAAGTTATTGTATTCATGGCTTGATGGCTGGGATCCTTGTTTCGTTGCTAGACTATCCAGCTCGAACAATAGCTCTGGTAATACATGCTTAGATCGATTTGGTTGAGCATAGCTGGCGCTGCTTTTGCTTTTGCTTGTCTTGTCATCATGGGCGTATTCAACAATCGGTGGAGCTAGGACAGTGTCAAGAGAAGTGTTCTCAGTGTTATTTGTAGGTATTATAGTGTCGCTGCCGCCGATTTCCTGACGTTGGCTCTTCGGTTGAGGCTTCTGACGGCCTGGCACCTCGGACTCGGAGCGCTGTGAACTCCTTGACCGCCGGCCTTGCACATCTTCCGGTACACGGTTTATTCGCTCCTTTCCTGGCTTTCTATTATCCGAAGCAGTCCGTGTCTTCGTGAGCCCGATAGAATTGTCAATCGCCGCAGCAAAGGCTGGTGGGTAGAGGAAGAGGAGCGGCTCATTCTTCAGGGCTGCGCTGATATTCTCGGCAACGGGTATGCTTGCTTTCCTCGACAAGCAGTATCGACTGCCTGAGAACATTGATAGCTGCCGACGAGCATTGAGCTGCCCGAAACGTCGTCAGGTCATCGATGATGCTGGAGATGCCGGACTGTTCAGCGTCCAAAAACTGCCTTTTCGAGGTTTTTTTTGCTTTCGACTTTTTTGCGGTTGAGCTAAGGTTGCTTAATAAGCAAATACTAAGGTCTGGCATAGAGAAGAGAGACGATACGAAGGAAGCTGGAGGATCAGATGGAGAAGAATATAAACTGTTTTAATAGTTTATCTAGAAGCATTTACTTTCCTCAAAGGTAACTAGTTCTATGATACAGGGCAGGTCGAGCAGCGCTGTCATGCGCTGTTCCAAGTCCACGACTCTCTGACGAGCCGGTCACCGGCCTTGTATGCCTTGCGCAGATTCTCCCGCCTGGCTCTCTCGGCTTCATCGGGAGAGTCGTGCGGTATTTCATCCATTGACTGTTTCAGCATTTTGATTAATTGTCGACGAGAAGAATCAAAGAGCAACATGGACAATATTTCAGGCATCTATATGGTATGTCAGCAAATATCTACATCATCAATAGGACAGAGCGGACATCCTTACCTTATCTTCCAGCAACACCAGACCCTCTCCTCCACGATGTGCGAATTCCCTCACTGCATCGATCCTCTCACGGTCAAGCGTCGAAATCCTCATGGCTTTGGATAGAATTGCCACGTTCGTGATATCCTCGGGCGCAACCTGTTCCTCCCACTCATCTTGGGATATTCTCGATAGTTGGCCGGTATATATTGTCCCAGCTTCTCCCGCCGTGATGATACTGGGTTCACCGCTTCCCAGGTAGCTAGTACCAGCCATACCTCTTTCAGGCCTATGTTTGGACCTTCTTACTCTCCTCCTCAGCCATCGTCTCCGTCGAACGAACGAATGGCACCAGGGATGGGTTCCGTGCCAGGCGAACTTCGAAGCAAAGGAGAACGAGTACTGCCAACCCTCCTCGTCGACGTCATTCGACATGTCGACATACCATGTCTTCCAGTCCCACACCCAGCTTGGATCAGGGACCTGTGCGTTTGCAATTGTTACGGGGCTCTGTTCAAAAGTGGCCGTCATCCATGCCGGCGGGTCAAGGTTCAGAAGCGAGTTTTTCGAAAAGATGGGCTTGCCGAAGAAGAACCATCCTCGCTGGTTTTCGTAGAGCACGTCTATTTCACTTTGTGATTGAGGGTGTGGCTCTTCTGTCGTTGGCTGTCCCTGCACGCATGCTTCGGTGTCGAACGCCACGTCCGACCCAGGCCGTCGGACAGCAGATGACGAGGGTGCAATTGACGTGTTCCTGGACAGTGAGCCTTCTCGCGGCGTAGCTGTAATCTCCCTGCTAAGCCTGCGGTCGTCTCCATTGACACCACTACCATCGTACCGATCCTGCTGGTACTTTGCGTATTTCCGGCGGGCCAGGTTTTCTCGCACCGAGAGGCCGGTCAGCTTCTTCGCCAGGGATCGGTGGGTACTCGCCCGGCTCGCTCGCAGGCCAATCTCAGACTCGTCCGGTTCGGAGGCTGGACAGGTGTTGTCAACGAGGAGAATGCCACCGCCGCTCGCCATGGCAGGGCGGCCAGAGGACAGCGAAACTCGGCAGTTAGGGGGTGAAAACTCCAGCTCCAGAGGTAAGCCGTAGCGGTGATGTCTCCGTCGCCATAAGGAGGGCGGTGATAGAGGCTGCTATAAGTATCCACGGTGGTCAGACAGGCGGAGAGAGGAAAAGGAGAAAAGGAATGTCTCTCCTGCGCAGCTTCAGCGTCGTCGCTTCGCTTCGCTTCGTCTGTTTCTTATCAACATCCAAGTTCTTAGCTAAGACAAAAAAAACCAGGGAAAAACATGATGACTAAGCGATGACATCACATGTGGAACGCTAAGCCTAAACGGGACATCAACACTGGGCCTTTGATCAGATAACAAAAAGATAGACGAATAACAGAAAGACAACGCAATACAGAATATACAGACAGGATATTGAAGAGAATAATAAAGAGGATAGAGGTAGATGCAAGCACACCCGCGACAGTATAGACAACATGCAGGAACCGCACCACCGGAAGATCGAGCTGCAGTCGACCGCAGACCTCTCCTACCTCTACACAAACACGCTCACAGTCGCCCGCGAAAAGCTCGACCTCCACTTCCCTCCCTCTGCCAACGATGACTCGGATCCCATGAAGGAGCGAGTGCGCAGTCTAGTCGATGGCGTGCGTTCTCTTTGTTTAACTTTTTTTTTTTAAGGCGAAAATACTGACGTTGAGTCCAGTTCATAAACAAGACCTTCACATCCGCTATACCCTCCATAAGCATAAACGGAATCGATACAACAGACTCGTCCTCGAAACAAAAAGGACCCAGCAAAGATGAGCAGCCCATCAATCTCGAGTCGCTTCTGACAACCCGGGAATCAATTGAGTACGAACCATTTGACACCGAGCTCGCGGCCAGACTTACGTCTCTCTACGCACAGCTGGAATCACTCACCACAACAGTAGCGCAGATGAGACGGGATGCGCCGCTAAAGGCAGCAAAAGCGTATGAGGAGGCGCTGAACAATGCCCTTTCACATGACGATGAGGAAGACGAAGAAGGAGGATATATGGATGAAGATTATGAGGCGGATGATGTGCCGGTAGATGCTGATATGGACGAACAACACCGACAAGAAGCAGAGAGGAAGAGAGATATCGAGAGGATACAAAGGATGCTCCAGAAACATCCTGAATGGCTTTTACAGGCACCCCTGGGAACGGAGCAGGTTCAAGAGCGATGGCGGGACGGGGAGATAAGTGATGTCTATGCTCGATCGTTAGAGACACTTTTTAAATTGCAAGGAGAGGGAAGCGGGATTGGATATGGGGATGAAGACGAGGAAGATGGGGGAGGAAGCAGCGCCATGGGTGGTACAAATGCCGGTGCGCCGTTGGCTACAACGGTGGGCAAGGCGGAGAGAGCACGGCTTGCTACCGGGGTTGTTGAGAAGATGTAATTGAAGGTATCGAATTGATTTAACTATTCATTATTCAGTACTTTGATTTGTTTTCTTGTGGCTGATTTTTTTAATGTAACGATGCTGTTGCATGTTAAGACATGATATTAATTAAGATGATGGTCTGGGATAGGGGGTGGTATAAGTAAATATCAAGGGACAGCCATAGTCTGGGATCAAGGTCAAGGAGACAAAGAAAACAATGATTGACTCTCCTTTGTTTTAAATATACTTGATCTCTTCCATGCAGATGCTTGTACCAACACACTATCGAAGTTAAGTCACCCAGTAGTATATTTGCACTGTAGTATATACGAATAGACCAAACAATCCATCCGTTCGGCCCAGGCCCAGATCAAAAAAAGAGGTCTTCTACCTTCTATCTGTCCGTCCGTCCCGTATATTCCATCTAAGCAGCAGCCGGAGCTGGAGCCGCAGCCGTCGCAGTAGCAGAAGCCGGCTCAGCATCAGCAGCCTTCTCCTTCTCCTCTTCTTTCTCCTTCTTTCCCTCCTCCTCCTCCTCCTCCTCTTCTTTCTTCTTCTCCTCACCCTCCTCACCTCCCTCCTTCTTGGCCTCCGTCTTTTTCTCCTTTGAACCCGCCCACTCCGGCTCCTGCCAGGGTCCCATATCGCTAAACATACACCCGCCCTCACACTCACACTTGCCGCCAAACTGCACCGGCAAGTTCTCTGCGGGGATCTGCGAGAGCAGCTCGCTCTCATACCCGCCTCCAAAGACATGTATCTTCTTCACCGTCACCGGGTCCAGGAACCCCTTGACCATGCCGAACACCGTGCTGAACCCCCACGGCGCATTGATGATGTACAGCTTCCCCAGACGCTCGGGGTAGTAGTTCTGAGAAATGGCAGAGGCCTGGCGCACGTAGCCGATGACGGACGAGGCGTTGCCCAGGCCCACGCCCTTCATGTCCATTATCGTGCAGCAGGTTTCGAGCAGGTGGCCGGATTTTCGGGCGCAGGCGGGCAGGCGGTTGTCGGCCAGCTTCTCGTACTCGCATACTAGGTGTTTGAGCATGCGGTCGCTGGTAGTCACTTTGTACATGGCTGTCAGGTCGATTTTGCCGAATTGCTCAATATACACTGGTCGGCCGTCCTGCAGTAGTTGAAAGTAAGAGGTAAGCGGATGGCAATGTATGCTGGGAGGCGGAGGGGGCCTACCTTGTCTGTCTTGTGGTAGAATTGGGGGTAGTATTCGAACATCTTCTCTTTCTCATGGTAGTCGAAGTCTGAGACCAGCGTGTCCGTCTTGAATTCTGCTCGCCATTTCTCGCTTGCAAGGAACCTGTCTCAAGCCAGTAAGTATCTCCATTCAACTATGCAGTAGTCTCAAGTAGAGGGGGGTGCGTACATGGTCTTCGAAGCCTCAACGTTGAACTTTCTCGCCCGCAAGAACCGCAGCAGCGTCAACGTATCTAGCCTGTCCTTGCAGCCGGCGTCCTCCAGCTGCTTCCGGAGCTGGAACACCTGCGCATCCTGCTCGGGCGTGGTATATCCCGGATGACCAAACTGCGGCGTGGGAGCAGACGTGGGGAAGTCGTAGTGGTCGTATTTCTCGTCGACGGGGAGGTCTTTTGGCTGCGGTGTGGCTTGTTTGGACGCCATTTTCCTTGACTGTTCTGCTAGCCGTCTATATGCCTGTGTGTGTGTATGCTAGGGGAAGAGAAGAGAGCAGGAGGGTCGGGGAGTAGTGGGTGGTTGGTTTGAAGGAGTTGTAGAAATACGTTATTTTATGTTCCGGTTGAGTTTTTGGCGATGGAGTTCGATGATGGTTGTTGGCGTTTGGCTGTTGGTCGTTTGGTGGGTTGCGTAAAAGGGGGCGGATGTCGCCTCCCCGACCGTGGCTGAAGCAAGCTTGACTAGCTGTTAAATAGTTAGTTGGACGAGGTTACTGG